CTGACTCGACGCGGCTGGCCTCGGCATCAGATGACACCACGGTCAAGATCTGGGAGGTGAGCAGCGGCGCGTGCCTACAGACGCTTGAGGGCCATAGCGGTTATATCAGTTCAGCCGATCTCATCTCTATTTTTGCGTCGCTACGCCTTAGAACTGCGGAGCCGCAGCAAGCTATCCGTCAGGGAATAGCAATCAGCTCGGATAGTACCTGGATTTCCGATAATGCTCAAAATATGTTGTGGCTCCCAACAGAATATCGACCAAGTAGCTTGGCTATATCAAGTACATCCGTTGGTTTTGGTACAGGGTCTGGAAAGGTTTGGGTATGTCGCTTTACGTGATAACAATTCTAAAAGCTTCGGTTACTTGTTTCTCTTCTTCTTTATTTATTTTCTAACTCAGCACCCGTAGAGGGCCGGAGATGCACACGTACATATACATGAATTCTTTGCCACATTGAAGCTTCGTGAATCCTACGAGAGCGACAAAGCCATGAGATACTTGTACTTTCAAGGGAAGTTTCTAGAAGCATAGGCCACACCTTGTACGTATAGTATGATATACAATGTAGGCCGCGAAATATGTGTTTAGGGGGCCTCCGTAGTGTTTCCCCTTGCACGTGATTAGAGTTGGAAGTATATATGATTTGTCTCGTTAGACTGTGCGTCTCGTGTCCCCGTGCACGACGTTAATCCACAAGTTTGATGAGCTTTTTTATCTACTCAAGCTGTTTCATCAAGAAGCGAAAACAAAAAAAAAAAAAAAAAGTGTCCCAAAACACCCTGAAACGCAAAAGTATATAGAGGACCCCCTGGCCTCCCCATCCGCATTTAGCTACCATGGAAAACGAACATCGGCCAAGCCTGTATGCCTTTCTTATGTAATCGCAATACCACCCTACTCCTCTTCATCGTCATCGCTGTAACCCCAATCATCCCAAGTCCCTGAACGCTCCTCACTGTCACGCCGAAGCTCCTCTTGGACATGTTGTGCGTTATACCGTAGGTTCGTCGCCTGGCTGGAGAAATATTTAGGTACTGCCTTGTACGGGAGCGGTCTAAGAAAAACCTTCGACCAGTTTCACCCGGACTTAGGTTATTAAAGCACAATATGGCGTGGACCAAACACCTGCCTACAGAAATGTTTCACTGAACGTGTTCTCGGAGCACCCAGTATGTTTTTGCTTCTATCCTATTATAATTTTGGCGTTCCATATGTTTAGGCATCACCATTAGATTATTAATGACCGATCATTGTTGATTGGACAATTGTTCATTTATCCATTGCATCGTAGACTCCACCACGATGAGGTGTGCTTGACGGTGTAAACTCATGTTATCAAATTTGCGACACATCTACAAACAAGTATTGATCAGCAATGCACAAAGATGCACACTTCGACAGAACCTTGTCGCATCAGCGCAAGAACGTTCATTGGCACAGAAATACAAACGAGAACATTGTTCACTTCTCAACAGTGTGACACACGAACAGGCTCCAGTACATGCATCCTCACCTATGATCATGATTCCATCCGGACTTCCTTGAACTTCAAATGAAGACTAGGATAGTTACACGACATGACTACTGCATGTGTACTTGAGCCAGCAAGTACATTGCAAATCCACTTCCCTTCGTACCATCCGTTCCATTGCGCCCACAAAGTTATTCTTCGCAAGACTCCAGCTCATCCACCGCCAAGAACAGTCTGGCTCCACTGCAGACTCGTCCGGGTCTGTATGGCGCTCGTGGCTTATGTCGGGATTGGGAGGATCGGGCTCAGAAGGAGCGGAGAGGCCGGTGGTAAAGCGATGGGCACGCGGTGGTACGCAGGGGATGAGACAGCAGCAAAACATCGAGGAGCGCGACCATTGGGAAACACCAGCACTGGTTCACGTATAGTTCCACCACCCTGTCCGTCTACTGATCAATCACCCCCTCACTAATCAGTTCATCCTCCAACCCAACCCAGTACCTAATCCAATTGAAAATATGCTTATGCCAAACCAAACTATTGTCCCTCTTCACAACCCAATGCCCCTCGTCGGGAAAGTGCAAGAACCTCGACGGAACACCCCGACTCTGTAGCACGTTGAACAGCGCAACGCCATCGGATTGGACAACGCGGTAGTCGAGATCATCTGTTCATTCAATCAGCGCCGTACGCGCCACCAAACCCAGTTCAAAAGAAGGAAGGAAGGGGAAGGAGAGAGGAGGGGAACTTACTATGCACGATGAACTGCGGCGTGCTAAAGTTCTTCGCGTGGGTCATCGGATCCCACACCGCGTAATTCTCGCGATCATCCCACAGCGTGCCGTTCTGGTCGTGCTGGATGAACCACAGCTCGTCGGTCGCGTACGCGCCGAACTGGTTGCTCTTGCCGTCGTGGCTGACCAGCGCTTTGAACTTGCGCCCCAAAGCATGGCCCTGGATCCAATTGATGCTGAACGCGCCAAAGGACGCGCCCGCAGCGACAGCGCGGTTGGTATCCACGTAGTCGACGTTGTCCTCGATGTGGGAAAAGAGGGCTTCGAAATCGCGGTACGGGGTGCCGGCCCAGTTGTTCGTGATGGCATCCGTAAAGTTCTGCCCGTACGAAGGCGTCCCCGTGAATTGCGGGACAAAGACGACGAACCCCTGCTCCGCCCAGAGACGCAGGTTCCAGCGGGTGGACCAGGTGTCGCCCTGGGAGGACTGAGGGCCGCCGTGGATCATGAAGACCATGGGCCACTTGGCGTCGGCGGTGAAGTTGCTCGGGTAGTACACGAAGGTCTGGATTTGGGAGCCGTCGCCGCCCGTGTACCAGAAGTTGGTGGTGGAGTTGGGGAGGAGGCCGGCGAGCTCGGCGTCTGCGGCGTGCGCGCTAAAGAGAACCTTCGACTCGCTGTCTGGGCCTTGGGTGTAGAAAATCTTGGAGGACCAGGTGGAGGAGGCGGAGATGAGGGCTTCGCCTGAGGGAAGGAGGGCGAAGTCGGCGAGGTTGGGCGAAGCACCAGTGATGTTCTTGGGCGTGAAGGAGGCATCGGCGTCGGCGGGAACAATGTACAGGCGGTTTGCCGCGTAGAGCTCGGAAACGACCCAGAGGTCTTTGCCGTCGTGGCTCCATGACATGCTTGAGGGGCTGGAGTCCCAGTCCTCTGCTATTGCGGAAACTTCAGAGTTCAGTCCGTCGATGCTGGCGACGTAGAGCTTGAAGCGGTCGGATTCGTACGCGATGCCGTCCTGCTGGGCATATGCGAGCTTCTTGCCATCAGGAGACCAACGGGGCGAGGCGGATCCACCTTGAGCAGTTTCAGGCGCAGAGCTACCGGGGCCGTTGACAGCAACCGGAGCTTCGGATGCATCATGAGGAACGATGTAAATGTAGCTTGCCGTATAGTTGGCTTTGGGAAGTTCCGGGGCTTTAGTCAAAAAAGCAACTGTGCTGCCGTCTGGGGAGATATCATAATCGCCCGAGTCGCCAAAGGGTTGCACAGGTGTTTCTGGGCGCGTGATGGAACCATTGATGCCCACGAGCAGATTTTTCAGATCGCCCTCAAGCGAGAGTCCGCCATACCCGGATGAAAGCACACCAGAGAAGATGGCATACCTCTCTGCAGTGATATATGTGTCCCAGTGGCGGATGAAGTTAGCATTGTACACTTGGCCAGTGCTCTTCGCCGCGGTGGCAAGCTCCTCGTTGTACGCTGAGCCGTTCTTGTATGCCAGTGAGTTGACTGCAAAATTGATTGCACCAGACTCGGTCTGAACGGCTTTTAGGCCAGAGAAAGGTGCATTCAAAGATGCGACAAGTTTGCTGGGAATATTAACTTCCAGCCTGATGTTTTCTGGAGTATGACCTACGGTGCAAACTCCTCCTCGCCAAAGTCAGCCGTGTACAGTGTCACACCACCGGGAACCTCATCGTTCGTCCCGTTGATGTACAAAACACTAGTGTTCGTAGCACCGACCCAGACAACCTCCGAGACTGCAGAGTCGATGGGCGCGTCGCTAATGTTCCCGCTCTTCACATCGAGGAAGTGCCAAGTAGTTTTCGACTTGCCGGCGGTCCAGTTGTAGCTCGTCGAGGAGAAGAGGGCCAATTCCTACTACAATTAGCTCACCGTAGAGTATTCCAATGGATTATATCCTCACCCCGCTAGGATTGACGTTCGCATTGCTTCGGCGAGGCGCCGCAAGCATGCCCCTACAAAATCAGTCCGTATTCCACAATGCGAACCCGACAACACGTACTCGACATCGAATGCATGCGCCCGCTCGAAAAGCAGGGCAGCGCTCAAAACAGCTTTCCAAAAAGCCATTGTAGCTCAATTGACTGTCGACTCTCGTGCGAAAATCTCAGGGCAGCTGCAGCTCTAAAGGAAGCTCCGCACAGCTCCTCCGCAAGCTACCCATGACGTGCTTTTGTGTGTTCCTGGCCATCGGGTAATCGTTCTGCACGATGCTCAGGATGCGTGATGCCAATAACATGCCAAGACTGCTCAAAGGTTGCTTGCTGGTATCACCTGCCGGATTCGGATGCGCTGCCCAGACAAAACTCTGGGCTTTGATGACATCCACGAGAAATTGCGGATACAGCTCGTGATTTGCTTCCTGCAGACGGCCGTTACCTAGTCGTGTAGGAAGGTCAGGACCGCGTGGTTGACTAGACAGATTCCCACCTTCCAGGATTAGTTTGAGCGCGAGGATTGGCATCATACGGGCAGCTTGGCGCGAGCGGCGCGGTTGATGTTGTGCATCCTTGCTACCCAGGAACGCTGAAATTGCTCTCCGTATACTTGATTGCGACCATTCGCCGCGATGTAAATCTTGCTACGTTGGGTAGGTATCTGACACAATACCAATCGTCATGTTGGACGCATATGAATACAGATTTCATGTCCCGCCCCAGCTTGCACCTCCGCCGCCGATACCTGTACTTCCAATATTCGAACTCAACCTTCTGAACCCCACACCCATGCCTAAAGGTACCGAACTTCTTCGTCTGACACCCCTTCGCGAGAGGGTTCGATCAAGTCCTGCACTGCTGGCAGTATCGCGTCGCCCATGATGCCGCTCATATGGACTCTCGTTCCCAGAGTACTCCTCGTCGTCCGTGGTCATCGCTTCACTATCTCTTGTGCTCGTGTGCGAAAGGAGATTCGTTGGCTCACCATAGTCAGACTCGGAAACAGCGTCGAAGTTTTGCGTTATGATGAGATCATCGGATGGTGCTGTGGCAGACACCACACTATCAACGTCCGAATCTGGATCGTCGCCAAAGCCCTTTCCTTCTACCAGCCAAAGCGTGGGTATGAATGCCAGGAACGATATGAACGACAGTGTCCAAAAGGGTATGATAATGTAACCTTTCTTCAAGCTCCACGTGAAGAGGTTTCCGGTAAACAATGGTCCTAATGCGCGTCCCACAGCCGAAACGCTTGTCGCAAAGCCGTTGAGTGTGCCCAGAACCCGTAGACTGGTGGCACTGTTTGTAAGCATGATCGTCGATGTTGGGAATGCAAAAGTGCCACCAAAACCACGGATGATGAGGATTGTAACCATTACCACCTCCTTTGTTGTTTGATCGGGTATCAAAGTAACGAATGGCGTTATGAAGTACATAACCGGGAATATCAAAAAGGCCACTCGGAGGCAGTAGAGAACGCCCCACTTTCGCGCGAGGTATGGGAAAACGAGAAACTGCGTGAGCATCGAGGTAATCGCAAATATTGTGAACATGGCACCAATTCGCCTGGAATCGATTCCAAAGCCGCCGGAAAACTTGAACGGTAGCGAGACATCTGGATCGTCGATGGACATGGGCGGATGGTGCAGCAGAACGGGAATGATCTGTCGTCGAGTCAGATGAACATAATTGAGCGTGAACTCGATGCAAATTACCTGATCATAGGCAAGCGTGTAAAAAGCTAGCAGAGTATACACAACCAGGTTCAGGATAGTCTGATAGGTGAGTACGTCCTTCAATCTCGGGCTGCCTTCTTCTTCTTCTGGCGCACTTGGCCCATTGGGCACCGCTTCTTCGTCGTTGATCAATTTCGCTTGACCTAGCAGCGGTTCTCGCTCGGCGTTGAGCTTCTTCTGTTTCTTGGGTATGTGCAATACTTTCCGAACGAAAACTGTTATTTTGGCACCGATGATCAGACCAAGATCGCGGTCGTGCCTTCTTTTCTCCAAGGATTCCTTTTCCAATCAGCACCGCATGAGATGATGAAGGGCCTGCTATAGGTATTCTTACCTTCAGGAACAACCATCCCGTGATGATACCAATGGTGAACAAAGCAGCCGCGACCAGATTCGGGGGGCTGTATGGGAATCGCTCAAAGAACGAGCCGCCGTGAGGCTTTCGTGGGTCTACTCGCAGAGGATTCGAAAGCGCCCCGCCCAACGTTGGACCGAAAATGGCACCGATGGTGTAAACCAGAGGCATGATACTGAATGCCCTAGGTTGCAGCTCCTTCCAAGGACACAGTTCGGCCACTGTCGTGCGCAATATTCCCACGTTCCCGTTGCCGAGTCCTTGCAGCGCCCGAGCGGTGATGGCCATGGGGAGGGACGTGGAGAAGCCGAACAGCAGCATGCAGACCATGGTGTTGAAGAGGCCGATGAGGATGATAGGCTTCCTACCCCAGCGATCCGAGGCGGCGCCCCATGGTATGCCTGTGACTGCCTGCGCGATGGAGAAGACGGCCGAGGTGAAGCCAGCCCAGCGCGCGATGTCGTTCTCAGCCACGCCGAAGCTCTCCATCATTTCGGGGATGTAGGGGAAGACCGAAGTCAGCGCAATGGGCTCCGCGAAGCGGCATATTGCTGTGCTTGTTAGTCTGTATGCGAGAATCGGGGATTGTGCAGCTCCGTACACAGAATGACCAGTTGCTTCACTGGTAGGCGGCGTTCTGTCATGACGGCGCGCGGTGTGGCAGCAGGAGACGCATGCTAGAAGGCAGCGGGGGACGAGGAGGGAGCGAGGGCGAGCGCAAGAGCGCGTATGGCGGAGTGAAGGCGGCCTGAGTCAAGCATCGCTGCGCCCGTGTGCTGCTCCTGCACGCGCTGCACCCCGAAATCGCGACCGCCCCGCTCTTTTCCGTCATCGGCCATCACGCGCCGCCTACTCGCTGCGCCCATTCGATTCGGACGGCGCGCGCCTCGCCGTTGCATCGCATGCGAGTGCGAGTGCCGCACGCGTGATGGGGCCGCCTCGACCGCCTTGGAGCTTGTCTGTGCTGCGCGCGGATGCGAGGTGGGATGGGACGACGACGGTTCACGGCGCCAGGGTGAAGACCCCCAGCTTCCCAACGGCAGCGCGGCAGGCTGGGCCTGCGGTCCTCGCTCTTGCAGGGAACGCCAATCTCCCGCCAGCACGATAATCCAGACGGCACTCCGGGGGGTTCCAGCTGGCTGTTCGGATCTTGCACTTTGCTTCCTCGTTCTGCGCCTAGACGCAGCGATGCGGGGAAGAGACGGGGGTCCCGCACGTTCCTGACGGGCGCCACGGCAGCCACGCGCCGCTGGGCTGGCCTTGGCTACTCCGACCGCCAACGCTTATTCCGAGCCACCTCACTCCGGCGCGGCCTTGTACTGGCCACTCGAAGCCAGAGCACGACACGTGCGATACCCAATTGTAAAGCCCACAGAGCCAGCTTGAGCTTCCACGTTCCTCAGGCTGGTGCCACTGCTGACTGGTAGGTTACGTCGTTGACAACACCCATGACCCTACACTGGTGGAACGCATTGATTCAAATCGTGACAGGAGCCTTCGTCATTCTGGGCCTCTGGTACGCCACACTTACAACACTGGCTACCTCCCCATCAACCCACCACGCGAGTTCCATCACTTCGCGGACTACTATAACGTCAGCCGTGCGATTCATCGCCGAGGTATTTTCGATGCTGTCAAGTACGAGGCGTACTCTCCACCGTTCCTCTCTGCCGGACATTTGACGATTTACCTGTACTTCTTTGCGATACACACCTGTGTGCTTATCTGGACATTCCTCCAACACCGTCATGAAATCTAGAAAGGGTTGAAGAACTTGTTTCGAGGAGGGCAAGACAACGTTCTGCACCAAGATTTCCATAAGCTTCTTATGTCCCGATACCCGGAGTGTCCGGAATGGTGGTACCTCTTTGTCCTCCTCGCGTCAATCTTGGCGCCACCCTCGGATGGACAACCTACACCTCCGCAGGCGTCGTCTCCTACGGCATCTCCCTGTGCCTTGTCTTCGTCGTCCCCGTCTGGTATTGTCAACGCCATTACCGGCTTCGACATTACCCTCAACGTCCTTGCCGAGTGAACTACGTTAAAGTTCTTGGCTACGCTTCAGCGATGACCTCAAGCTCGCGCATTGTTCGAAGATGCCGCCAAGACACACATATGCGGTTTCGATGATCGCAACGTTCGTTGCGAGCTCTGTCGCGGTGAGCATTTTGCACTTCTAGATGAAGGAGATTCCGGGGGTCTGTACGGCGATGCAAAAAGGTCACTATGAGCGGCGGCGTATCAATCAGTTCTTCACGGCAGCAGTGTTGCGGGGCACGGTCGGGCCGAAGAGAGTGTTTGGCAGCGGCGGCATATATACCGCTTTGTCGGTCGGGTTTCCAATTGGCATCATCGTCCCGCTTGCCATTTACTTCGCGCGGAAATACTTTCCGACGCAGAGGTGGCTAAGGGACGTCCATTCACCGGCTTTCTTCTACTGAAGCATTTACTACGCTGCGTACGATTGGAGTTACCTCTGACCCGGCGTCGTGGTGTTGCATTTCTCGCAAATCTGGCTCAAAGACAAGGCATACCGCCTTCTGGACAAAGTACAATTACGTTCTCTCTGCGGCCTTCTCGTCTGGCGTTGCCATCGCTGCTATCGTCATCTTCTTGGCTCTGCAGATGCAGCACGTTAGTATTGATTGGTGGGAGAACAGCGTTGTTGCGCAGGGCTGCGAAGAGACGCCGTGTGTGAGGTATGTACTTGGTGACGGAGAGTACTTTGGGCCGAGGACGTGGAAGTTTCACTGAGCCTTTTGGTTAGGGTTGATTTCCAACTCAATGTGCTTCGGTCGCGGACATATATACGCTCACTTCCCTCAACGTACGCTCACTGCCGTCATCTGTATTGGATAATGCCTCCCTGTGATCTGAATCTCCTGCCAAGTTCTCTAGACGTTGAAAATTAGTCAATTATGGATCCAGTTGAATATAGGAAGATGAAATGTATTGTGATGGGCCTCCAAGGGTATGAGTTTACAACGACTTTTAGATATAGCACTTGCTATTATTGGGTACGCCACCATCGCCTGCGCAGAAAGCAACATGATGAAGTTTGGCCTCACTTTCCTGATAACTCTCGATCTATGGCTCGGTGCCAACCCTTCCAGCCTAGATGATAAATAGCAGTGCCAGCCATAACAAGCAGGCCACGGTGGGCGCCCTGCGAGTCAGCACTGCCAACAATGGGGGCATGTGCCACAATGGGTTTCTTGTGTGACGCCTGGATAAGGTAAGGCTGTCCAATTGCGGCCTATAATACTGTATGAATGCTGAGGAGGGTTTAGAACTACGCTCGATGTGCTACAACATCTGGAAGATCAACAGGGACAAGGCTGCCGCGAAGTACCCCAAGTGCATTGGACATGGCGGTGACCGTTGACCGTCATTCAAGCTAGCCATGTATTGGAGCCTACGGGCAGATTCGTTATGTGGGTCACACAAAATCCTGGGTATGTAGTTAGCGTGATTCAACCGTCTACTGCTCCCATAGATAGCTTACATTCCGATTACCGCCACTGCTTTATGCGAACGGTGAGCGCTGCCGGCTGATTCAAATGGTCGCCTTCCACTTGACCAGCTGTCGGTGACTCGTGCTCCCATGTGCAACCACTCCACGTGGGTGGACACCATCACGAATGACACGCAGCTTCTCCACCGTGCGAACGTAATTCTCACTAACAGCTCAGACACCTGCTTCTCTTTGTTACGACGCTGTTTATTGCGAAAATCACCGCTTTGTTCGAACAGGCATTGTGTGGGGGCTGAATGCAAGCGTTGGCCAAAGTGAAAGGGACGCAACAGCCGAACAATGAACGGGCCGCCGATTCACGTCCAGCTCCAGCGTTAGATCTCACCCTCACCGCTCTCTCACAGCGCAGAATGAGGGAGCTGGATCTTCGATAGGCGATACCACGCTGCACTCACCGACGTTTGCAATACTAAGGCCCACTCACCGATTTCACTTCTCTCCGCGGGGGTCGTAGGCGGCGTACGCTGTACAACACATTTTCGAAATTCAAAGCACCATCTCCGCTTGAAGCGCAGCTCAGAGCCAAACTAATCATGGATGCCGCAAGCCAGAACACCTCTTTCTCCTCACTATACGATTCATACCTGGACCGCGCAGACACGAAGTCGCAACCCATCAACGTCGACCGCCCGGACATGCGCCGTACGGCTTCAGCAGAGCACAATGCGATCATGCGCCAGATTATGGAGCCGTGGGGAAACCTCTCTTCGACACCGCCGGCGTGCCGCGCAGTCAGCTACAGCAGCTGGCGCCACTTCTCCGCTACCTCTTCCAACCAGTCCAAGTCCCGCGACGAGATGACGGCCTCAGCCCTCCTAGGAGAAAATGGTCTCGCACCCGACTTCAACCCACCGATGCTGGAGCGCTGCAACCTCAGCATCGCCGAGGAAGTGGTGTGCGGCAATCCTACGGCCCAGCCGCCAGAACTGCCCCAGCTTCGACAACGTAATAGGGATCCACGCTATTACCCGCGCTTCCAGCGTACACAGTCCAGGAGGGCAAGCTCGACAGGCTCTTGGTCGACGCTCGCGAGTGAGAGCAGCTATCAAATGGGAGCATCGGAGCCGGTCAGCTTCAACAAGCAGATGGTGAGGCCGGCCAGCACAAGCTCGCTTCTTACGATGAGCTTCAAGGAGTCGCCGAAGGCGCCGCGTTGTACGGAGCCGCCCAAGGCTGCGCTGGATAAGATTGGGAAAGATTTCGGGATCGAGAGGTTGAGCATTGACAACTTGCCAGAGGATGCATTCGAGTCGGACAGTGAGGACGGGGATTGAGAAGGGACGAGAGAGAAGAGAGAAATCACCTACGCCACAAGTGCAAGTCAAGTATGGGTATCCTGTCGGGCCCGATGCGCAGGTCAACAGTACCCAGGCACAAGGATGCCAGGCCCACCGAAGGAGCAAGATTCCCCATGGCCAGAGAGAGGCGGGACTACAAGCCCTTGGGTGTTTTGGGGGCAGTAGAACAGCATGTGTATCTCGCAAAAAGTGTGAGGCGGTTCATTGTTTGATAGCTTATTCGGAGATCCGCGTTCGCATCTCCCAGCGTCCACGCCCTGACCTCAGAACGGCCCAAGCTCCCAGATTTGTATTCGATGACGGCGTTGCGGCGAACGTCAGTCCATCTGTTGATTCTGTACATAGCTGCATCCACCTACCTAATCGCATGATTGCATAATGGCCATGGAGCGCTCTTTCCTCACATGCACGCGATCGCTCTCACAATCCCTCCGCTACTCCAATTTGTCCAAAGTCGCTGCAAGAAGCTTCTCGACGGCTTTGCGCCCTGCAGTATTGCCTCAGACTCGCACAAGACAGCGCCGCTGCCTCCACTCCACGCCTTCAAATTATGAAGATCGCGCCCCGAGATCGCTGCGCGATCCACCGTCCGACGACAACACGCAGGCCGACTTTGCTGCTCTCGACGTCCTGCGCAATACCGTCCAACCCGCGACCTCCATAGACGCATGTACCAGCGAGGGCTTCGCGCTGAACAACAATATGCGCATAGCCGGGTGCGGCGTCCTACTCGTCGGCGGCGAAGCCTACCGCTGGCGACCCTGGCTCAATCCCCAGGGCCAAAAAGGGACTGTTGAGCAGGATGCAGCACGAGACGATGCGATGACAGGGCGGCTGCTGAATGCGAAGGGCCAGTGGGAGGTTCCCGACGAGGCGTGGGGGCTGCTAGATGTAGTATGGCCGAAGCCTGGTACGACAACAGCATTCTGCACACAATTTCAACGCGAGCGTGGCTAACATGCGTCTGGCAGATTTGCTGATCATCGGGACGGGAGCGCGCATCACACCTATTGCGCCGGCGATGCGGAAATATCTGAACAGCCTGGGCATACGGCTCGACATCCAGGATACGAGGAACGCGGCGGCGCAGTTCAACTTGCTGGCGACGGAGCGCGGGGTGCAGCAGGTTGCTGCGGCGCTGATACCGATTGGCTTTCGAGAGGCACGGAAGGCCTGAGGATGACGGGATGGGCATGTGTGCACCGGTCAGTCTCACGCGTTGTAAACCACTGTAGCATACTGTATACGACATGATGATAAGCATCCTAGAATATCGACCGTGGTGGAAAAACCTGTGGGTTTCTCACTTCGAGCAAATCATTTCCACACTTGATGCTTGTGTCTATTCTGCTTTGTGGCTGACGTATTTGGGAGTATCACTTCTTCGGTCACTTTCCACCAAATCACCCACCACAACTACACGTAGCAAAAGCCACCCGTCCCTTTCATATACCCATGCCTTCCCCATGCATACCCCGTCAACCCCATGCTAATCAGTGCATGAAGACCCCCCTCCGCAAGATGTGGGACAGCGCCGTGCGGTGGACCTTCGCAGCAGACCCAGATCCTAAACTCGATGAGCCCGCGCACGAGACGTCGGTTTCTGCATCCACAAAATCCAAACCCAAACGTAAAACACGCACGACAGATGCCCACGACTTCACCACACTCAGACCGACTCCCCACCAACCCCGCGGCGTGCCTTCCCTGCTCGTGCAAAAGGGAAAGAGCGAGCCCGTGGTGTCGGTTCCGGACCCGGCGATCTGTGGAAGCGCAGTCTTAGTAAAAGGCGACGCGCTCAACACGCTCGCTACCATGGCTTCACCTGCTATGGCCTCACCCGGTTCTGTCTCTTCAATCTCATCGCTATCGTCTCCGCCGGACAGCCCGCTGGACAGTCCCAGTCGCAGTCCCAGCCCGGCTGCCCCTTCACCACCGTCACCGCCAGAGTCCGCGACACTCGCTCCAACATCACCTCAAAACCCAACTTCAGACGACAAGCCTGACACCGCAGCCATACGCCCCGAAATCGACGCCATGCAACCACCGCCCTACCCCGACCCGGACCCCGTGACAGAAGCCTTCCTCGCGCCCATGAAGACGCAGCTCGAGAAGCTGCGCCTGTCCACCGCGAGCGCGGCACCGACACCGAACATGCGCGCGTACTTTCCCTCTATGAAGAGCCACCTGCAGCTGTTGCGGGAGCGGCTGGAGCCTGTGGGTGCTTTCATTGTGCAGGAGGTGGAGAAGCTGGAGAGGGGGGGTGGGGCGGTGGAGATGAGGGTTTGGTAAGTTGGGGGAGGGCCGCCTGTTTGACGGGATGGGATGTGTGCTTGGGGACGGATGGAAGTGGGAAGCAACGCTGACAAGAAATGCTGGACAGTCACCATATTGCGAGGCACCACTGGCCGCTGCCCCCGACCCCGGGCGAGGCGACGCACCTCCGCATCCACGAAATGTACCGCAATGCGCTGTTCAAGCGCGCACATCTGGCGCTGCGTCCTCCCCCGCCACAAACACAACCACAACCACACCCGATACCTCCACCCCGAACCCCACCCCTTGACGAAGACAGCGCCGACGACATGCCCGCGCTCGAACCCGCCGCAGCGCCCTTCACCAAGTCCGCGAAGAACAAGCTGTCCAGCAGCGTGATGAAGCTGACAAAGCTCTTGCACAAGGACAAGGGTGAGTTTGCGTCCTTTCCACCGCTCTGGTTCGGTTCGAGCTTTCTACATACGAAAGGGTAGCGCGACTCGACTCGACTCACACCCCCACGCAGGAAAAGACGATGCCGCCAAACAGGGCAAGGACACGCACGATGACGACAACAGCAGCGTAGACTAGGATCGAGAGCTGCAACTGCTGGTGGACGTGGAAATGGCGAGCGCGATGGAGGCGGAGGGAGTGGCAGATGCACGGAGCGCCAACAGGGCCGACCATGTGTCCCTGTTGACGTACGGTCTGTGTAGAGTGCGGTGCTGGTTGCGGGAGTTGGCCCAGGTAACAGGATTTGGAGTCCTGGGCGTGGTGCTTGGTCTTGTGGTGTTCAGGACGTGAGTTGAGGTAGTCTTCGACCTACTACACGGTCCAGCACAGACGGAAGCATTGAAGCCATGCCCAAGTCCCACTCTTCTCTCCTCACAGTCTCAAAAGGCTTCATGCAAAGTGAACAAGGTCTTCCAAGATAATTATGCATTCCGCTATGACCTAGCCAGCATGCAGCTACACCGACAAATTGTCTAGCTAACAAGCTCCGCATGCTCTCTAACAGTAACAGGCCTACATGATGCTTTCCCTGCCAAGCCCTCTGCCAAAACGACAAACATTCGCAATATGCCATAACCACAAGTGGAGACTCTGACTGGACCAGGACAAACAAGAAAAGGGATATGAAAAGCCGCCCCCAATCGAGCCTAAGAAAGTCCGACTGACACGGCACTGAAAGGAAAAGTTCTCAAACGCCGCCCATCATATCCCATGCATCTTTCATGAACGAGCAAAAACGTCAACATTACCAATCCCTGCTGAGGGCTGGTTGTCATGTCGAGAGCTGCTCGCGGAGGCCGCTGGGCTCAGGCTTCTTGTGTCTTCGGCCGAGCAGCGTGGCGTTGTCCAGGCTGAGCTCGAAGGCGCCCTTGTTCTTGACCTGGCGCTTGGCGGCGGCGGCGACGGCGGGCGAGTGCTGGCCGTAGCCGCGCTCTTGACGTACCGGTGCGGCGGTTTGCCGTGCTTGGGCGGCGGCGGATAGGGATGTGTTGCGCATCTTCTGCTCCATGGCGGAGACGTCTGATGCTTGCGACTTGGGCAGCTTCGCCGGAGGGTGTTGTTGTGATGCGTCGTACGGAACCGACTCGGCCGTGAACTCATCATCCTCGTCCTCGTCAAGTGCGTTGAGAGAGTTGATGGCGTTTGCGCCCCGGTAGCCTTGCTTGAAGTTCTTTCTCCTCTTGCCCTCCTCTTCTTGTCGGTGCACCGCGTACCCAACGTCAAACACTTCTCGCAGGTTGACAGCACCTGGAGAACGGAAGTCCATCCGCCTCGCCCCCGGTGACTCTAGGTAAGCAAAGTTCTGTCGCATAGGGTCTCCACCGCTTCCTCCCTCATACGAAGCCTGCTTTTCGCGAAGTGCCGGGGTGGCTAGCGGTGGTGCGTCGTGTGCTGCGTATGTAAGTTCATCCGCTTCCCGCATCCAGGGGTGATTCAGGAACTGGTTGATGTCGTATCGCTTTTCGGGGTCAACGGTCAAGAGATGTGAAACCAGGTCCTGAGCAGGCTTGGAGATGTCGTCCCACCACGGTGACAGGAAGGTATACTGGCCGCGTGCGACCTTCTCGGTAAGCGTCTGAATCGACTCATCGTAGAATGGCGGGAAACCGCAAAGAAGTGTGTACAAGACGCATCCCAGTGCCCACATGTCAACACTCTTGGAATACCGCTCATCCTTTACGATCTCAGGGGCAGTGTAACCGACTGTGCCACATGGCGTCATAGTCTGGCTGTCCCAGATGACCTTTGACAGACCGAAATCCGCAATCTTGATCAGACCAATACCGCCAGCACCTACACCCTTGACGAACTCACCCTCATCCGCCTTGTCCTCGTCATCAGGGCCCCGCGGCTTCGGGTTGCGGGTGGGGACAAAGGGGGTGGGGTAGAATAGAAGGTTCTCTGGCTTGATGTCACTGGAGCATGACGTCAGTAAATGGAGGCCTTGGCGGGTAAAACTGGCTGGAAACATACCGATGGACAACACCTGCCTCTTCGTGCAGATACTGTAACGCTTTGGCCACCTGCTGGATGACGTGCCGTGATAGGTCCTCGCTGAAGTAGGTCAGGCGGACGATTTGGTGGAAAAGCTCGCCTCCAGGGCACAACTCCAGGACGAGATAGTAGTATTGGCGAGACTCGGAGAAGTCGATGAGCTTGACGATGTTGGGGTGGTCCAGCTGGCGCATTATCTGCACCTCTTTGAGAATGTTCGCTCTCTGTAGGTCATTACGTCAGTGTCTGCCTCTCTAACCACATGCTGGGAGAGGCTGATGCTGCCGGGACCGCGCATGAGACTCGTGTAGTATGCGCACCTCGACCGTTTTTGGTGCCTTTTTGAAGTCCGGATGCATATGGTTATCGCCCTACATCGAAACCATGTGTTGGTAACTGCTACTCACTCTCACACCAACCGAAGCTTCGTGACACGGGGACGGGGATGAAGACAAAAAGGGCATGGGGCATGAAGGGACAGTTCCACCGGGGGAACACTAACCTGGCTGGAGTTCATCTCGAACTTGCGGACGACCTTGATGGCGACCTCGCCGTGTTGGCCGTTGTTGTCGCGTGCGCGGTAGACGTTGCTGAAGGCGCCGTCGCCCATCTTCTCGACGAGCGTCCAGCGCTCGAGGCCGGGATACTTGGGCAGCTTGCCCTTGGCTTCACGCTCTTCGGCGACGATACGCTCGAGCACGGTGGGGTCGATATCTCTGTTCTTTGTGCCAGCAGCGGCAGCGGCCTGCTGCTTCTGCTTGTCGCCCGCGCGGTCGGCTGCTACGTTGCCGGCCTTTGCGGCGATGTTGCGGTTGTCGACGGCGCCGGCGGAGAAGTCGCCGTGGGGCGCGACGACGTGCTCCTTCTGTGCCTGGTGCATGGCAGGCTCGCTGATGCCAGCATGGTGGGGCTCTGGGTGGTTGTTATGGCGCTGGGGTTGATGTTGTGCGTGGACGTTGGACACGTTGGTGGTGGGCTCGCCGTGGGCGGCGGTCCCCCGCGCCTGTTTGCCATGGCGCAGGAAGTTCTTAAAGTTCTGTATTGCGGCCATCTTAGTCGTGTGCGTGCCGTTTGGGGGTGTGTAGGGAATTTTGGGAGGTGGAGGGCGGGGTAGCGCTCAAAGAGGCGCTGTGAAAGAGAGCTAGCGGAGGCACTGAAGCAGTCCGGAGCAGGCAGGGCGGAGTGGCAGTTGAGATGGCAAGAACGGGCAGCAGAAACACGCTTGGGAACTCGTCGAGGTCATGCAGATGCAGCGCCCTGGCGACGTTGGCCGCCAGAACAAGGTGTTCTGGGGTCCTGCGTCATTGCCCGCGGCCCGTGCCCGATGACGCTGCGCTCGACATCATACCCAGACGCGCGCCCACTGCGTCCAGCCTACGCCATCAGTTAAACAGCTCACTTCCGTGTGCGAGCCCGCGGGAGTGCTGCCCCTGCCGCTCCGAGATTGCCCATGCGCCGTGCAGTGGAATGGAATGGAATGGAATGATGCGCGGTCTGGAGCTGGCCGTCACTCACCTCAATCACAGCCATCCTGCTGCCCCTGCGTCGGTCTGCGTTTGCGCCTCGGTCGCGCTGGAAGAGCATACGCTCGCCGTCGTTCTCGCGTGAAAGCCCACTTCAGTGCTCGCTTACGGGAGCAGTATGCCGTGTTACGTCGTGGACGTGTGGACTGAGCACGAAGATGACGGTGTGTGTTTCGCCGACGGGAGATCTTGCAGTTGGCCCGTAGCGCTGTGCAAGGGTCGATGGCTGGTTGGTATGGCGCTGGGTACACAGAGATGTAGTCTTGGTCGCGGATGGTTGTGATCGCTGGCAGGGCTTCGTGGGCGGTATGCAGTCGGTCAATGGATTCCACGTATGGCCGCCGGGTCGTGATGCTGATGCTGGTGCTTGCTGGTGCTGTCGGCAAACGGCGCAGAAAAGGCAAAAAGTACAAGCCGGACAAAGGTAGGAGAGACAGCCAGGTCTAGGGGTCCCGCTTGGAGATAATATGTGCTGTGCTTTTCGCGGTGTCGGGTCTGCCACGCCAACAAGCTCGCACGCCCTCTGCTTGCGATGCCGGCGGTGCGCGGCGGGCGGCTTCTCCGGCACAGCTTCCAAGGTTCTCTATCGTGAGTGCCTCAGCTGCTGCTGCTAGAGGTCCCTCAACACACGCTACTGTGGTAGACGCCGGCCATGGCGCCACCATGCGAAACTACTTACAGCCGACATCTCGCTGCCCGACGCTGCTGCCGTCCGTTCAAGCGATAGGCCAGCCCCGTCAAGAACCTCTTCGCGCGTCACCGCCGACTGTGCACTTTACCGCAGAAAGAAGCTCATCACTGCTCTGCGTGCTCTTAGGATTTCCTACTCCCACATCAATTTTGGCGGCGCGCGGATCTAATGCAGGGTCTGGCCGATGACATCACTACTAGCGCGGTGGGGCAGAGCTATTGATCGTTTCCGCCGCATTTGAAACGTACGACACACCCACAATTGGGGCCAAAAAGCCCACATCACGAAGCCTGTCCTCGGCCACTTGGCTGGCGTGGGTGCACTCGAGGTCCGTACCTGCTCCCTGCCGCCTTGGAAGTTCCTCCCTATACCAGCATGACGGGCACTGACTGTTGCTGGATGGAAATGACTCGGTCGTAATCCAATGCAGGGTCCGCTAGTGCGCAGTCCGTCTGCGAGTAGTCTCACTGGAGCCACACGTGTCGATACGAGCTTGCCTACAGTAAGCATTTATATGTAGAGTCGTAGTACTGGTATACTTTTTCGTGTCGTGGAGCGGCTCATTCTCTCGAGCCGCAGGGTCCGGTGAAGATGCTTGGAGATCATATGACCGCGTGCTTACCGACAGCTTTCACCTCTGCACTGGCTGAGAGAACTTGTAGTGTTTTGCGGCGGTGGTCAGCAGCGGTAAGGACCCCACGCGAACCCTTGAGCGTCGGCCCGTAGAGCCATACATTATACGTGATGTGTGAACCGACGCTGTCCGTGCTCGGACGAGACGCTCGGATACAGTAGGCAAGATCTGCAACAGGACTTTGATCCCACTCGCGTTGAAGACCAAACCAAGGATGGTCATGAAGGCATTATCAAGCCGTTCCCGCGTGGTCTACATGCTGTGCTCGGACGGTCACGGATGGGGTTTATCAGTGCTTCTAATCCTGACTCACGGCATCCCCTCTAATGTTGAGTAATGCTCGCTTGCACGTCTCAGTAAGCGAAAAGCTTCTAATGAAGTCATGGATTGTGTAGAACCGGTGGGGCATTCAACTTCAGCATACAGTACTCGCACAAATGGCTGATCACAGTGTACTCTCACAGGGTAGGCGATACGTAGGCCCATAGTACTCAAACTTTTGTCTTAGTAACGTAGAGCAAGCATCAACCAACACAATGCAAAAAAGGATAGCCATGATCATGACGCATCATTCATTCATCTCCGCTACCCCCTTCCTCCACTCTAATGAGGACCAGCTACCACGCACCTACTTACCCATCCCCATGTCAAAAACCGTATTATACAATCCCCACCGGGCGCTCAAACAGAATGTATGTAGAAGAAAAAAGGGTGCCAAACATAGCGTAGCGTAGCGTAACAGAACAGAACAGAACAGAACAGAGCCAGCCGTGACATCATATACTCATGAATCCATTCCTTTCGCAAAAAAACAAAAACCGCAGACCAAATGCTGTACACCAACATTGCTCAAAAGTCGAAAAATAATGAACGCGCCATGAACTGGCGCTAGGTATGAACATGCGTCCCACCCGGCGTTCCAGGCTCGACGTACCACCTCCCACCGATGCTCTTCCTGAGCGCTTCTCGCCTTCTCTCCGCCCTCCGCTCTCGGAACCGTTCTTTCACGCCGCTCAGGCCAATGTACTGGACCTGCATGTTCTTCAAGCCGGGGATTGTCTTGCCCTGTCGCCATGTGCCGCGGTCGGTGCGGCGTCTAGGTCGTTCCAGCGTCTGCGTGCTAGACGACGCCATCGATGCGCCAGACGGTCGTTTCTGGACGCGCGCAGACTGTGCGCGGCGAAAAGGGAATGTGGGCGGTTGAATGAGGATCTTAGGGGCTTCGCGTTTGGTCCAGCGATCCGACATGCTACGTGAAGGGAGATTGATTTGTGGCTTCCGCCTGTTGCTGCCGGATCTTTCGACACCGAGAGAGTTGCCGATCAGGAAACCATTGGGTTTCTTGACTTTGTTCGTCAGCCGCCTGCTAAGAGCGCCTACTCTCTTTCGTGGCGAGGGCGGCTCAGAATCTGAGTCTTCTATGTCGCTCGTGTCTCCACCGGGCGGCAGGATGTCATCATCACTTTCGGACTCACTATCGTCAAAGTCATCCCAAAAGCCGCGCGGGCGCCAGAATGGATGCAGACTGCCGTCTTCGTCGTTGACTGAAGGTATTTGAAGCTGGCCATGACCGTGATGTGAGACGCTAGCAGACCGACCGCGCATGCTAGACGCACGGGCTAGGAAGGGTGATATGAAGTTGTCTGAATAGCGGCGTGCGCGTTGTTTCAACGAGAGGCGACGTTGTGGATGCGAGTCAGACCGCTTTGGGGGGCCTGGCGGGGCTGGAACAAGTTGCCTTTCTAGTTCTTCAGCGGGGGTGGGCGGAATGAATTTTATGACAGGCGGCTCCGGTGCCGTGCGAGGATTCTTGAGCGGCGAGTCAACCGCCGTAAAAGTAGGGAGATCGATCTGCATGGGCGGAGTGGAAGGTTCAAAGGTGAAAGTTGGCTTCGAAAGCTCCGTCTGCGGGCCTTCGCTCGCGTCAAAGAAAGGTGGTGTGGAAGGTTCTTCGAGCTCTTCTACGTCAGGTATCGCGAAATGCGCTTCATTCGCAATATAATGATGCGCTTCAGGTTCTTGACTTGCTCGCGCGAATTGTTGCACAACCGTTACAGAATTGTTGTTGTGGGGATAGATGCTTACAGCTGTTGCTTCGCTGACCTCGATGGGTGTGTCAGAGAATTGCGAGAAAGGTGTCGTCTGTGAGAAAAGATGACGAGCCATGGCGTGTTCATCGGTCCTTGAAGTGGATCTATCGAAGCTTACGCGACCGTTCTCGTCGGTGTGAAAAGAGTGTCGTTCACGGCTGGCTCGAGGATGTTCTTCTGAATGAAGACCGTCTAAGCTGGGTCGCGGAATGGCGTCTCGTGAGTTCGAGGTGCGATCCTGGCTAAATGAGCTTCGTCGTCTTTCTTCCGAACGTCCACGTGTAGACACTGATCCTCGTCGCGCATTCGGCGACGCCTCGTTGGATGAGACATGTGTTTTCGGAGTTTCCTGCACACGCGGTGATTCAGCGGCTGTAGGTTGTGGAGTTCCATCGGACGCTAGCAAATGGCGCACTCTGTCGAGCATGGCAGACGAAGGACGGGTGTCCTGCTGATCCGGGTCGTGTACCTCACATTTTTCGGTTCCGAGGTCATCCGTATGCTGAATGGGGAGCTCCAACGGAATCTCAGGTAGAGATTTGTTGACATCAGGCGTTGCGTGGGGTGCTATGTTTTTACATGTCGGTGATTTTTTACGGATCAGTTTTGGAAGCAGAAGGTCGTGCACATTCTCGACAGGCGAGGACGGCAGGGCTGCTTCTACATGCGCTAGCCTTGACGATATTTTCCGTTCGCGTTTGGGACTAGGGCTTGCGGGTGGTGATATGTTGAACGTGCTACGCGATATAGAGGGAGTACGTGTGCGTGTGACAGCCTCAGGTGCAGATGCGATCCGTTTGTGGGCATTTAGGGAAGATGCATTTCGGGTTACCGAGTTTGACCGGCTCATGATATCGGCCGCCGGTTGCAGCACGCTCTTGATCGATCGTTGATGGGCTAGAGTGACCGCTGCGCTTTCTTCTGCACGCTGTCGGAGAGATGCTGGCGTGGCCGTGCGGTCGTACATGGTAGCAGAATCGGAACTGATGCGATTCCTCCTGTCGTTGATGCTTGCTTTTTTGTGGAGAAGTCGATGCAGCGGCACGTCGTCGGGCCGGATAGATGTCCGGGAGTAAATGGTCGATCCGTTTTCTGTGGGTGAGTCTGCATCGCGCCTGTAAGCCAGGTTCTTTCCGGAATGACGCAGAGTATGCCGTCTTTGTGGTTTTGGAGGTGTGATAACGACCATTGCCTCCACTACAGTTGATGACATGGACGAGGCGGAGAAGCGCTTCTGATCAGGTTCGCTAGTCCGTGCATCCACAACTTCGATCGGCCAATTGATTGCCTTGGCAAAGTTCTCGACGGAAGATGTGTGCGGACTGCGCCTGCTCGCCTCGACCCGCTCGCGAAGACTGGAGCTGCGCCGCGGCGTCGATGCGGCTATAGGGGATACAGCTGGAGATGTAGGCCTAGGAGCATCCGGCTTCTTTGGTGACGGCTTTGCGTTTCGCTTTCTGCGCACAGTCACATTCCGCATCAGATTTGTGTCCCATTCCCGATTTGGTACGTCCTCCACATCCAGGTCACCCTGGCCATTCAGCCCGCTTTCCAATTTCTTTGACGCAGTGTCGAGCGGGGCCTCAACGACGGTATTTTTCGGAGTATTGGCATCGTCCTCGCGCTCAAATGCCAGCCCTAACCCCCGGTCCTCTTCCACAACGCTCAACCGCGGGCCCAGCGGGGTGCTCGATCGGCTCTCCGCTTCGGACGAGATTGGTTCTTCTCTGGCAGTCGTAAAAGATTCGGCGCGGGACGAGGGATATGTAAAAGGAAGAGGGCGCTCAGGCGTCGTCATGGATGCGGTGGCTTTTCTTGGTGGACTAGGATCAGGCGTGGGAGGGCTGCGCTGGTTAACAGGGGTACTCAGAGTCGATTTGCGCGACGTCAGCGAGGCGACCACGCCGTCTACATGGGGTGGAGGGCTGTAATCGGTCGCAGGTAGCCCGTCTTGCGAATTCGAAGGCGGCGTTGGCGGGAGTCCACTCTCTGCTCCGTTAGGAGCTACAGCTGGAGGCACCAGAGGTGACGGGGTTGGAAGCTCGCTGCTGGCCTGCGACTCGGTCTCATCGTCTTGCCACAGCGTGTGTTCCTTGGATGCAGCAGGTTCAAGCCTGCGGTGGTCGTCGCTTCGGCGCGGAAGCGGCTTATGGGCGCGGAGGTTGGGGGATGCGGTAAACGAGGATTCGAGCAAAGCATAAGCGTTCGAGGGCGATTCGGACATTCTTATGACGGGACGGCTGAGCGCGTGGCGGGTCAGGATGCGATGGTTGCCAGCCCTCTGGACTTCAGCGCCATCCCCTACGCGCGCAAATCAACAGAGCGGCGGTGCATGCGACTTGAAAACTGGGCGTGCGAGGATGCGTGCGAAGGAGCGGTTGAGGCGCAACGTGCGGGCTTGCAGGAGGCGTGGGCGGAGGTGACGCAGGTGTCCGTCAGCCGCGATTCTGCGCTGGCAGGGCTGTAGCGATGGCGACGGCGATGGCGACGGCAATGGCGACAAGTCGATATGTCGTCGTCGAGATGATGATGTGCGATATCCGGATCCTCGCAGTGGGTTGCGCTGGGTTCGTGGTGGTGGGGAGAGCTGGAGTGCGCGCAGCGGGAAGAGACAGGTTCAGGTTGGACTCGCAGGACGATGGTCGCGCTTGCGCAATGCGGAAGGATCGATGCCGCCCAATCACGATAGCAGTCCCAGGCGTGGGACTTTGGGGTCGTGATTCCGCGTATGGACAGAGTGCAGGTTGACAATAATACTCGCTGTGTAGCGACGTGCGGGATGAGTGGTTGGTTCGGTTGCTTCCAAGTTGGCCAGACGGTTGGCGTTGGCGTCATCCAGCTGCACTGCAACTGCCAACTCTCTGCAAAAGAACCCCTCACCATGCAAGACGAACGTGATCAGCACGCATCGAACGGCGGTCATGTGCCCATTTGCGATACCATATTCACGTCTTGCGGCTCCATCTGGACAAGCCAAACACCTGTTCGGGGTACCTGGGCTCAGTCAAGAAGCCCCAGGCTGCTGGCTCGTGATCACGGACAACGCAGACATGTTGCGCAACGCCCGGGGCTGCTATGTGAACCACATTGCTTTCATATGCGCTGCATGTTCATACTTGAGCAAGTCCTTAGGGCAACTTGCCATCGTTACACTCGCTCTAATAGGCACTACTGCAGCCACAAAGGATCGGGTCCGAGTGTGCTGTGTCACCGTGACAGGCCTGCAGCTTGTGTGTCTGTACTGAGCGTGTAGGAAGTTGCCCTTCGTGAAGAATGGAAAATTCAAATGTCGCAGCACCTTGCAACAATTCATGTTCCTCTGTCGAATTGCCTGGTCACCATGACACTGAACGAGCCGTGGATCCCGCTTTCGGCACGGCACGCTCTTCAGACCTGTCAGCATCCCCGGAGTCGTCTCCACGTGGCATAGTATACCGACAAAACGGTGCATACCCGCTGTACCTGCTCATGCTTTCGGTGTTTCTTCACTACGATTAGTGCTGGTTGCCTTTTCGTGGCTACCGGGAGTTCCTTCGCGCTTATCACAGCAGGGGAACCCATAACCTAGCTCCGCTGCAAATGGCCTCTAGTGGACCACTGTAGACGTCTTTCTGAATTTTCGTACGAAAGTCTTTACAAGCTGCGGTTTAAGCGCGTGGACCCGACTAGGCTCGTGGTTTTCAGGTCTTGGCAACACACGATTGCTAACGATGCACGGTTAGTACAATCGACTAGCTTTACGGAGTGTCGATGGGATGCAGTTCGCAATTCCCGCTGCCTTGCTTGTGGAAATCAATTGCGATTTATTGCTGATCTCAGCCACGTCCAATTGCTGTCTTGAGAGTCATGGCATATTTGCGAGCATCGAACGCTCACGTCTGTCGACACGTTGGGAAGGTCAAGGTAGATGCCAAGGTTTGCTGTAAGCGCTGCATGGGGCTAGATGGGGTATGGACCGTGCTATCGACAGCCTCGGGATATCTCTCGACGGACGCTCACGTGTGGCACAGTTCGAGGGTGTATTGGGGACTTAGCTAGATAGTCTTATCTCAGACTGCGTCCACCCGCCTCCTTTTGCTATTTTCGCTGGCGTCAGGAGAACCCGCGCGGTCTTTGGAGCACGCTGAAGATGCCAGGCACAAGCGAATGATGGGGCGTGGACGGTCACGGAAGCACGCACGTCATCATCTCAGCTTGCAACAACGGCGCGCATGCGGCTTTGGTCGCGGGAGGACCCTTTCTCCATAGTTTCTGTGTATATTCCAGGGTCTGTTAGTCATCGGCCCGCGTGAAACAGTGGCGACGTTGCATTGTGCATTTGTTAGAGACATCGCATTCTGAGATGGCGGGGTCAGTCTGACTGCCATGGCTTGGACAACGGGCGGCGCGCAAACGTCGCTTCCACGCATATCCGCAGGAACACTGCTCTTTGAGCGGTATCGTGCTCGTTCTTTACATCTCGCGACCGAATCACGGTGAATGACAAGCGTGGTGAGACGCCGGTCCGCTTGTCCCACCCACTGACTAGCTGCACTTCCGTCTCCGCCTGAGGCTAAGGGTCGCATTGCTACCTCGATATCCCTGGCAACCAAGCAGGTCGACGATCCCACCTTCTTGCCCGCAGCGCAGCACACAGCATACACACAGTCAGGGCGCTGTGCTGCCGCCAAACCCAGCACTGATTGGCGGACCTCGCTTGGTTTCAGGAGTGGTGCACCGTTAGAGATACCGCTCAACCGCTTCCACCCCTCCCCACGTCCACGTTCACGCCCAGCAGCCCCGTTGTCGCGTGCCCCATTTCCTTCCACCCTCCCACAACCAGCCCCGGGGGCCAGTAGAGACTGCACCGCGAAACACAAATCGCTCGGCTGCAGGCAGACGTCGCAATGGTCGACGCATTCAAGGGCAGGTGGAAGGCCAAGCTGTTCGCCAAGGACCACGCGGGAGACTCTCCACCAGAGGACCCCAAGCCCAAAACGCAGACGTCGTTCAAGTTGAACGACGATGTGAACGAGTACGCGACCCCCGTGCCCTGTTTGCAGTGGTTTTCGTGTTGTAACTCCCCCAGCGTGCATCATGCTAACTACAAGCCTCCAGCTTCCTCAAGCCCTCCACCGAGCGGGCACAAGCCCAGAAACAAGCCGAAGCCGCCGCACAAGCCTTTCTACACTCAAGCCGGCCCAAAATAGACGTCGTCAGCGCGCAACGATGGCCTTCCTCGAGCGATGTACTCAACAGCGCAGCGGGCAAGAACGGAGGGTTGAGGAAGGGCACGCGCAAGAAGGGCCTCACCGTGTCGTTCGTGCGCACCCAGCCCATTGTCATCGGCGAGGGTGGTGATGAGTGCGAGGAGCCGTCAATCACCGTGTACAACCGCAGGAAGTCGAACAGCGTCTCAGACGCGGAGAAGCTGGCCACGCAATCGCACCAGGACGACATCGGCCTCGGCGCACGCAGCCCCAAATTCGACGCGCTGGGCAGCCAGAATGCGCAGGCTGCGCAGAGAGGCATCGTCACAAGAACGCTAACCAGCGGCGGTGAGCTGTCTCCGCCATTGCGGCAGAAGCTCGAGGTGGGCAGCATCAACACGCACGCAAGCCCGCCGCCTGAGCCTGCCAAAGGTATGGGTACGATGGGTTTGGGTCAGCGACCAAAGCCGTTGACGAGAGCACCCACCGGGTTCGACGTCCAGGACTCCGAAGCGCAGACCAATGACCCGAGAAGGCCTAGCATGGACTCTGCCTACTCGTTCGACAGCAATGGTGAGAACATTTCACCGGTGCTGTCGAAAAAGGCGCCAGAACTTCCGCCAATGCAAGAGGAAGAGGAGGATTTTAGGCCGAAAACGTTGTCGCGAACGCAGACGGGATGGAGCGAGCATGCTGGAGACTCTGACAACGAGCCAATGCCCGCAATCCCGCGATTGCCAGAGGTGAAGGCGGCCGAAGCTGAGTCACCAATCGACGCAAAGGCTTTGCTGGCAGAACGCTATCTACAGAGCGAACCCGCCGACCCTAATTCTTTTTCCGCACGAGTCATACAAAAGATGCGGGCAGATGAGGGTAAAGCGTTGCATGAAGCTCAACAAAGAGCCGCCGACCATGCGAAAAGCGACTCTGGGTCCAGTGCTAGTTCGTTCCAGCCAGGCTCCGTGCAGTCCAGTGGGTTCGTAGTGGGAACGCCGCCAACGACAGTCACCACGCTTGCTGGCAAAACACCACCGCGATTTGCAACACGCGAGCCCGTGCCACCCCCAGAGTCGCCCCAGCGCGCACTAGACGCAGAAGATCCCCACAGATCGAGGGCTCGCGGGCCGTCTCCTGGACGGAGTCCGATGCCTCCTGGAACCTTCCCGCTAGACACAGATCCTCGCCCTTCCTCTTCCTCTTCTGGTCAGCCCTCGGCGGCATCCCGTACACCACAATACGTACCATACTCTGCAGCCACAACTACGTCGATACAACAAACCCCTTCTACCCTTGAAAAACCATCCTTCTCCGCCCAAAGTCAGACATCTATAGTACCAACTCCCCCGCAGTTTGAGCGACAGGCCGTCATATCTCCACCGCGAGCAGAGGAACCGCCAGCGCCACCACCACACCGTGAGATGCCAGTCCAATCGCCCGCCCTTCCCACGAGTCAGGTCCCTCTTCGACCACGCCAAGATACGGCTACCTCAACTTTAGGCCGCTCAGATACCAAATCCCAGGCGGAAGGCGCATTTCTTGACTTCGGCGAGCGAGTGGAACATATGCGTGGCGTTTTCCAACTAATGGCACAGCTTAACGGGCAGATTTACGATCATTCACCTACTGTGTGGTTGCGTGTTGCAAGTTGGTGGTTCTTGAAAGGACGTGCGGCAATGGAGACTGCCATTAGGAGCCGATCTAGGTCTGGAGAACAGCAGCCGGAACGCCTTATCCAAGCGCACGTCGATCTCGCCAAAACCTGGTGGATACTCACTGAAGTCTTCGCTAACCACCCCAAGCTAGCCAAGTCCGGAGATCAACAAATGGGTTCGCAAGCCAATACAGCCAGAGCTACCGGGGACGAGCCCCGTGCAGAAATGGATGAGACACATGACGCTGTTCTAGGGGCCCTGAAGATGCTATTGGGATCCATGAAAAGGCATCAGAGTATGCCACCTACGCAGGCTCTCATACAGGGGCAGCAGCAAGACATCTGGGAGACGTATCCCAAATTCGCTCCAGACGCGGCCAGCGTTCTTTCCTACGCTTCTGCTAAGCTGATCGTTGCCGATGGCGCGCAGCCGCGCATAAATCCTATGAAGTTCATGCCCGTTTCAGACACAAAAACGGACTTTTGCTATTTCAGGATGTTTGCCCAAGTTTCTATGTCGACAGAAGACCTGAATACCGATCGTGCTCCCTTCCCAGTCGTTGTTTCTGTACTGAGATCACGTGAGACTTTCAGTGTCAGACTTGCGATCAGTAGCCAGAATGAGCTCGCCAATATTATGGTAGGGCCGTCTGCAGATCTCGGTGCCACTTGGAAAGATGTTTCCTGGAGAGCGAAGAGCCATAGCTTTGCACTGCAGCTTCGTCACGGGTTTGTCCTGAACGTCGAACTAACTGAAACCGATTTCCGAAGCCTTTGGAACATTGTCGACCACACAAACCGCGTTGACAGCGCTCTCCGCGAACGAAGCGACGAGCGCACTTCATGCGTTATGATGCTCCGCGAAGGTATCTACAAGGATCCGACCAATCCCGGAGTATTCCCAGCGGAGCCCGTCAGAGGCAGCAAATTGCTTCTTTTTGAGAAATTCGATCGTAGCAGCGAAGGAACAGGCAAGAGGAAGCTTCACCGCGGGTACCGCGTGGTGATGGTCACACATCCCAGGAATCGTACCGTTGGTTTCGTAACCCACGAGGCAGGCACAAAGCCAGAACCATTGAATTTTGCATATACAACCGAGCCTGATCAAGCTCCTTCGATGGTAATCCGATTCAAGGAGGAAATGCCGGACAAGAGAATAAAGGTTTGCACCATGCGCGCGGTGTTCAATGAGGGCAAAGAGCGGAATCACATCTTTGGGCTTCTAACCTCCTTGAACACCGGTGAATCCGAGAAGATGTTTGCTCAAGTCCCTTTGAAAGCATACAACATTGAGAGCGCAGACCCAGCAGAAGGCTTCAGTCAAAGCGGAAGCAATGTTTTGAACAAATTACAGTGGCTCGAAGCGAAGACGATGAATCAGGATCCGGATATCTTCGGTCTGGAGTCTGCACCGACGGTTATGAGTGAAAGCCTGAGGATCTTGTGCAGACACAGCGCTGGTGTCTTTTCCGACCGCATGAACCTTGGTAAGTAGATCGATTCAGCATTTGTGAGATTCCACTGACTAGTTTAGACACCGGAGAGTTGCTTGTTCGGCTACCAACTTCCGGCACTCCAGAACTCACCTTCCTCAGAAATCCGCAGCGCGACATGGCCATTGCAATTGATGCCTCGCGTTCAGAGAAAGATATACCGGATGCACTTGCCGACTTGCTCAGAACCCTCATAAACGCTTCCACCATAAGACGACTAACGTTCGCCTCATATCAGGACCTGCACGCTTTCCAACTTGCCGTCACCGGGTTCTCGGTTCGTTTTGATGGGTGAGCATTGCGCGCACTTCTTCTCTATCTGCCCCGTTATTAACAAGAGCAGTATCGCCTCTACTCTGTCCATCGCTCGCCGCCGCATGGTCGTTCCAATCTACAAGCAATGGACCGCAAATACGATTCGCATCCAGATCGTCGAGCAAGACAACATCATCCAACTCCTCGCCTTCTTCGAAGAATTCTCCCACGCCGACGCCATGAACTTCCAACTCAAGCCGCAAGACGAGTTCCAGAAGACAGACAAGGGTGGGAAGGCCTCGGTCCGTCTCGTGGACTGCAAGTTCGCACTGCCTGTTGAGGAGCGCAAGGGAGAAGGCAAGATGGGCAAGGAAGAGGGGAGACTTACCGGCTGGGCTGGTATGAAGAGGCGGTTTGTCTGCCTGGATCAAATTGAATACCCCGGGGAGCACGATGATATGATTATTTCGTTTGATAGCCAGGAGAGTACGTTCACCCTTTTTATCCCCAGACACAGAAAAAATGCTAATCCACTCACAGCGCGCGACAAATTCGCGGAAGCCCTCCCCTCGGCAACAGTCTCACGCAAGTTCACGGTCCGGAGGAAGATCTAGTCGGTCTGGCATCCATGACCGCGCCTACCCGCGAGCTCGAGTTCGATCATCTCACCATGCTTCTGCATAACACATACATTTTCCTTGTTTCCTTTGTTCATCACATTGAAGTTTGCGGCACTCATGGCCATATACAGCGTAGCATTAGCACGGAGCGGGGACTCTTTCAGGACGGAAGATATCACTGCGGCGATCGGTTAGGCGGGCGGTGTTTGGGCGCTGGTTCCAGTATATGTCAAATTGGTTCACCATGTTGGGTTGATCGCGGTAGGACGTGGGGATCCGCGACGAGGGTTCAGGTTCGGGTTGGAGTGCTTTATATATGATACCTAGGACTTGATTTGTATAGCCGGAAAGTCAATTTTGGTTGTTATTGCGACTTGAGAGGGTGCGCACTGTGCTATGCTATCTATGATGCCGTGAGGTTGGTGGAGAAAAGGCGATTGGGACATTTCCAGGGGGCTAATAACTTTACTTTGCATCTCCATCGTAGCGTATATCTCTCCATATGCTTTATACAGTCTCTGGTATATTTATTAAGCTCACTAGGTTGTTCGCAGCCTTCAAACAGCCATGCGTATGACTCTAGATCGGCTCTAACATGTCCTTTGAAGCAGCACAATTAGCATTCTCTTTTTCTCCGTTTTCAAGTGTCCTCGCGATGAACAATGCAGTGGCCTAAGTTTTGATTGATTTACTTCCAGGATTCTGTATCCAATATTATCACGTGAGGGCGGAGAAATACATTGGACACATCACTGTGATTGACCCACTGTTGAGAGATCCCCAATACCTTGTTAGATCATCTCCAAACTCGCTTTCGGCCTTTTCTGTTTCCTCCTCCTCGGGACCATCACAATGAGCGTGACCAGTGTGCTCGTCTATGTGTCTTTTCGTAGCTCTTGTTTCTCTTTATGGATTGGTTAAAGTTGTCATGATTGCGCAAATCAACTATCTTCGGTCTGCTAGCAGTTGAAGGAAATGAGGCTTTTCTGTACTTCTCGGGGCTAAGCGTGGTTGCGGTGGGTGCTGCCGTTCTCGCTTCAACGTGCTGCGGGATGACCATCAGGTTTCCATTGTTCGTTTCTTGAAGGCCTTCTTCCATGCCCAGGGTCTCAATCAGTTTCCTATGTGCATTAGGTTGGATCGCAGGCTTTGGGGCCGGTTTCCATTCTTTCAATGGATCCCTTGCGCACTGTGATTGCCGAAAAAGATTTCTTCTGCGCCAGCCTATCTTGGAGAAGATAAGTCGAGCAAGCAGTGTCTCAATGATTTCTGAGTCGCGATAGTCCTGTAAATCCGGCGAAAGCAACCTCGCAACGTCGCTCCTGATATTATTTCTTCATCTTCAATAATATCGAATAACTCTGCTGCTTTGGTATGTGTACGTCCTTGCTCGCTTCACGGGTAGAATTCATGGATGAGTAAGAAGGTTAGTCTCTGCACAAAATGAAAATCTGCGTACTGTTTTGCGATTCGTCAATGCTGTCCTCCGGTCCTGACAAAATACAGGATGGGGCGACATCTTGGTCTGCAATCTAGCAGTCCTACGCAGATCTACGTGCTAAGTTTCGGGGAGGATAGCCAACGTGCATATATTGCAAGGGAGATAGAGTTCGTACCAGAAATAGAAGCATGAATACAATACTCATAGTGCTCGATTTGGTTTTCAAGAGCGAAATCTTATTCCACCTAGTCATCAACTCCTATCTCCCGCGCATTTCCAATTGCCCTCGTAGACGCGCTGCATACATTATTTGGGGTAAAGATTATAGAACTGTATACGACAGGCCTACTGCTTTACTACTGTCCACACGTTGAGTTGTATGTTGCCAAAGCTGCAGATGAGGGCGAACCAAACCCAGAGGTTGTAGCTAAGGTATTCAATCGACCCCGGAGCACTCTTTCGACAAGACTCTGAATTTGCCCTTAGGCTATTAAACATGCTTCTAATAGCTGGGGCGTGGATATTAAATCGGTCTCACTGGGATTCCCGACACGACAGATACCTGACTACAGTGAACTAGAAACTGTAATCGAGGACGCGATCTCCACAAAGACACTGAGATTCGCAGCTGCATCCAATTGGAAGGCCAATTGTGACCGTGCATAACCCGCCCGTTACGAAGATATCTGCTGCGTTCATTCTACGGATTCTCAAGGAAATAGTTCCTTCTTCAACCCCACAGTCAGAGACCACATGTTCAACTTTGCGGCAATGGACGAAGCAGTGGGGCACTCCTGGCCTGAACACGTACTTCGAAAGATCGAGAAGCCAGGCTTACAACAGCTGAGATCTGCAACCTCTTACGCCAACCCTATAGCAGCCAGCATAGTCAGGTTCCTATTGAGTTATGTCAGGCTAGACCTATTGAAATTATGCAAAGCTGCTCAAACGAAGTACAACCATAAGAGTTGTTCTCCATGCACTTGCCAGAGAGCCACGTGGTGATTATCATTACTTCAATGTCAGCCTCCATCCAGATAAGATGTTTGACCGTGAGGACAAGACTTCAACTCAGAACAGTATAGAGGAAGCTATATATCATTCGGGACAATAAAGGAAGCGCACCAGAATCTTGAACGCCAAAGGTTCGAGTGCACGAAAGAAGCTCAAGCTCGGTTTCTCTAGTCCAGCAGTGGGATAGCGTGGGCACATGGCTGTCACACTTCGGCAAAACCAATCCTCAAACTCTGGAGAAGATACCACGTTGCCAGCAATTGCGTAATATGGATCCTCGGTGGAGCTCGTCTCGCGATCGAACAGCGCGCCTTTCCGATACTCTTCTTCAGGCTTGACGGCACCTGCTCGACCAACATGGACTTTGCTCAATCTATACGCGAGGACAGTTTTATTACTGATTGCCCAAGATACAGCAGTCCTAGAGGATGTTCCTGTCGCAATTCGAGGGCCAACACGGATTGGAACCGCTCCAACGCTCAGAATCATGCCATCAACCTGCAAGCCGAGCATGGCTCCCACAGTATCTGAAGCTTGGGTTTCCGCTCCCGCACCTTTCGCAATCTTGATGCCCGTCACGACGTAATTGGCCTTTGAATGATCGTTGAGTGATCGAGGAACGCGCGGACCGTGTCAGTTTTGATGCAATTTTGGAGTTACATGTCCATTGGTTCAGATTGGGCAGTGTCAAAATAGTCGGATCCAAGGTTTTGCATGTTGCTACGTCGGTCAGCTTAATATGCACTCATACAGCCGCTCCTTAGGGTATCTGACCTTTTGCCTCTGTTCGCCCCAGCATCGGTGCCCACACCCATGAAGCTCAAGAACGATGTGATGATCGAGACATCTTTGGAGCTCATCTTACGTTTGCAACAAGTAAGCGAAGTTTTGTGGCTCGTCGTAATGTAGTCAGGGGGATGAATGTTCGCAAGTGGTCGCTGAGGTTGCTTGATGGACGAGATAATGTTGCTTAGCTTGATCGAGCAATGTCGAGGAATTTCCCAAGTTGGAGCAAGATAATATTCGGGTACTAAGTTTGCCATACTGGTGTGACCGTAGATGTGACGACGACTCAGAGTGATGGCTCCAGTCTCCTCACGCCTACATAAAGTATTAGGACAATAGGGCTGATCACAAGCAGCCTATGTATTGCCTATGCTGGGGTAACACACCTCACCCAGACTCCTGCCTTGGTCTTGTGCACTCATTGCGGATCGTGAGCCACAACCTCAATCTCAACCCTCATATCATCCTCACCCAATCTCTGCACCCCCACACAGGTCCAGATCGGTGAGTGCCCTGGCATCCACTTCTTGAACGCCTTCGTCATCGCTCCCAACGCTTCGTTGTTCAGCGGCACATGATAACTATTCACTCGGAAGACCTGATCCCACCCTTTCCCGCCGGCATCCCGCAGGTTCAAATCCACGTTGGCAAAAGCCTGCTCGATTTGGGCTTTGATGTCGGTGTTGTAGGCACCGGTTGAAGGGTCCCAGCCGCCTGACACATTTAGGGGGTTGCAAAAGAAGGTGGGATAGTCAAATGGAAGAAAGGATGGGGAACGAGGACTGCAGGCTACCTTGTCCAGCGCATTCGATACGGTCGCCCACCCGTACCGCTTGCTGATATCCATGGTGCTCAAGATTTCGCTCGCCGACGCCCTTGTAACTGTGCTGATGCTTAGACTTCAGTCCTGATGAAGGCCGATCACGTACGCGTAGTATTGAAGATGCGACATCTTGGTGGCTCAATTCTCAGAAGATGGGTCAGTACCCTTACAAATGTGAAAGTCTCCATTAGATATGTTGACGCTCGCTTTCTATTTACCCTCGCCCGCGAGATACTATTCTTCATTGAGTGTCCAGTGGAACTTCGTAGTCTGCTACTGCGGCTGGATGTCATTGCTTTGAAATCCGACCAAGAGCATGTAAGCATTCCATAATCTTGGTGCTCTGGCTGTTCTCCTTCACGCCACCCAAGAATTCAAGGTTTGTAACTAGGAGCTCATAGCTGTCTTGCTGCAATAATGATTGGTACTGTGGCATTAGATTCCAGTAACCCCTCTTCTAGCGTATACTGGACCACTCCGAGCTGATGGAAGCACACAGTAGCAATCGGTCCGTCTCCCTGTAGTACCCCGCTTCAGCCTCAATTCCGTCGAGCTGCTTTCTGGGTTGATTTGGTCGAGCTTGCACTCGGCCTGCCTTCCACTCGAATATCTGTAAGCAGGACTGCCATGTGCGCTCACATCAAGACTGGCCCGATCCTACAAACCTATCGGCCCTAACTCCTACTGAATCGCCCCAAGTATACACGTCAACAGCGCGTCGATGATCGCATAGTGCGGCCCGCCCACGCATCCCATCTTCTCGCCCTCGTCGGAGGCTCCGACTCAATCTCGCTTGCCACTCCATGGCATACGCCGCTGCAATATGAAAATCATGCGCGCAAGGACTTCCAGCCGGGCTGCAAATCCATGCGCGTGGGTGGTGACCCAGCAAGAGCGGATGACGGGCCATGACGTTCTTTGCGGGCCTCGGGCGCAGGGACGATGTGCTGCGAGTCAGGACGCGCTGGTACGCGAGAGCAGCCCTGGGAGTTGCAGAAGGGCACGTGCTTTGGCGAGCGCTGCGTGCATGTGGGCAAGCACCCGTTCAGGAAAGCCTCTAAGCGTCAACGCCAGCCTGCGCGGTGCGCTTCTTCTCGGCTCGTTGGAGTCCGCTTGACTCGGCAGCCTTCCACTCGCCATCGTTCCTGGTTCCTGAACGTTGCCCCACGGACCAGCCGCTCAGATCTGCGCTAGAAGCACATGACGATGTCAGCCCTGCCCGATGTGTAGAGCCTCCGACGGCAGCGCAAGACAGCGACATTGCGACTTCATGCGGACGCCAGGCATCTGCTCGCCCGCGCAGCGCCCGGGGACCCAGCAGCCTGGCACTGGTACCCACGCCCTGGCGTGATTGCCATATCGCATGAACTTCATCTCCAGGCATCGCGAGCATCACAACCCCACTGGCCAGGCAGAAGCCCTCAGTGATACGGGCCCTGCAGTTGGCGGCGTGACAAATACCGAGCCTGAGGATTCGGCATTGAGCGGAGGGTATGCATCTGGGAGCTAGCATTGCGGCTCTGGTCGCATGCGATTCAAGATCCGAGTACCATCTCGCATCATACGAGATGAGACGAGCGGGCGAAAAAGTGGAAGCCTCTGGCTCCAAGGCAGCATGACAATGACAACATGGCGCCGTCTCAAAACCCAAACTTGACACTGGCAGTCACACCCCCCGCGCTGGCAGGCCTCCCAAAGCGGCAGTGGAATCAAGCTTTGATCGGCGAACCGCATTAACATGGCTGATAAAGGGGGAACGGCGACGGGGACAGACATGGCGCCACAGAACTGGGGATGTGGCGTCCCACCATCGAATCGAGGCCCTTGACCAAAAATACGCTGGCCGTGCGTGCTGTAGCGGCAATGCATGTAGAGACCTGTCACCTATCATGAGGTGGGTGTGTTTTGACTCGTGGCGAAGAGGACGTGTGATTCGTGGAAGAGTTAGCGCACCATAGAGACGCCGAAATGTCTACGCCTGCGAACGTGGGTTTAGACGTTGTACGCCTGAGGAACATCTTGAGGCTTAGACACACCGTCCAGAGACAGATGGTTCGGCCTTTTCCAATGTTCAAACTAGTATCGCGAACTGTACTGCTGATGTGGATTCACGCAATGCCTCAAGTCTCCGGCCACTTATCGTAAAGCTCAACTCCCGCCCACCTAAGCTCTCGCGTCTCTATTCAAGTACGACTCAATCTGTCGAGCCTCGTACGCAAATATGAAGATTGGGAGCGAGCAGCCGCCCGCAGCGCAGTTGAGCGGGACCCACGGTTTCACGTGCTGCACGTGCGACGAATCGCGTAGGAGGACCGTTGCGCTAGTTTGACGACTCCCGAACAAGTAGGTACAAGCCTCGTATCGTGGAATCACATATTTTCAGAGACAAATTGTCGTGACGGCAAGATGATTGTGCATGTTTGGGAAGCAAGGAATAGACGTACATATTTCCTGTCCTCCAGTTGCGAAGGGTCGTCGTAAAGCTCATGGGATAAATTGTGCATGTGAATTTCACCGAAAGGCACTGACATGCTTTCATGTCCAGCCTCGGCTCTTCACGGCGGCCCGAACTCACTCAGCACGTGGTCTTTCGATTAGGAGGCTGAAGCATCCTCAGGAAATAAAAGGTTCATGCATAACGACGAGCCGCGCGCTAAGCTCTAAACATGCACTTCTCGCCGCAACATCACACAAGTCTCAGATCTCAGACAAGCAAGCTGCAAGGTACGATCATAAAGGGTGGCACTCATTGGCCAAGTCAATTTTCAATTGTTTTTGCTGCTTTGGCTGTAACCGCACCGCTAACACAACTGTGCCCCCTTGGAGTTTTGGTTTTGAAGAAATTGAAACCCGCCTATGATACTCCTTGGCCCGTGTAAAAGACCGACGACTAATCGTCTGTGACCGATATGGACACGCCTCAACCAATAGATTCCACTAAAGGAGTAGTGTAAAATAGGAGTAAACGAAAGTAAGAAGAAAACTCTTTCAAAAGGTCAAAGTAAAAGCGTCCGAAGTGTTGTAACCTCTGCAGCCTCGTCTAGTGAGCACGGGGGTGCTTGTCTTCCGTCAACAGGCTCGCAATGGGCATGTTATCCCGAGGAGCAGAGCTCCACGTACCAGCCCTCGGTCGGGCAACAGACGGAACCGGCATGGGCAAAACGTAGGGCATGCGCTCGGGGGCAGAAACAGCGCTGATGTTCATGGCGCCAAACTGCTTGCCGGCATCACTGCTGATCGGCGAGGCATAGGTGAAGGGCGAAGGTTTCAGCGCAAGGTTGTGCATAATGCTGCCGTCGGGAGAGGCATCCGGGGTGGGTGGGCGGACCGAGCTGGAACCAGAGCGCCAAATCTCCTCCAACTGAGCCGGAGAGACATCAGCGCCATAGTCAGCGGCAATAGTAGCCCAGAACTGTTGACGGCGGGCTTCGTAGATTGCACGGAGACGGTCTGTGTCGACAACCTTGGGCTGGTGCGCAACGCCAGTGTTGATGCGGAGCATGTTGTGGGGCTCAGGAGATTCGCGTGGAGTCATGGGACGCGGCTTGGGTAGCAGGATCTTGTGCTGGTTGCGACCGGGCGAGTTGCCAATCGAAGCGGCTCTCATGTGCGGGCTACCGCCATTGTAGCTCATGGGTGAGCCGTGGCGGGATGATGGAGAGTATGCATCATTGTCCACTGCCATCTGGTAAGACGTAGACTGGCCGGCAGAGCTGCACGAAGTCGACGAAGAAACAGATGAGGTGCGCTTACGGCGATGGCTACCGTGCGACAATTGGTGGTAATGCAGACGGCATGCCAACTCAGTCTTCTTCAGGTGTGCAGCAATGTGCTTGTAGGGCATCTTCTGCATGCGTGTCTGCAAAAGGTAGTTTTCCTAGTCCTGTTAGAAGCTATTGGCGTAGTTGCGGATAGTCAGAATTACCTCTTCTTCAGACCAAGACCTGTTGCCACCGGCAGACATCTTACGTGCTCGGAGGCTGGAGTTGGAGTTGTGGGTGTCCATCTCGGCAAGCGGCGAGAGGATCTGAGGCTGATGGTGAAGCATGTTGGGTATGTTGAGTATGTATGAGTAGGGTATGTTTGTCAATGTTGGTGTAGAGACTGGTGATTTGAGTGAGGATATCGTGAACTCGTTGGAGTGATGTCTTCCGGTTGTCGTCGAGGCTGGCTCGTGAAAGAATGTATTACAAGTGTGTAAGGTACACGGAGTAATTGCTCAGCAATGTTGATTAAAGAGTGTAAGGCAGCCCAACCAGTGGGGAGTAAAAGAAAGTAATTACAAGGCTGCGAAGAGAAAACAAAGACGACCCGTTGGAACAGTTGCGGTTGAATGCCTGGAAATCATGGGGCATCCGACAAGATATAGAGTCAGGTCAGTGACAAGAAACCGACGGTTCCCGGGCCAGCAGGCGGCATGGCTGATTAGAGTGGCAGGTTCTGATGTTAGCAGCGTTTTCAAACCCCAATCCTGCAGCTACGTTTTGATCGTCGCCGTGGTGCATGTCGGCGTTCCACGCCCAAATGTTTGGAAAACCCTTGACACGAGACATGCTAAGCTTGAAAGGGATAGGACGACAGTCTGAGCAAGATCTGGATGCCGGAGAGACTGACCGAGATGCATGAATCTGTCGCATGTTTGAGGAATAGCAGAGGCAGTTTCAAAACTCGGCGCGTTAGAGCGGGGGACGTGCGGTCGTGTTGGCGAAGCGAGACGTTTGACAGAGTGTTTAAGGGAGGAAACAAGCGCACCCGGAGGTCCGTCAACCACGGGCGCTAACTGAAAAGAAGGGGTGACAGGCGCCAGGGGGAGCCGTGCGCAGTAAGGTTGATCGTTTAGTCGTGTCCGCAGGGCGACGGCGTACACAGAGATGAACTAGATGGCAGCAGCAGCCATCGTCGACGAAGTTCGTGGAGAAAAGGCGCAAAGTGAAGCTGAGGACAAGGCGCTACGTAGTCAGGATGACCACGCGTACAACGAAGCATTGCAGACGCTGTGAGACGCGCGAAACAAAGAGGCTCGGAAGCGCTGCGATCCGCCCAGAGCATGACGATGAAGATGTTCCGTCCCAGCTGTTCCATGACAGCGGCCGCGAGCCAGGCTCGCGGCGGTGGGCTCAAGATGTGGCAGTTGAGCGGTTCGCAGCCACCTGAGACGCGAGCGCTACCTTGATTGTTTGAGGGATGCTTGGCGGCTCGAAACGCGCCAGCGCAGAGCCAAACTTCATAACAAAGAGCGTCCGGCGGGGTAGAGCGAGAAACAGCATTGTTTGTGGTTCATCGTCAGTACCCAGGCCCAGGCAGGCTTTTGCTGGATGTGTCGCGCGCGTGCGATATGCTGCATTCCATCAGCGAAGGACGGGGACCTCGCCCATCGCGGACGCAGGGTATGGCTGAATGCTGGCAGCGGTGAAAGCTGGATAATTAGAGGCAATCTCGACATGGGCGACATCATTGGTGGCCCTGAGGTTGTCGTGATGCTCATCGCGACGTGGTGTGGAGTGTAGTGCACCGTGACAACGAGCGCTGGCTGCCTGGTCTCCCCACACCGATGCTAGTGGCAGGCGCAAGTCACGGAGCGAAGCAGCGACCGGTGCATGCGCCACTTGCATCGCGGGCTCACATGTCTCCTCACCACCAACATGGCAGCATCACCACTCCGCCGTTCGACGGCCACCGGTGTGTACGGCGGAAGCGCGACCTTGGGACTCTCTACGCCAGCGGTCGCGGTCTCGGTCCTCCGCTGCGGGCTCTGCCCGTACCCAGAACCATCTGAGACCCCGCCTCGCCGTTGGTCTACTTCATGCACGAGGTCGTCACGCGCTGTCTGCACCCCGCTTGCTTTGTCGCAGCAGCTGGAAAGCCACCTAATTCATACAGGAGGAGGCTACCCCGCTTTCTCCTCTGCCGTGTCCTGCTATGTATAGAGACTCGCTCACTCACACTAGGTACACCTACGTCAAGGTACCAGGTACTTGAACTGTACTCCAGCTGGCCGGCATCTGGCTAAGAACCCCAAGTATCCTGGTCGTCCTCCCCAGCCATGCTTCCTCCTCTGTCCTTATTCGCCCATTTTGAGCCAGCCTGACCCTTTTGTATCTCCATGTACTGATCAGCGCTCGCTCCCGGGCGCGATCTGCCTGTGAATATCATGATGATCAAATCCCTTCACGCACCCTCGTGTCCTCCCTTCTGAGTGCGGGTCTGTCATTCTAGCCAGAGCTGGCCCTCGCTCTATAGGCTCGTTGTGAACCACAAATACGCTGCTAGAGCTGCGCAACATGTCGTGAGTCTGCCTTTAAACACAGCTCTGCCTGCCCTAGCCTGGTCTGAGCTCTGTGCACTGGATACTCACAGCGCATTCACCTTCACCATCACCGTGCGCTCGCTGACGTAGTACGCGCTGCCTTCCACAGCACTTCACCGGCCTCCAAGCGCAGTCTGAAGCCCTCGCCCATCGTGGCAAGCACGCAGCAGAACACCTCGCTCGTCCCGTCCGCCGAACTGCCCAAGATCCAACCCGCCATCACGGCGCCGCAAGAATCCTCCGTACCGGCAACGCAACCGCCTTCGCCGGCCGGTGCACGCAAGCGCAAGTCAGTGAGCATCAAGGACTCGTCCGACCAGATGGCGAACGCCTCAACAACGGCAGGCGCGGCAGAGAATGTAGAGCCGCCGCATGCCGCCGATACTGAAGCACCTGCGCTGGAACCAAAGGCAAAGAAGAGCCGGACCAACACACCGTGGACGCCTGCAGAGGAGCAGAGGCTGAAGCAGATGAGAGACGCTGGCCACAGCTGGAGTGAGATAGCAAAGGTATAGATCCCGCTGATTCTGCAAGACGCCCGTTGTGACTAGCTCCGCTCAGGAATGAGTGCGATCAGTCAGGAGGAATGCCATGCTGACCTGTCCTCCGACTCAGACATTTCCTCAACGAACGGAAGGAAGCGTTAAGAAACACTGGTACAAGGTCTGTTGTCGCTGTTGCCCATCGCGTACTGACCTCTACTGATCACAACCACTGCAGGATATGCACTATGCCGAGTTTGGGGAAAACGAGGTGGGTCCCGGGCTTGCGTTTCAAGCAACAGACGTATATCCCATCGTGCATAGGCTAACTAGACAGAAACAGAGTGCAGAACTACTGGCTGCGATTAAGGAGTACGATGCGAACAAATGGAAAGTTGTTGGCCAAAAGGTCGGCAAGCCGGCAAAGGTAAGTTCGACTTGAGCCTGATAACCATGATGCAGAAGAGCGCCGACTGACTGGCGGCAGGCATGCGAGCAGTATGCGAAGGAGCACTTTGGCGGGAGAGTCTAAGGGTTTGCGGTCTCCCAAACGACACGGTTTGCATCGTCCCGGATTCTTAGCGCTGCGGGTTTACGTATGATACCAATTCTCTTTGAGTTGTGTCTTTGTTTTTGACGCATGGTGGGTGTACACAGGGCCCCGTGTCCGACCGCATATCTGGCCGGGGTCTTTTGAACACTGTCGCCAAAGGTGGGGTTTCCAGGAATTTTGGGTCAAAAAAGATTCATCGTGTTCTCTCCTTGGAGTTTCGCTGCTCTTCTCGGCTCAAGGGATTCGGAGGATTAATCTGGGTGCAGATTCGTATGCGAGACGTAGCGAGAGGCCTGCTCGGGTCGGAGGCGAACCTGGGGCAAATCTGGGGTTATCTCGATGTAACTCGATGCAGTGTTTCCGGGTCTTGGGATTGCTGTTCGGCAGTTATTGGTCGAATATAAGTTCTTTTTTCCCCCTCTCAACACCTTCGCGTCTATTTCGGATGCATGCAACAACCATTTCGACAGGCAGGCATCCGCTGCCGAGATGGCCTCTTGTCGTTCGTCGATCGCTTTGCTTTGCTTTGCTTTGCTTTGCTTTTGGAGCGTCGTTGGCTGTGGCTGCTGCACGCAGCCGACCTCTCTTGCCTCGGCGGTCCATGGTCTGCAGCGCCGTCGACGGAATGGCCTGCGCACGGCTCGCGGGACCAATGAGGCAAATCCAACGTTTCTATACGCTTGCGCTGTCGATGCGTTCGCGTAACGGTGATGGCGGGCGGCAGGCGGTTGGCGGCTGGGATGTCGAACCGACCCGGGCTTGTGCATGTGGATCTGTGAAGGATGCCAGGAACAACCACGTCGACCAAGCTGGACATGTCACCCAGGAACGAAACGAAAACACCATTGAACTTGGGCCAGACGCGGTACGGTGTCGCGGCATGTGTCCCTGCTTCGGCAGCGACTTCGGTGCCGCGTGACGGGTGATGCAATACGGAGCGAGCTTCAAATCGAGCGTGCGCCGTAGGTGAAAGCGTGCCGACATGCCTCTCACGTCCACCTCTCAGCCTAAATGGCTGGCTAATGCAGGCAAGCTGGTCGAGTAGACATGTCCAGCAAGGCGCATCGGTATCACAACACCAAGGCGCCGCTTCAGTACGTACCGTCACGGGCATCGCAAGGAAACCCCGGCCTGCGGTGGGATGCTCCACAGGGCGCGCGCAGACCAGATTGCGCACAGTCACGTGCACGTTCGTGACAGCTGCTCGGTGTTGGCCCGGAAGTGGGATGCGCTGTGCGAGTGCGACTCGCAACACAGGCGACTGCTGCGTTCCTTTGCGATGAGCTGCGCGCGACGTCCTTTTCATCTTGTCTGCTCGCACTATGCAGTCGAGTGAATGCGGCACCACGGGCGAGCACATCCTCGACGCCAAGCCCCACACCAGCCACTCGCCTGAGGCCCGCGCCTCGCTTGTGCATTCTCTCGCAACGCTTCACTCCATTGTGATGTGAAACCATCCAATACTCTGTTGCAGTGCCCATCTGCCCATCTCCCGTCGCCACCACGTTGCTGATGCTGTAGCCTTCTTGCTTTGCTGCGCCTTTGTGCGTCATGACCCATTGCGTCCACCGTCGATCTGACGGGGAATATAGGACCAGGGTTGCTATATGTAGCGCCTGAAACAGCATTGCATGGGCTGATGATGCCTGTGTCAGGGAATCACCAGCCTGCCGACGGTTTCCAGGCGGGTGCTACGCTTCCATTGCCGGCATGTCTTTGCTTTCGCGTCGGAAGCTTGCCGCTCAGGGCATGAAGGCTCTTTAGCACTCCTTAGCATTGCCAGACTTCGGAGGCGTCAGAGTTCGCCGGAGTCAGGCGCCAACACACGGCAGGCACGGCGGCAGCGAAGACTTCACGAGACTTGAGCATGACGCCCGCCGACCCGCCCGTCCTGCGCTCTACGCTCGCCGCTTCGCCTGTCGTCGCATCAATCTACCATACGGTGGTCGACCAGGTGGCGGCGCTGCTTTGGGAACTTCTCATCTTCCCCTGCGCTGGCTAGCCGGTTCGGAATGATCTTTCATGCGTCTGCTCCTAGCCACTACGCTTGGACGCCCAGGATCGCGCGTGCAGCAGAGCAACGGCGCTGGAGATCTTCTCTGTGCATTCTAGAAGGAGGACCGCGCTACCACGGTCACCCCTCCCCCGCCACCTGGGAGGGACCGCTGTCTTCAATCTTGCGCTGTCAGCCACTCACAACACGGACCCGCGGTGCGCGTCTGTGTACATGCCCTTGCGAGTACCCTCCAGATCTAGCGCCAATCTGCTGCCCTGGTTGATCACCGCATTGTGCTTGACGTAGAATCCCGCTGAGGCTTGCCAGGACCGTCTCGAGGGAAGGCCCATGTGTCTTTCGTGCTTGGACACAGAGTCCGTGTGGCAATCGCACAGGCTTAGAAGGGACAAGGGCTTTAGAAGGCACAGAACTGCCCGAAATTTCCTACAATGCTTGCCCTCCTATCTTGCGCGAGCAACATGTTATAATGCAGAGCGCACCCGTCTGTACCTCGAGCACTACTAGCTTTTCCAAGGCTATATCCGGGCATCCCAACGCTTAACACACGCGATAAGATTTTGCTGGCTGGCTGATGGCGCGTCTCTCCGGGCCTTACCTGCTACAACATTTGATATAACAAAACACGAACCTACCCCAAACGCGTACCTTCCGAGGCGCACCCGCGCACCTCAAACTGGTCATCCTTTCTGGTTCAGGTCTCACTGCGGCGGCCTGCCAGAGCAAGCTAGCTCTGGTAGTCTCCATGCATATTCGCAACACTGGCGAGTCCTTCCCGAGGCCATTTCCTCGACTACAGCGTCCCAGGCGACTCCGGCGAGGAACATTCTATTCCGACGTCAAACGTCGAACATCCACATCATGTCCTCCATCATCCCTACGGAAGCCTGCCTGCGGGCTACTACCACCAGCTGCAGCCACGTCCGTCTCAAACGCTCCAGCATGCTGGCGCACATCACCCCGCGTACACAGATATCGAGGCACATCCACCACTCCATCAGTCGCATCACCTTCTGCGCCATCCCTCGATGTCGCACCCCTCCCCTTCCTCTTACGATGTGGGCTACCCGCAAACCCCGCAGCAGGCCGCGCAAAGTCGCAAGCGCAGTCGTGCCGAGGAGCACCTTCAACAGTTAGATCTTCCAAATCCTATGGCGCAACAGCAACCCGACCCCTACGCGCATGCGCCTGGCTCTATACAAGTCCCGCCATCCCACCCAGGATATTCCCTCCAGCCATTTCAACAACACCAAACTCCGCAATCCGCTGCGGCGCCAACCCACCATCACCATCATCTCCCCAACCAAGGCCCTTCCTCTAACAAGCGGATCCGTATGGAGGGCGCACCACCTTCGCCGGCGCAGCCTCACGGCCCTCCCAATGTTGTTGGTCAGGACGGAATGCCAGCGCCAGCACCACGGCCACGCGGTCCCAAGCTCAAGTTCACGCCAGAGGACGACCAGCTACTCGTCGATCTCAAAGAAAAGAAAAACCTCGCTTGGAAGCAGATTGCCGATTTCTTTCCAGGACGGAGTTCTGGTACTCTGCAAGTACGATATTGCACGAAGCTCAAAGCAAAGACAACTGTCTGGACGGATGAGATGGTGAGTGCTGTCCTGAAACGCAAGACGTCGAGTCGTGCGCCCACAATGTCGGCGGTGCTAACCTAAAGGGGATACACAGATCCAGAAGCTTCGCACAGCCATGCACGAGTATGAGAACGACCGTTGGAGGATCATTGCCTCAAAAGTCGGGAGCGGCTTCTCTCCGACGGCATGCCGAGACAAGGCGCATGAGTTGGAAACTGGCGAGGTGATTGAGGAGGATGACACTGCGTACACCCAATCGCAGCTTGGCGCAGCTGGTTCCAGCGATGCCGGGCCTTCGTTCCAGTCGAACGATCCGAATCCTCCTTACCAATGACTGGCCGACGAGTTTCAAGACGCCCTTGTGATCTAATGGCAGCGGGAAGTCTAAGCCTGGGGATTGTGCTGGTCACACCTACACGCGCCTTTGCGTATGAAGAAACCCTCACGGATCATACTATAATCGCCTTTCTTCTACGACGTACAACGAATTTTCCCTTCGATTCACTACACTCGTTGAAGCACCGAGTCTGCACCGGCAGATCCTCTTCGAATTAGCCAATGGAACGCGTAACCGATAAAGCATAATGGGCAATGCTGAATGGAGGCAGTCACACTTCAGAAACATGTATGTTGCCGCTCACAGTCGCAAAGAGGGCATGGCCATGCCGACAATAGCACCGAGAAAGTGGAAAGCAACAACTTCAAGCTCAGTTTCAGCATATGCAATGGACCCCAAGTGTGTTTAGAAAAAGGATGATAGAGATACCCTGTATTTGTGTGGAATTTGAGTGTGTGTTGGTGCGAGAGCTTGCTTTGGACCTTCCCTTGTACTACTATTTCTTGCTGTTTCATTGTGCCGCATACTCACAAGCGGTAACAATTTCTTGCTATTCATGCATTACTCTCCTTATTGATCATATTCTTAGACTGTGACTCACTGGCTTCACAGCCCGACCGCGCGTACTTGTCTAGGCGCTGCGTTTCATATACCTTCTGTCAGAACTATTTTCTCAGAGCATCTATATGGCGTAAAACACAACAACTGCAGGCGAATATCGGCCCTAATGTAATTGTAATACCCAGTCTCCCGGAATACATAATCCATCTACGTGGGATTAAATCGCTACCATTCGCCAACCGCTGAAGGTGCAGGAGCATCTAAATAGCGTTGTTCACACCCTAAACTAAAGTGTCAGGACAACTCAACAAATTATGTAGGTATTTCTTCAGAAAGAATCTCTATATAATTTTATGCTACTCGACCCCACGCTTGCAAAACTCTCCGCGGCTTCTTCTGGTGTGGTTCAAGCACAGGCTTACGCAACGCGTGCTAATATCTGAAACTTATTTCCCCCATCTTAAGACCTTTCGTGCCTGGGAATCAGGACCGCGTAAGTTTTACTGCCTTCGGTTACGATATCTCAGGCCACCTGAGGCATCTTGTTCTTCATCGTCACACAGCGGTGTTGCGAAGCGACAACAGTATTACCTGCGCGCATGCACTTTTCGCGTCTCGCAAAGTACAAATCATAAAACTATCTCTGAGGCCACATCAGGCGAGCAACCATCACCAAAAAGTGTTACCGATTTCGAGTCTTAGGCTTGCAATTGCGGTGAGGCGTTCACCACGCGCACTCTCTAAACTTTCACGTTGATGCTCCGGTCCCGCCAGAGAGGCGTCCGAAGGTGACCCTTCTTGGCAAAGTGGGTATCTCAGCAGCTGCTCTTCGCGAAGAACCCGTTCTGACCACCTTGGTAAGGAATCGAGCGCACTTTCTACATTCGGTGGGTAGCCTTCCTTCGCGGGAGGAACAGCAAGCGCGGAAAGTTCCTGTTGGGTACCGATATTCGCTTTCCGCCTCGCTCATCACGACAGTCCTCACCTTCTCGATCCTCACTGCCAGCATATCGAATACTGTCGTTCACTCTCGGCTGTAGTCAAATTTGGCTTTGTTTCTATAACCTCCACATTATATTTAAGAGATGGAAACTTCGAGCTATCGATGCGACTTGTCGCGCTATGTTAACACACGATGTTATCGACTTTCCGTGTTTGGTACTGACTTATCGTTGGTCTGTTCCTCGATATAGCGGCGCCCACCATGGATGTTCCACATTCAACGAATGAAATATGAACCTGGTTTATAATACCCGGGTGCCGCCGCACACGCACACTCCTTCGCCTCAGCGCAGAGGCGATGTCCACCTCTACGGCTGCTCCCTTGCCCATTGTTTTGCGCCTGCAGACGCGAGGGCAGGGATCGGTGTGATATTGATGTGGAAGAAGCCGCATGAGAGTAGGCTCGGGTCCACAGGTGGAGGAGAGCAGGTCGGTTCGGGGCGCGCTCGACTCCACATACTGCATCTGCAGAGACGTGCAAGGTACAGAGAGGAGACCGGTCAGAGCGAGACACGTCGAGTGCAAAGGAGCCAGTTACTTTCGCTCTGCCTTGCCGAACTGCGGTACCGAGAATGCAGCTGACGGTCACTTTCGCCGCTGAGGTTCGTTCGACCACACAGTGGCCGGAAGCCAGCCCTACCCGGCCTTAATATCCATAATAACTCAGCCGGCACGGGCTACACCCACGATTGGCTCAACCTCTCTGCGCCAGTCTACCAGCCGTTCTCCGTCTGCTCGCCTCGGAAGCTACGGAACATCTTCGTCAACTTCTACCCTCTCCTTGGAGCGATTCCCACCATCCAGGTAGGAGGTTCTTTGCCACATAGCTTCATTTCTTCGAACGGTTTTCAATTGCTTTGGGTTCTCTACTGTCCCTGCAGCTTGTTCGCATCTGCCTGGCTAGGAGCAGCCCTTGTTGCCTCTACATCCATATGACGTTATGGTACCCCTCCTGACGGGCTATGTACACATCTCGTTTATTATAGACAAAACGCCTTCGCCGCAAGCAATATTGGCTGAGACGCGATCGCCGTTGGGGATTTTCCTTCCAAATGCCTGACCTGACAAACTTCCCTCACACGTGAGTCACAGGGTTAGTAATGCAGCAGTGGCAAACCACCCCTCTATTCCACGTTTTCAAGGCCTTGCCCTGGTAATTATAAACGAAGAAGTGGCAAACAAGCTATTCATATCCACCTCGTGTACTTACAACGTGCGAACAATGGTTCCTGAGTAGATCTCCTCGTACCCAGTCGTTGCAAACCAGAGTTCAGTACAGCCAAAATAGAAGCCGGTACGAGGGAGGTTTTTCGAGTAGTGATATGATGTCTCGCTAGACTTTGTCGTGGGACTGCACATTCTCAGCATGGCCAGAATGCCTGTAAAAGCTAATGTGCCCGGGTCACTCCCGTGACCGGACGGGCAAACACTAACGGAATAGTGCCGATTGTAACTAAGAAAGTGGTCAGATGCGAACTCCAAATCGGAAACCATAGTGATCACTTGCAGCAGTAGCAATCTTGGTTTGGTAGATTGTTGTGGCGCCAATTCAATACATGCACATCCAAATCAGACTCAACGCTTCATTTGATCTCTAGCGTAGACGACGCTGCAGAGTGGAACTTTCATTCTCAACAAACTCTACTTCTTCACGTGCTCCGCACCTTCCCAAGCCACGGGTAGGGACACGCTAAGATCGACTTATGCAGATCTTAGCGCCTGTCACCGTCAAAATCGCCTCTTCTTGCCTGTCCCTCCGCTACAGCGGATCTGGGATCCTCCGCCGAGAATCAATAATTGCCTCTGCCGATCGCGCTGTGTAAACACGGAAGGAGCCACGCTGCAAGGAGGAAACCCGTCCCAGGCCCGTCGCCCGCTTTGCGTAAGCGACGCAAGCGATGAATTGATGCAGGCAACTAGCGTACGTCGCGTGCCTAGTGAGACCGTCACCAAGCATTGCGCGATGCGACGGGGTCGCTTAGATGGCCCTGCTCAATACATACCAAAACCGAATCGCACATACGACCGTTGTGGTCAGGCCATCCGAATCCGAACGCGCAAAGTGCGCAAACTAGGTGAAAAGCGAATCCTCACCGCGCGAAAATGAACGACGCCACGCTGCGGAGTCGAGCCCAGGATCGCGCGTGGGCGCGCCTGAGATGATTTAATGTTTTTTTATCCGGGCCAATGGGTGTGGGGGTTGTTGGGGATTTTTTCGTAAGCATATTTTACGCGCAATATAGCCTATATGTGGGTCTGATATAGTTGCTTCGTTTGGATGGCCCGAGGATCCGCGGAATTCACGGGCGCTCCTTCGGAGGGGGTTGGGGTTGGTGGAGTGGGAGGTTGGTCTTGATGAGGAGAAGAAGGACGAGGAGGTGTTCCTGAATAGGGTAAAGTTTTATGTTCTAGAGCGATCGTGCTCTCTTGGGCCACACATGCCCTGTATAGGCTGTTAATTACTGGTATTCCAAGATTCGAGTCGTACTGCCAACCCCCGAAGAAGGATCTGAGACATGATCCATGTGGCGTCGGTTCAGGATTATAGTTCACTGGCTTCGCAAGAGTTTACTAACAGTGCTCAGTTAGTCTTGATGAACCACTTTCGAAATTCTAGGTGCCTATTCTCCTGGCTTCAAATGCTTCCTACAAGATGTAGCTTCAGTATGGTAGCTTTGAAATGTTGATTCACATTATCCAGTCTAAATTATTTCGGGAAGTTATATCGAAAGCTAATATAGAGATCTACGAACGATGTCGAACACTTCTATATTGAGGCCTCAGGGAATGTACACGGCGAGTCAAAGTATGATGGCATTGGGATTCTTTATAGTCGCGATTGAAATATAGATATCTTCGAGCTACCATTGCTGATATACGAATGAAGGTCGAGTTGGTCGAACATGCACTCTGTATCTATTCGAACTAATACTATCCAAATTAGACGACTTGTAGCCGCTTTGAGTCGCCGCTTCCAATGTACTGAATACAACGTGTGCCTTTTATGAACATCAACTTTCGATAGAAGCTCCTTCACTTGCGCGACTATATTGCGAGGGTCCTGCGGTTGGTCGTATCTGCTATCCCAAACGATCCAAACCGACCTGGTTTGATGCGCTACGGAAAGCTAGGCCTGGCCGTGTGCATGTCTTGAAGTGAGAAGCATTGATAATTAGAGCATGACACATCACAAGACTTACACACCGCACACCTTTCATAGCACATACATGATGGGTAGCCCTGCGAAACGCAAGCTTCCCCTGCCAAGGCAAAGAAACCCAAAGTGCAGATCCCAGAGTATCATCTTACGCCATCGCGACGAGATGAAGACGGGGAGAACAAGACTTACCTACTGGCCATAATCAAGTCTATTGTGCCTCTAGTATACTCGCCAGTATGATGTCTCAATGGCGCAGCCTCGCGAATCGTGAAACATCGTAGCAAAAGCTCTGATTGATCATCACCAGGAGAATTGTGCTCTTATAAGACTGGGTTGGGGCAGTGACGGAGTATTTGGTCGCAAAACAATCGTGTACGAAAAGCGCGTTTGATCTTGAGTAGGTCCTTACAATTAGTATCGCAAACCATTACTTTGGGCAAAACAAAGTGAGTACATTGACGCAACTCGCCACGATCTAGAAACCCTTTTTCTATGGAAAGCTTGGGGTTTGTTGTTATTGTCGGGTGTATGCAGTAGTGCCATTTATTACAATGTGCGCCAGATGCTTGCTCAAGACTAACTGAATGTTGCAACTTGCAAAGCCCTATGGAGAAAAAGGCTTGGGATGGGCTCCTGCCTCACCAAGACTAAAATCTGAGCCCTCTGGCTTGTCGGTTTGCGCTCTGGTAGTATTTGATTGAGGCACATGATCTGTTGTTTCACCCCGCTTGCCCGTTTAGGCGAGCTTAGGTCAGTCTGTCCCCACTTCGAGCCCATACGTCTGATTTATAAAGCCTTTTCACACCGCTTTACCTCTCAGCTTCACCACATCGAGACCGTGAGCCTTCTACTAGCTCGACCACGGCAGGGCACGAAAGCTCAAGAAGCCACGGGGCGCATTTGTCCAAACCTGTACGTTCTACATTCAAGAGTAGCAGATACGCAAGACTCACCGTTTACTAGGCAGCCGTTCCCTTCAGGTTAGCCAGAGCTTCCCAAAGCGAGGTTAAACGGTGGTTTCCGTCGAAGATACAGCCGATCGCATTGGTAAGGCAGACAGCTTCGGCACCAGGAATTTTTGCACCAAATTAACCCACGACAGGCAATTTCAACTGCCACTACTTCCTAGGCAGTCGCCATGGAGGACGCCTACACTCACGCTCTTGCACATCTACCCACGCGCTTACACACCTACAACGTCACCACAATTGAGGACGGTATCGACGACGACGAGCGATGCCTTCTCTGCTGGCGCAGTTTCAACGAAGATGAGGACAGTGACCCTCACGAACGACCTTGCAAGCCCATACGCCTCGAACCATGTGGTCATATCATTGGCGATCAGTGTCTGCAGCGTTTGATCGAACACGGCATCCGCAAATGTCAGCTGTGTATGAGCCCTATCCGTCTCCTAGCCCGCGCAAACCTCCCTTCCTGGTTGATGATTCTGGCAGATCTCCACCTGTATAGCAAGTTCAACGCAGCATGCACAAAAGAGGTCGTACGTACGGATCATGCACAGTCGCTCGCACAACATCATAAAGAACTTCTCGATGAGACAATCAGCGCCAAATATGCCTTGTGGCTCTGGCTTATCAACATGTGGGGCCTGGTCATGTTGGCTTTACCCGAGCTCGCATTCGCCGTACTGTTCGCCTATGGCAGGCAGATAGTGACATTCGAACTCTGCCACTTGTCGGTTCTAGTGCCCAAGTCAGGAGCGTTTGGATGGCACAGCTTTTGGATACGTGTGGAATTTGTTGCAGATATATGCGGACGGTCTTGGCCCCAGGAGTTCGCGGTGCTACTCATCCATCTCATCGTCCTTCTTCTTGCGATGTGGAAGTGGGGTCCAGAGCGTGTTCGCCATGAGTTCGCGCGTCGTTTTCGTATCCGTACTGCGCTTATCGGACCTTCAGTATTGCGTAAGGTCATTGGGCAGAAAGCGTCTCTCCTGATCCTCTCGGGGCTGGGCTTCTCTGTATTGATGTACGTGGCAATCACAGCATTGCTGATCTGGTACGTCAAAGCAGCCGTGCGGACCCGCACAACGACACGTCCCAAGTCGGACTGAGTCTGCCCATCTGAGGGTTCGCAGTACATGAGGATAGGGTCGAAGCTTTTCACGGACCATCGTCATGCCCACGCATTTTGATATGGTTAGGAAATTGCAGCAAAGCAGGCACTTGACCCAGTCAAACGAAGTTGTTGGCATCCATGTTCCCTTTTCACGTTAGTTCGGCAAGCCACTAGCTTTCTTCAGACATAATTTACATAGTAAAAATCTTCTTGATGACTCCCTATGGTAGATGAATGAATCCTTGAAACCATAGGTGTTTATTCCCTCGCTCTTGCATTTTAGCATGCTGTTGTCGTGACCATGTCCATACTGAGAGTATTGGAAATAAGCACGGCTCTCACACTTCTGTTTCTACACAGTGTATGTCAGTTCAGAACAGCAGTAGAACACTGGGACAGTACACTGTGTTCCCCTGAGGCAGGTAATGTGTGTCTCATTTGAACTCAGACTCTCATTGTATAATATTGCCCACGTTCCTCTCACTCTCACTCAGGATATGTTGTATGGAATGGTGCACCGCAACTGGTGGGGTAGGGTTTGCTGGACTTTCAACGTTGAGTAAGCGCATACTATGGTATGTGTCAGTCGGAATCGAGCTTGTGGTGCTCGCGGCACATCTACGGCGAAATGAATGACTGACTGTACATGTCTGCGCACCGTTTATTCATCAGCTATATTGTAAGGCAACATCACTGCTCGCGTTCTTCATCATTTCAAAGTATGTACGAAATAACGGATAATTACCTCCTCGGCGCAGAGAAGGGACTGGTATACCGCTTGACAGCTAGGTCAGTCATCCGTCAATATGCTCTTCGACCTCTCTGGGCTGGGCTTCCTCATTGTACTTGCGAATAAGGTATTTTACAAACCCTGTAAGCGCTTCTGGGTCTGCACGGGGTGTCCAAAGTTACGCTTGATGTGAAGGCTCGGTGGTTCGATGAGAAGCGCGGCAGTGGGATCCCTAAATCCCCACAGTGGCTGCCACACAAAAACTGAACTATTGAATACCGTGTCCTAGATGGGCTTACCCTACAATGGGTGTATAATTCTAATTTAATAGCCTATCATGAAGTCTTATAGCCACAGAAAAGCCAATTTTCTTGTCGCTACTGTGCCCCATATTTGTGGCCTACATCATCTCATAGGCCGAAGAAGTACAAAAAGTTGTCATACGTGGACATTCATTACAATTGCGGCCTATGGTGTCTATATATGGGGGCCTTCTTGTTCTCCTCAGGTGCAGTGCACTACGCCGTCCGCGTGAGTGTGGCATTCCTATAATCTCCATCAGCAATGATCAACGTCGAAGAGCACTTCAATCGCGTACCGCTGGCGCACCCGAAGTCGCTGATGGTCCTTCGCTCATAGTAGGCGAAGCCGTTTTCGTCGCGCTCGCAGCCTCTGCAGTGCTCAAGCTCGCGGCTGCACTAGTCGCACTTGCAACATAGGAGCTCGTAGCAGTCCACTTTCCGGTACAGCCTTCACCCGGAATCGCGACCTATGGATATAAATTCAGTTGATTTACATGAGCGGGGGCATTCATAGAGCGTATATGGCTAAGACATGGCCATTTTGTATAAGGGGTATCTCGTACATCGTATGCGTACGCCTCAAGCGCGAACAACTGCAGCGTATCACTGTCCCTTACAGACAGTTCAGACTCCGTCTTTGCAAGCTCAATGACTGAGGCGTAGTCTTCCGCATAGTGCTCGACAATACCTTCGCCGACCTTGGGGATGTGAAGGAGACGGTGCAGAAGATCAGACGCCCAGTAGAAGTTCGTTTTGCCGTTGGCGACATCCCAACCGAAACCGCAAAGTGCCTCAAGAGGTTTGCGGACTTCGTACGAGAGGGGGCAGATGACTGTTTCTGAAGTGGCGTTTTCACCGCGCCAGTGTCCAGCCCAGCCTAGAACCTGTCAGTAATCACCATTATTTGCGACCTCAGTTCAAATCACCTTCTTGACCACAATTGCCATCAGGGTTATCACAACGGAACAAAATGCCAGCCTTGTCGCCTTCTGCGATCTTGGTATACCAGCCAATGGGCTCACCCGTGCTAGCGTTGCCAAAGTACTTCTGGTAGATTTCGGAAGAGTTGCCCCTGCAATCATTCGTTATTCGGTCTTGCTTTCGTGGATCCAGCATTGTTTACCATCGCAGAATGTGGTCACGAGCGTGTCCCACCATGGCCATAGTCTCGCTAAGGCCCCTCTTGATTTGAGCAGCCTCCGTTGCGTTACAGGAAGAGTGGACGGGAAACTCGTCAACAGCCCCGGAGTTCCATGCAGTAGCTGTAGGAGCTGGTGCAGGTGCGACTTCGGTAACGGTCACAGTGCTGGCCTGACGGGGAAGCAGAGCCGGGGAGGCAACAGCCGAGGCAGCGAAGAGGAGGACAGCGGATCGAAGGACAGTCATTGTGAATGCGGATTGTGGGAAAGTCTGAGTTGGTGGATGAACCCGATGCTGATTGATGCTTGCTGCAGGTATAACACCTCTTATACTTTTCAGCATGGATCTACGCTACTCTGCCTATGGGCACGTGAATTCACGTACCTTTCGCGCCGAGACTGATAGTCCGCCAGGTGTTCTCCCAATTCCTACTTTTGCCCACGATGATGGTCTTTCCCTACCACCCAAGCCAAGTGTTGGGAAGCCATGGAGTCAGGCGTGGCATTCACTAAGCTCACCATGACCAGCCAAGGCCAGAATTCCAGGGAAGACTCAGTCGATGGCGAAAGTGGCGGTAAAAAAGTACCTTGATGTCCTGAGCGAACGAATGTGGTTTTCCTGCCCAGGTAATGGACCCCGCAGAGGCCGACAGTGTGGGCAATCGTCAACCCAGAAAATCGCATTCGTCGCTGTTGCATACTGCCACGCGCTTCCCTAGAGCATAATCTATACCAGGTGTTGCTTATGTAGATATTCGGTATCTCAGTTTCCCAGGCTGTATATTTCTCTTACACCCGCCTTGAGCCTACGCACTAAGCCCGTCGATATTACCTATGTACCACCCAGCCCACCCACCTTTCTTTCTTTTTCCCACATCTACTCAATGACACGCAATCCTACTAGAGCATTTGGGTTCTCCTCCGAGTATCCACCCAAGTGCATCCCACTCGGCCCACACTGAAGTAATACCCACGCCTCATTCACCGCCAAGCCCAGCTCCAAGCCCAATGGCGGACACTATTTCCCCAGTGTAGGAAGACAACGCCAAGTTTGGGCCCGCCCAAGAGAGGATACAGCAGTCCGGCCGAATGAAGCTCTTTCCGCCAAGTTCTTGGAAGGCCATCAGGGTATGCGCTGAGCTTGGCGCGAACAACTTGGTGTGGGCGGAGAACGGCATTTCTCCATTGGTTTACTCAGTAGCGGAGACTTATATTCTCGGACTTGAAGATTGGGTGCTGCGTGCTGTTACTTGTGTGCAGCTACAACAGTCGACACTCGGTTACAGGAACAACTCAAGCGTTACACCGTCATACAATGCTCTCCGGTACAAGGGTTGCGGCTTCAGCCGCCCTGGTCTTCCTATCTGCGAGTGTTGCTGCACAGAGTACGACTCCGGCACCGCCGACAACTTCGGCAGCGGCGCCTTCGATCACTGCTGTCTCGGATTGTCACACTCATTCTACCGTGCAGTGGGTCTCATGCTGCCATGAAAAGACTGTAGGGCGCTGACAGACACAGATATTGTGTCGCTGGTACAGCTGAGTACGAAATCGTGGGGCCCACAGCAACAGAAGAGTTTGAGGCACAGTATACTGATTGCCATTCGCATGGCAGCAGCACGTGAGTGGTCTAGCTAACAGGCACTCGGATCGTTGCTAACCAACACAGGTACTGTGTCAACTCAGCAGGCGAGGATGTCCAAATCGTCGTCGAAGGTGCAGAGAGAACGGAAAGCGAGGGAGAACATGCTCATGAACATGGAGGCGAAACAGAAGAGGGCGATGCAAATGAAGGAGTGCACTGTCACGAACATGCCGGTATTCCGTAAGTATTATCCTCCCCTTTCACTAGCTCCCATTCATAATAATCCTCCTAGACACTGCACTGGCGGTAGTGAATCAGAAGCAGCGCCTACCTGCCAACGGATAGACCGCGAATACAACAAGCCCCTCCGGCTCGGATTGCTCTTCGTCATCCTTGTGACCAGCGGTCTCGGAGCCTTTGCGCCTATTATCATGACGCGATTCACACGTATGTCGCAGCGCAGTCTGATTTTCGTGGCGGCGAAGCAGTTCGGTACTGGTGTCATCATTTCGACTGCCTTTGTGCATGTACGGTCCAATCAATCCACCTATCCCAAATACACCACACATGCTAATCCGGCACAGCTCTTCACCCACGCCGACCTCATGTTCAGCAACGAATGCATAGGCGAACTGCCCTACGAGGCAACCACAGCATCCATCTTTATGGGAGGACTCTTCCTCTCCTTCCTCGTCGACTACATCAGCAAGCGCTTCCTCCTCTGGCGTCAGAGCAAACGCGGCGGAGAACAAGACACAGAGGCCACCGCTGCTCCCACTGCCGACGCAAAAACCGCCAGCCCAGCTAACAGCGCCGTCATCCCTGCCCACGGCCACAGCGAGCACGTAGATCTACACGGCGACGCGGATGCCAAAATCAACGTGCTCGTGCTGGAAGCAGGTATCATCTTCCACTCGCTACGTATGTTCCTCTCCGTATTTCTATGTTGGGAGAGAAGCTAACGGTGAAAAGTCATCGGCATAACCCTCGTCGTCTCCGGCGACGCCTTCTTCATCACTCTGTTCGTCGTCATCCTCTTCCACCAAATGTTCGAAGGCCTCGCGCTCGGGACCTGCATCGCCGGGATTCCTCCACAGGCCGCCTCAACGCTGGTGAAATTCCTCATGGCGAGCAGCTTCACGCTCGTCACGCCCATCGGCATGGCCATCGGCATCGGCGTGCTCGACAGGTTCAACGGGAGCGACCCGTCGACGCTGATTGCGATTGGCACGCTGAACGCGCTGAGCGCGGGGATCCTGGCGTGGGTCGGGATCCATGAGATGCTCGCGAGGGATTGGCTGCATGGTGGGCTTGTGACTGCGGGTATGCTGAGGACGGGTGTTGCTATGTTTTTCTTGATCGCCGGAATGGTCGCGATGTCGGTGCTTGGAAAATGGGCATAATCTACACGGGAAAAGAAGCGGTATGTGGGATTTGATGTGAGAATAGACGAGGGGGATAAGGTACACTAAATATCACGTGATCCAGCGATGCCGGGACCTCAGGGATGCCGTCAACCGAGTGCACTCACACAAATTACCGAGCTCCTGGAAATCCAGATATCATGATTCACCCCATGTTGCTTCCATCATCATCCATTAGTGTCGCAAATCGCCAACACTCCCCATCTGGCAATCCCCAACGCTATCGATAACAGGCCTATCAACCCTTTGTTACACAGTATTCGCTTACCAGACCCCGCTACACCCCACTTCCCCTTTGCCCCACCTTGCCATTAGCTTCGCTCCGCTTCCCAGTCCATTCTTCATCCGCCTCCGACTGTAATTGCTATATATTATTCCATGGGACTTTATTTGCTATCGAAACACTTCAGCGGCGGTAGCTCAGTGGTAGAGCAGCGGGCTGCAGTCACCAAACTCGTGGTTCCTGAAGGTCACCAGTTCAATTCTGGTTCGCCGCTTCATATCTTTCCTTTTTGTTTTTCTCCAGCACACCAGCGATGAAGGTAAAGCTCCGTTTCATTTTTAACACCTGTGTTCGACCCAGCGAGTCTAGACTTGGTTTGGTCGAGCTCTGATGCGGAACGTCCATCGTGTTGCTTTTGTTTGCTTGATGCTGAGTGTTCTGGCGGTGACTTTGGTTAACACTGACTGACGATGCTGCTTGGAACAAGTTGAATGGAGCGCACGAAATACTTCAGTATTCAGAAACTATGGTACGTAGTGAACAGGGCAAAGCCGCCTGTCTTATACGACGCGCGCCGTCCAGAAAGGTTTGCGCATTCGTGCTGCATATTGCGCCATGTTGAGCATCACGCAATCAACGCTGTGCCCACACGGCTGCGGCTTCGCGCATCTGCATAACACGCCGCAAGGAACAAAAGAAATCTCTAGATTTTCTGTCAACCACAGCTATCCAGTCTACTCGCTGCGCTGTGACAAGTCCATCTTCCACGGTTCATAAACAAAATCTCCCGCTCACAGTAGCGCGCTAGAATCACCAGGTGGGTATATAATGCACTCCCGACGCCAAATCTCAATAGCAGCAGAACCCCAGACTCCAGATACACCTTCAGACACACGAACAAATAACATCCCTCTGCGTCTACATCACAACGCAGTTAATCTTCTTCTTCGGACTGCTCGTCTTCTCTCCCGCATTGCCTCCCCTAAGATTCAGCCTCGACGGTGCCCTCGCGTGTCCTGTGCTCACGCCTGGCGGCGCAGAAAGCGGCCCAACATTCGGTTGCGGCATTGTGTCGCCATGTGTTGTCAGCCGCGGAAGGAGGTTGCGTCTGGCATTTGGTGGGGGCATGCTCGCGCGGTTTGGTGAGGCGCCTGCGGGCATAGGCCTGCGCGGTATGCTGACCACTGGTTCGGAACCTCTTCGACCGTTGGAAGAATTGATGATCGGTGGAGGGCGTAATTCGACTGTACTCTCGACCGCCCTGCGTGCTCGGAGGCTAGGACGCGTGTTCGGCCGTGTTGCATTGCTGTAGTTTGATGCCGTGGCTTGATAAGCAGATCGGTGCTGCGACGGTACCCTGGGCATTTGTGGGGGTATTTCCAGTGGAAGGTTTCGGCTCGCAGTAGAACTACGTCTTCGACCGGGATTCGAATTTTCTGGGCTTGGGAAGGTAGTTGGATGTAGAAGGGACGGGCGACGCTGTTGCGGAGGTGTGACAAACGTTGGCGAGACGGTTCGTGTTGATGGTAGGTCGGTCGAAGACTGCGATTGCATGGGGCCTCGAGACTGGTAAGGATGATTCGGTGCCATGGGAGGCATAAACTGCGCCAGATTCGTCGGCAGTGCAGGAACCGGTGGTATTGCGGGTTGAGCGTTACTAGCTGAGGGGCCTGACACAGGTGGTGCTCCATTGGGATGACTTAGGCTGACACTCTGAGCGGCTTCTGCGGTGGCAGTATATGCCGGGGGTGGTGGAACCCAATTGTCAGCATCACTCTCATGGGGCATTTCCCGCATGCCGTCTGCCCGTCGGTACTCCAAGGGTCTAAAGGGTAACGCTCTGAGGTGGCGCCTGTTCGCAGGAGAGACTGCAGCGACTGTAGCGGCTCTTGCTAGTGACATTTGTGACCTTGGCTGTTGGTTGTCATAAGGCATCTCGAAAGCAGCTTGGGCTTCTTCGGCGGTCAGCTCATCCTCATCGGTCGGTCGGCGAATGGACGTAGGTCGTTCTCTGTTGGCTGATGTTCGAGCACGAACTGGCGCAGAGCCAAGTCTGGAGTTCCGGCGGCTACCGCTGCTGTTGGCATCCTGAGCTCTTCTTTGGGCCAGTGTCCTAGTCCTCACTAACTCTACCTCACGCTCAAAATCGATTGCTCCTTCGGGGAGCATCTCTCCTGGACAAAGTGGATCCAAGTCATACTCGGTTTTCGTAGGGCGAGGTACAGCGCTGCCGGCAGGCTTTGACTTGTCAAAATCCAGAACAATTACAACACCCTTTGAACCAACTGAAGCACCGGGCACTTCGTCTGCAGACGCAGTGCTGGAGTTTCCGACAGCAATCAGACGCTGTACGTTCGAATTAATGGTGACCCATCTCAAAACGCAAATTTCCTGATAGGTGTTGGGACCATCACTTAATATCGGAATGCAGAAGCACGGCTGGATTGGAGAGAGGTCGGATTTGGTGGTTGACTGGAAATCCCATTCTGGCACCTGGTAGATCCAGATGCTGGTCATGCCTCGCATCCTGAGTGAGACTGCAGCTAAGTCGGCGTTCGGAGAAACGGCAGGCATTGCATCGTCGACAAATTCGGATCGCGTCCACCGCTGTTGATCAGGCAGAAACATTTTTCGCTGGGTAAATCGCTGGGTCGCAATATCGTATACGCCCCATGTATCTTCCTGCGAGTTGAAGGCGAATAGCTCATTGACGTGGCCCGTATCTGCATCCGGAAGGAGTGTGGCTTGCCGGGCTATCTTTGCGGTTTCCGGAAAGAGCATCGACCCTGTCCAGAGCGTATCTGGCGATTCGGGGATCGGTACGCCCTCCTCATTGAGCGGGCCATCGAAGAGGCCAGGTAGGACGTACAGCGAAGAGTTTGCGGATTTACGTGCGTAACTCGTAATGAGCAGCGTGCGGCCATCGTCGGAGAATTCGAGCGTGTCGCCCACTGGCCCTGTGAGCGTGCGACGCGCCGTCTCAGGGGCCCCAGGGCCAATAGCCACGACCTCTATTCCAAACTTGTTTCCGGTAATCATGATGAGGCCGTCGGGCGATATCGCGACGGCTTCAGCCTCGTGCACCAGCGAAACGGTCCGCCTCTTCTTGATCTGGCGGTCTTGCTCGCCGTGGATCTCATACAAGTCCACCTGCGACGAGCGCGACAAGACGGCCAGCAAGAAGCCATCTTCTGTGATGTCAATGGCCACGGGCTTGCGCTTGACCTGCAGGGTGCGGGCCCACAGGCGCGGCAGTTGGGTGCTCTTGACCAGCCAGATGTTGGACGACGAGTAGACGGCGACGAAGTTGCCCTTGCGCGAGACATTGAAGTCAAAGGCATCGGGCAAGGCCGACGAGGAGGCCGTGTTGGAGACGAGCTCGAGGACGGTGAGTGCGGGGTGGGCGTGCGGCGAGGGGCTCGTCTTGGTGGCAGCGTTGGGCCGGTCGTCGTCGGTCATGGCCGAGGTGCGGGCGGTCGAGGTGCCAGACATGCCAGAGGACGACGAGATGTCCGTGTGGCCCGCGGACGAGGCCGACAGGTGCGTGTGGATCTGCTCGTCGTCATCCTGAGAGCTCAGCGACGCGGTGCGCGAGCGTCCGTAGACAGCAGGTGCCTTTCGCCTGTAGTCGGTCTCGAGAGCCAGCGTCGGTCCGTGGTCAGGCGGTGCTCTCCTCCCCACCATCTTCGGGGCAACAGCGCGCGGCCGTGCGATGGCGATGGGCGACGGGGACGGGGACGGGACGGCGGTTCAGGGCGGCGGTGGTGACACTACGACGACGCAGAGCATTCCGGCGTGTTGTCTCTTCCGCTACCCATGAGGAGAGAGAGAGCAGACAGGCCAGCAGTAGCGATGGCGTTCACTCCGAGGCAAGTCGCTTGCGTGGTAGCGTCAGACCGTGACCGCAAGATCACCGCCGCTGCATCCACAGGCCATCCTTTGCCGTCTGCTGGACCCACCCCGGCGCGCTGATCCATGGCGCTCAAACAAGCAGTTCCAGGAGGACGGCTAATTATAGAATGCCCATCACGTGCAGGCCACTTGAATCCTCGGGCTCCCCGTCCCCGGCCCGTTCCTCTGCCCCTGCTGCGCACTCAGGATGCAACGTCAAGCGGGCCTGCCTCTGTTTGGCACCGCATCTACATACACTCGACGCTGCCGCACCTCTCGAGGCTGCGAACAACGGAGGCTCCATGCCGAACCAAAATCCGCCAAGAACGCGGGTCCCATTACGCTAGAACAGCCCTGGAACAACCCCAACGCCCCAAACGCTGACCAGGGCTGAAAGGCTGCACTGAGTTGCAGTGAGGGGCTGCACACCACCACCCGCCGCCCGCCTTCAACTGATAGGGCCTTACGCCTTGCATCGCTGCCTTGTCCGCCCCTCGCGCAGACGATGTGCGCTCCTCACCCGCCGTGTTTCGCCGCTTCGTTCGTGGATGCGTACAGGCCTCCGCCGCGGCCATCAGCAAAAAACAAGCACCACCACCAATGAGGCAAAAGCCGGTCTGATACGAACGCCCCCATCTGCTTGCAGACAGCCTTTATTACAGGACAGCCTAGCTACAGCGCTGTGCTGCAAGAGGCCCACTATCGTGAAAACGAACAAACTTTCCCGCAACTTTCTTCGTGTTTTGCCACACTAACCGTGTGCCACCTACCGCCGATCCTGTCATATCCGCCTGCATGCAGGTGCAGCCGTCTGGTCGAATCGCTTTTGCCGTTTACGATACAATCTATTTTTGTTGCTTCTCGCTCATCATACATCTGGCTAGTGTCCCGGATTGAAAATCCAGCAGGCATCATGCTGCAAAACTTCGTGACTTGCGAACATGCTGCGTGCTCTGTCCGTTCTCTTCCGGAAGCAAGGGGCCCAGCTTGCACGCGGACGCTGCATGCTTACGGCGGATGTGGAAAGTGTGCGAATTCTTGTCCCGTACGATAATCCGGTCCTCCCTTTATGCCTCAGATGCACTGCCACTCCGCCCCCACGCCACTAACTTGGACATCAGTTCCTAGCTTATGAACGCCTTCTGAAAAATGCTGATTGGATCGAATGAGCGGACGGAATCGTATGAACCTGAGCCTGTGCACCCTTTGCAGGCTCATGGGCGGAGAAGACGATGAAGAACGGCACGGCCAGCATTGTCGTATCTGACTCCGCTTGGGCAGCGGCAGCGGCCCTTGCGCCAATACGCGCGAGCCTTTCAAGACGACTTCGGTCGTATATTGATTGGTAGTGAAGATGTAGAGTTCTTGTCGACACGCTGCACTTTTCCTGAATAGCACGTTGCACCGTTTCCGCGCATGTGCGCTGCATTATGTGCAACTCTTCATGCGGATCTGAAAAATCTGTATAATTATGCGTTGCTTGGTCTTCCGATGGCAGCAGCGAGAAAAAGGCTTGGATGGCAAGATCGCGCACATGGTCCGTTGTTTCGGGAGCCTCTGGTGGAAGAGACCACCACTGCTCCCAAAACAGTCGCGGACCCTGGTGGAGAATGAACCACGTCACCCATGACTCACCTTTGCGAATCATCCTCGGGGCGTCGATGCCGTGTCCGAAATCGAATGGCCATGTTGGATTTTTCTTTGAAACAGATTTTACCGTCGATTGCTGTCGAGAGGATTTCCCGACCCTCCATGCTCCTGAAAGTAACATGAACATCATGATGTAGTCCTCTGCCTCGTGGACAGATATTGTCTCGATTAATTGCAATCGTCGCTGCAACACCAGCTCCTCCCGAAGCCGCACAGTCTCGCTTTCGTAGCGCGATGTGTGTGCCGTCAACCACGTGGCTTTCTTGTCCGACATGGAGAGGACATCCTTTGCATCCAATCTGTATATATCCGACGAGATATTGGATAACCGTCCCAAGATTCGCCATCCGCTCGCGACTCTACCGCGGAACACTGTACCAAGTGCATCTTCGGCGGCTATCCCAATTCTCGGACCCATCGGTTGCTCCTCAAAGATGAAACGATGCCTGTCGACCAGTATAGCCGCCAATTGCTGAGGAATTCTTTCTTTGAGCCACGTCAAGTTGTACCCGGAGGGAGCAATAGGTGGCTCTAAAAGTAGCTTACTCCCCGGGAAGGTACACTGGGCGACTGAGGGAATGATGTGGGCTGAATATCTCGAGAAAACATTGCGAAAAGTAGCGCATGTACCACGCAAGGCGAAGACTTCGTCAATGCGACACTGGGAGAGAATAAGGATAAGAACGTCGTCGGGCAAACTGTTCAAGCGCAACAGGTGGCTGCCACCCGTGTGATCACCAGTCCGACGCTTGAATCCGGGTATGTTGTCAAGAAATCGGTGCCGTTTCCCCTCAGCATCCATAGCAACTGTGATAAGGCCAGCGGCCTGCGACAGTACCGTGTACGAGTGCAGTCGAGCGTGTGTGTCAAGGCGTGTTGTGAGCGCGCGGTTCTTCGTAGTGGCACGCGACTTCCGTGATGGCCCGTGCGCTGTCGTCCCTTCTCTTCTTCAGCTGTCCACATCGCAATGCTAGCTTTATGCATGGTAGTGAATGCTGGCTCACGCATTAAATCTTGCGATAGCCATGCCGCTCCCTGCTCTATTTTCTTGCCGCCGCATTGACCGGGAAAGTCGAGGCGGTGCTCCTCTTATCTTCGAAGCTGCCGAGTTGATACCTCGAGGCTCTGCAAATATGCACACCAGAGAACGGCTATGTCTTTGGAGTTGCTAGACATTCACTTCCGTATAAGCGTCGTATCGTCTCACGAGCTGTACTGACCAACACGAGCTTCGGAGGTCAACAGCCGTCCTATTTCCATTGACTCCCGCAGACCTCGTATTTTCGCCTAACCTTGCCCCAAAGGCGTTGAGCGTACCTCCAAGACTTCAATCAACGTCAACGCGGGCAGAATATGGCCAGGCACCCAGACTCATCGTTGAAGGATCATAAGGCCTTGCACGGTCTCACGAAAAATGTTGGTCCATCAGGTCTGAAAAAAAAACCATGTACAGTCCATTCGCTGTCTTTTCAGCTCTTGCTTCCTAGATTGTACACGTGGGCCAAGAGGCGCTACCTTGCCGAAGCCTCAGACATCGCCTACCCTGGATGTAACTACGCCCAAAAGGGTGCTTTCTGCTTCGAATCTGTTCACCGGTTTTGGGCGAGACCGCTTGTCACTGGCTATGAAGAGGATGCCGGGCTGTCACTTGAACGGCCGAAGGAGGCGCGGGTGGAGCCACACCAAGCAGTGAGTGGTGGCTTCGCTGTGGGTCAGTCGGTGTAAGTCGATATATGTATCTCGTGCAAGTCAGACCTCGAAGTCTCAGTTCGACCATCACTGTGGTCTCCGAAATATCACACGCGACCATGATCTTTCAATTGCCCGTTACACTCCTATCGGCCTTAGCTTGTGTGGCTCTGGCAAACGTTATACCAGCCGATCCGACCATCACCCCCCCTGCGATATTGCCGAGACAGCTGGATGCGGCTTGGATTGGTTGGGTGCAGGACAATGGGACTTGTACGCACACATTGATTGCAAGTTGTTCATGAATGAGAGTTGACGAATTGAAGGGACTTCACAGTCATGCGATGCCGGCAACACCTGGTTCCAGTCAGGAAATTACGCTCAATGCTGTGCGGAAACATTGACAGCATGTCCCGCCCCGACGGCCTGTGTTAGAGGCAGTCAAATATATCCCTTCAGTGGCACGACCATCACTACTGCATGGTAGGTGCAGACGAAAGCTTTGAGCTCACTCACGCTGATCTATGGCAGCACCGAAAACTACAACAATGCAACCTACAGTGTTTGCAATACCGCTTTCATCTTTGAGAGCTTCGGGGACTCCAATCCTAAAACTGATATTGTCTGCGGCGACAAGTCGCAAATCTGGAGCTATTATCGATCAGTTCCAGCTTCAATCACCGAATCCCGTGAGTATCAATATCGAGACATATCCAGCATTCAAGCACAATTCTACATCCTGTATCATACCTAGGATGGCGATGAATTAGCACAACAATCCTTAGATCATGCGCCAGCAGCAGACCTCTCGGCTAACGCTATGTTTAGCCTCTGCGAGCGGCGCATCCGGTAGCAAGAGCTCATCTGATTCGAAAGCTTGGATTGCCGGTGCCGTCGTAGGACCCATTGTTGGTATCGCACTCATCGCCATCGTTGTGTTTCTCCTCATGCGCCGCCGCAAGAAGAACAAGCAGGCCAACGTACCGCAAGCTGGAGGAGCAGCGATCGGTCCTCCTGGAGTACAGCAGCATTACAACGAGGCTAAGCCACAGCCCACAGCCCCTTCATACGGCCAATCGCCTCCAGGCGTAAACGACACCTACAACCAGCAAACCTACCCTCCGCAAGGATATGTGCAGCAGCCCACCTCGCCGGCACCACAGTATCAGCAACAGTATCCTGTGCCGAACTCCTCGCCACCGCAACAGCAGCCATACGGCGCGCCGATTTCCCCAGTACAACACCAGCAAAGCGCGTACGCCACGCAAGACGCCAAGTTCGGCTATACCGCGCAGCAGCCGCAACACCCCAACGCGGCGGAGCTGGGGGGTGTCGGTAGTCCGGTGGGCGGGCAGCATACGTCGGAACTTCCCTCCCATGAGAGGGGAACGTAGAAAGTTTTCTAGATAGTCATTTTACTACAGCGGAAGAGTGGACACTACCATTATCTATTGAAACAACTAGGTTGTACTTGACAAATATGTGATACACAGCGAAAGAATATACACTATCGTGATACTACACTAGCGTCACATAGCCACCTCCAGATCCGCACCTCCACCTGCCCGAACTCGTGTCCTTCATCTAGGCATCAAAATCACGTGCCAGGCACCCACACACGTGACCCTACCTGCTGCCTCCCCAGCGCTCCGCTAGGACCTCCCACCCACCTATATAATCCGTCCACCTCCCTCGCCCTCCTTCCCCTCCCCATCCAAGTGCAAGGGCATTAACCGCAGCAGTGAAGATTCGTCTGAGCTCGGTTTTTTGCTAGTTGAAAATTACAACAATGGCTGCTCCTGTTGGCCCGTTGGGTCGGCAGGGAATTTTTGGCGAAACACTACAAAAGATGGAGACTTTTCACTTCGCCGTCTGGCGGTGTTGGACGCGAGGGGAAGAGTGGGCGACATTGAAGTGTGCTGGCTGGAGGGCCGTCAACCCAATCATGCTATTTACTACACGTTTGAAGAATCTATCGAATAATATATATGCCAACGAACCGATCTTCTGGCTTGTTGTTTGTGTTTTGACGGTTTCCCCTCCGGGCTTACACGTGGAAATGGAACGGGACCGGGGGCTTCACTACCGGTAGCTCATGCAGGGTTCCGCTGCTAAAGCGGCCTCGGCTGTCCAAGTACCGGTAGTTTCTCCAACCTAAGGGTTACTTCATTTTTAGAGTACAGGTTAAGATGGACAGAACAAATGTGTTGCCGAATATGTAGTGCCGCATAATTCCTGCGTCTCGAGGGTGGCGCTCCTTCCGACCATCAATGAGACCCGTATGCAGGCGGGAGGGCGCGTGGCTTGGCCAGGGCTTGGATAACCTCGCATGCGTTTCCCCGCCTTCGCAGACTGCCTCGCAGCCTCAACTCTCACTTCGCATTGTATCATGTCAATGCGATCTCCGTGCTGGCGGCAGCGGGCGGTAGCCTTGTTGCTTCTCGGTCTGCAGGTAGCTTCCGTGGTTGGTCAGACTTGTAAGTGAAACGCTCCAAACAAGTCAGCAACCAATCGTTCGATCGGACACGGCCTAGCCTACATTGCTTTCCACAACTTTCTTCTGATACCATCTTCACGCATATAATAGACGCTCCAGGGTATATACTTCGGTTGATAAGTTAGCCTAGGTGGAGGACACATTAGCACAGCCTGTGGCTTTTTGCAACGTTCTAACAGGCGCTAGATCACGTACTCCAGCCAGGCTCTCCAGCCGGATCCAGCCAATCACCACTTTCACACATTGCTACCGATCATACACTTCATGACCTACATGATGCTCTATCAGTAATGCAAGACCAATACTTTTCCCTCTGGATTGGGAAATGGACCACGGCAATAGACTGGACCGCTGCAGTCACAAGCACCCACCTTGCCGCAACGCTACGCTCACTGTCAGATTCACTCTCCTATACCATGCCGGGCACCTTCGCCAAATCGCAGAGGCTAGACGTAGAAGCGCAGATGGTAGAAAGCGAGATCAACAAGTACTTCGGGCATCTTATAACATACTATTTCGGACAGGACTACTTCGCCATCCGCATGCAAGCTTTCGACGATATGCTGTGGGTAGTGCTAGGGTGGCTCGAAGCGATCCAGCTCATCAAGACGCACTCTGAGAGACACTACCGAGATAACGGACATGGGAAAAGAGCTTGGCATGCACAGCAATTCATACCTGCCTTTGCGCACCGCGCACGCGTGTTCTACGAACTGGCAGAAGAGGGCTGGGACTGGGAACTCTGCGGCGGAGGCATGACGTGGAACCCGCGCCTCCTCCCGTACAAGAATGCAATCACGAACCAGCTATACATCTCCGCAAGCGTCAGCATGTATCTCCACTTCCCTGGCGACGATAATTGCTCACCCTTCTTGGGTGCCGCCGAGAGACAGCACCCAGACTGGACCCTGCGGTACGCAAAAGAGCAAAACCCCATGTCCGCGTGCTCGGAGTCGGCCCATGAACCAGAATATGACCCAGTTTACTTGCAAAATGCGATGGATGGCTACGACTGGCTCGCAAACAGCGGCATGCGAAACGCCGAGGGACTCTACACGGACGGCTTCCATATCCGCGGGTACGCGCAGAACCACAGCAAAACCGAGTGCGACGAGCGCAACGAAATGATCTACACTTACAATCAAGGCGTCATCCTATCAGGTCTACGCGGCCTGTGGGAAGCAACAGGGAACCTCTCCTACCTGGACGACGCTCACGAGCTTGTGGCAAACGTGATACACGCGACAGGCTGGACGGCTGCCAAAATCGCCCCCTTCTCCTCTTCACACAGTAGCACTTCAAAAGGCGAGAGAGCAGGAGCAGGGACTCGTGGCGCCCTCGGCGCAAACGGCATCCTGACTGAACTCTGTGACCCGTCCGCCGCCTGCAGCCAGGACGGCCAGACGTTCAAAGGCATCTTCTTCCACCATCTGACCGCCTTCTGCGCGCCGCTGCCGACGGTGCCCGCAAGGAAAGGGAAAACCCACGGAGCGAGCTACGAAGTAGCGTTGCTGCATCGCAACTCGTGTGATGCGTACGCGCCATGGGTGGTGCGGAACGCGCGTGCTGCACTGGCGACGCGCGATGCGGAAGGGAAGTTTGGCATGTGGTGGGGCATCAGAGACGACTCGGAAGGCGAAAGTGAGGGAGATGGAGCAGCGCTGCCGAGCGCTGCGCTGGATTATAGGAATGATCCGAGGGTGCTCGGGACGGGCAATTTCTCAGCGACGCTGCGAGATGCGAGTGGCGAGACGATAGGCAAGCGCAGCTGGACCGACGACGGCGATCCGAATGAGCGGGGCCGAGGGCGGACAGTCGAGACGCAGGGCGGTGGCGTCGCGGTTGTGAGGGCGATGTGGGAGTTTCTGAAGTGGAGAGGTGATTATGATGATCAGATGGCTGCGCTTGAACTGTAAGTCTTCATGTGGGAGAAGGCTCACCTGGAATTACAGGCCCAGTATGTTCGGGGTTTTTGTTTTTCGGATTTACACTTAAATTTCTGCATGGGTATATACGATCTAAGCCTCAATTAACGCACCCAGGGCCGCCATCGCGCTCCTCACGCCCTGGAATTCCACGTCCGCCGCCTCGCTCCTCTCTGCATCTGCGGTCCTCCTCATCCCACTCGTCTCCCTCTTACTGTTTTGAAATCCCGCTTCTAAGTGGATCCAAGTCTCCCTGTCTTTGCAGTTCTCCGTTAACAAATCATTGTTACATAATCCCCAAATCGCCAAACCCCTTCAGCACATCCTTATCCACACGGCTCAGCCAGTCCTCCTGGAACCGTGCCTCGCCGCCCACAGTTTGGATAGCGCCCTGCAGGTGCTCGCGCACAAAAGTGACGAGGTTGAGGCGATGGACGGGGTCGGAGTAGAGGAGGATGCGTTTGCGGGCGTCTTCTGGGGCTTCGGGTTCGATGGGGGCGTAAGGGTTGGGTTCTTCGGGCCAGTAGAGCGAGCTGTGTTTCGTTAGCAAATTTCTCATTCACATTTTCAAACTATGCATATGCAAGAGAGGACTCAAAGGGGAAGGGAATGGGAAAGTGCACGTACTCCGCGGTCTTATCATCCATGCCATCCAGCAGCTCGCCCAGCACATCCGTCCACATCGCAACCAGACTCTGCAGGTGGCCCAAAATCCAGGGCGCGCCCGTCTCCAGGAGGCGCGTCAGCACGAGCGCCATTAGCTTCTTGTTGGGCGGGTCGCCGATGTTCTCGATGTGGCCGAACCACTCCTCCAGCAGCCAGTGGAGCGTCTTCTCCAGCTCGACGCCGCCGACAGAGGAAATCGCCTCGAGCAGGATCGCGGGAGAAGCGAGACCGATGCGCGCCAGCACGGAGAAGTAGTCTGTTTCCACCACGCCGTCGACAGCGCGGGAGGGCATTTCACGCAAGGGTCCGTGTGACTGGTGGTGTGTCCACGCGCCGTGGAGGCCCTGCATTACCTTCGCGAAGAAGTTGGACGAGATGAGGTCACCGACGAGCACTTTGGTGGCCTGTTCGCCACCGAGATCGTCGGCGCCACGGATGATGCACATCATGAGGTGCGAGACGGCGCCGCTGGCTTCGGGCTTCAAGCTGCCCAGGAGCTCAGACAAACAGCGGATCAATTCTGGGCGAAAGTTGTCTGCGAGGACGGCTGCGGGAGCGAGGAGTAGATATGCTTCGGTGATCTCGATGGCTTTGCGGAGGGTGTCGTTGTCCATTGAGAATAATGGGATTAGATATTGGAGGAGGTTGAGAAGCTCTGGAGACGTCGGTTCGGGAGCAGACGGTGTCTGCGCGATGATGGATGACCACAGGTCTAGTGCGTCCTCTAGCAGGTAGACTTGCGTGTCGGAGCCGGGCTCAATGGCGCTTTGTATGATGGGGAGGAAAGAGACGTGGAAGGAGCGGGACTCGGCTTTCATCGCGTTCGTTAAGCGGGAGAGGATGGTGAGAATGGCCTGCTTCATGAGGTGCTCTTCGCCAGACTGCTCCCATAGCGGTGGGAGGAGAGCAATAATGCTGTTAGCATACGGCGTAATCTGTAGAATGTCAGGAAAGCCACCGTTTTGCACCGAACGTTACTCACGTTGTGTTCGAGCCTCTCCACGATGATGCTGATCGTGTTCAGCAGCGCCATCTTCGTCTCTTGAAGTTCTACCTCCTGCACCAAAGCCATGAGTCTATCCAAAATGGCTGGTGCATGTGGCACGAAGTTGTCGGCCTTGAACTCCCATTCGTCTGCGATCTGATGAAATTTTCTGCCAGCGGTAACCCGAACGACTAGGTCGTTTAGTGGGTCATTCTTGTTCATCAAATGCTCGAAAATCTGATAAACAACGGGCTTGTTATCCTTCGCAATCTTAATGGCGATCCACTGGGAAAGAATGATGGCAATGCGGCGTCGGATGATGTTGTAGCCAGGCTTCTGCTTCTGGGCCTCCTGCACTAACGTGTTCGTAATGAAGGCGTCGAAATCAACGTGATCGTGGAGTACGTCAGCCGCTAGACCAATGGCAGTGTAAACAGAGTCCTTGAAGAGTACGTCCTCGTTGTCCGGGGCTGTTCACAGTTAGCTTGCGCAATTCTTGAGGTCGAGTGGATACTCACTCGCGACCGTCTGGAAGACTTGAAGAAGAGGCTGGATGATCAAATCTTTGAAATTCTTCGCGAGATCTAGAAAGAGTTTCTCTGCGCAAGGCCGGATCGCGAATTCCCAATCCTCGGCGCCCTCTTCCATCTTCTCCCACTCGTCGGGCTCTTCCTCCCACATGCGGAGATCGCTTGGCCTGAAAACAAAGAAACGCGTAACAAGGGTAGACACCATCTCGCGGACGAGATCGTCAGTCAGAAGCTCTTGCTTGACCATCTGTACAGCCTTGGTGCGCTCGTCTTTCTCTTGTTGCTGACGGTAGCGGAAGGTCTGCACAGGATAAAAGACCATCTTTACGCAGGCGCGGACAACTAGCAACCCCTTCAAGCCTAAGCGCTCAAAGATGGGCGCGTCGTCTTCTTCGTCGCCATCAGAACCGATTTTGGCAGCTTCTACCGACTTGGAGCCCCAGGTCTCACCAAGACGAGAGACCAAACCCCAATATGCGCGAACCAGGTCTATTGAGTCGGGCATGAGGACGAAGTCTGCAGGGTGTGTTGTTGCCATGAAATAATGAAACTTGGAGAGCTGCATCAGGTGCTTCTCCACAAGTCTGCGAACTGGCGGCGCAAGTGTGCTATCCTCCTGAACATACGGAATGAACTCGCCGAAGAAGGTGCGCGAGAGTGTCCAGAGCTCGTGTACATCTTTTTCTCGCCCTGGGAAGTCATAGCTGCTTACAACAAGCCGGCGTATGATCTTGATTACAATCAAGCTGTTCTCGATATCTTCGAGGGCTCCTCCTTCATCGTCTCCCCCTTCGCGGAAAAACTTCTGCCAGCTTTGCACCTTGCTCACGTATATGGTTCCTAGTACGTTGAGGATCTCGGGTGCAATGTTCTGGAGATTTTCTCGTGTCCGCCGCAGTCGCCCCGTGGATAGCTCTTTGACAATGTATAGGAGGAGAAGGAGCGCTCGGGGCAGTTGGAGGCGGAAGGCGGTCGGCTCAGTCGAGACACGGAGGAATTGGATGAGTTGCTCGAAAACATCGGGCCTGCGAACTGTGAGAAGCTGCGGTACGGGGGATGCCATTTGATGCCTACCAGTCGTTGGGATACTCGAAGCGGACGATCTTAGCGACCATAAGAGCATTCTGCAACGCCAGGCGACTGTCGGCCTCGTTGACTGCACTCTCGAGCAACCGAACGCGGATGGTGTTCCGGTCCTCCTTGTTGACGGCACTGTTACAAGTCAGAGTGTGCTCCCACAAATTGCCTCTGCGGTGGTAGCCATACTTCTGAGCTGTCTTGCGCCAGTACTTGTCGATGCCGTTCTTGAGCTGGATAATGGCCAGGTACCGCACTTCATACGGGAGGGACTTGTCTAGAAAGACAGCCTGTTAATGTCAGCTAAGTTACCTATCCAGAATGACTTGGAGAGCATACCTGTAACAAGGGATAGTATCCCCGCGCCTTCTCCCACTCCTGCAGCTGCTTCGTGCCCGTCTGTATCTGGTTTGGATCCGTCGACGACGCAGAGCGCAGGACATGGAAGAGGATGCCCTCAGTCAGAGGGTTCGCCTCGGCAGGCACCTCAATGGCGTTGAACTCAACATCCATGGCTGCGATCTCTCAGGGACCAAAGTGCGCGAGTCGGCGTCGTGGCGGGGTCATGCGAGCTTTTGAGCGGGCGCGATTCAGCGGCGGTTTATGTGGGGTGGTGCGGGCCACGGGTGCGTTGGCAGCGGCCTTTTGAAGGTCGAACGTGTCCCGCTCACCCAGGGAGTCGGAGCGAGCATGAGGCACAAGCTGTGAGAGATTGTTTACTCGCGGGCAAAGACGTCGAAAAGTGCCCCGCGGCGCTCCCTATCCACGTCACGCAGCATGCCTGCTCCGAAGCAGACAGGCGCGTCGGAATCGCGTTCCGCAGCTGCTCGTGACGCTCGTCTGGAGGCGCGAGATGCACAGCAACAGAAGATTCACTGGGCTGAGAAGTCATACGACTGAACATCCAATTGCCACATGCCGCCTGTTTTGCCGCTGCATAGCTGCGCATAGCTCAAGTTGCCCAGTCGCCGACAGACACCTCGGCCCTGAACCTCGGCCCAACCTTCAGTGCTGTGGCTCACGCTATCACGTCGTCCACGGCCAGCATAGCACCACCACCGTTATCCAGCGCATTTGCGCCCTACACCTCCCGCACACCCGCTCGCATGACCGCGAGCACCGTCGATACAGCGTTCACATTCAGATTCTAGATACCCGCAGTAGCACAAGTAACCCAGCGCCGATTGTCTGGAGCCCGACCCGCGGAAAGCGTACATTCATCCCGTCTTCACGTTTGCATTAGAGATACCCTGTCAATGCCCCAATGCCTTCCGCCGACTTCGCTGCCGCCCAAGAACGCCTAGCCGCCCGCCGCGCCCAGCGCGCCCGCAAACTCCCCTCCTCTGCACCGCCCACCACACGCCTCCCGCTCGGTTCCTCCATCCTCTCCATATGGGACGCGATAAAAGGTCGCGAAGGCACCCGCCCGGCCTTCCGCGTCGGCCAAGTCGACGCCGAGCTTCTGGATGATGAGCTTCTCGGCCTGCTTAAGGGGCAGGTCGGCGAAGGCCTCAAATACTTTGGGCAGAACATTGCGGATGCGTGGGCGCCTGAGATTCTACTTGCGCTCCGCGTGGTGTTGTTCAAGCTGAGCATCTGGAACAACAGTGCGAGTTACGGCGCGCATTTGCAGGGCCTGCGGTATACCGACGCGCGCAGCACGGCGCCCGACCGGCCGCCGCCTGCGAAGTGGCAGAAGATTGCTTACGGGGTGGTGACGGTGGGCGGGCGGTATGCATGGACAAAGTGGGAAGAATACCTTCTCGCAGCTTCAGAAGACTACTCCCGACCACAGTCCGAGACTCTGAGCCTGGCAAGCAGAATAACGGAATACCTCGATTCAGCGCACGACATCGCCTCCCTCGCCTCCTTCCTTGTCTTCCTCGTAAACGGGCGCTACAGAACCCTCACCGACCGCGTGCTCCGCCTCCGCCTGACCCCAACATCGCACTCCACCTCCCGCGAGGTCTCTTTCGAGTACCTCAACCGCCAGCTCGTCTGGCACGCCTTCACAGAATTCCTGCTCTTCCTCCTCCCCCTCGTCGGCATCTCCCGCTGGCGCCGCATCCTCGCGCGCTCATGGCGCAAAGCCCGCGCCACCTTCCTCGCACTGCTAGGCCGCGCGCCCGCGCCCGGCGACACGGATGAGGACGAGGCGAAGCCCGCCGGCGAGCTGGGCTTCCTTCCCGAACGCACTTGCGCGATTTGCTACCGCGATCAGAATCCCACTACGCAGACGGAGCAGGACATCCTGTCCGCCTCCGCAGGCGGCGGCGGCGTCGTCGGGTCTGCGGCAACGGACATCACGAACCCGTACGAAGCAGTGCAGTGCGGGTGCGTGTACTGCTTCGCATGCATCGCACAGCGCATCGCGAACGAGGAGGGCGAGGGGTGGACGTGTCTGCGCTGCGGGGAAACCATCAAAGAATGCCGGCCGTGGGACGGCGACGTGCTGGAAACGAACCGGCAATCGCAATCGCAATCCAGCGGGGGCAATGGCAAGAGTGTTGGGTTTGTGGCCGTGGGAGGAGCGGAGGAGAGTGGTCGGGATGAGAAGGCGGGGCTTAGGGAGGTGGATCCTATGCCTGAGGAGGAAGAGGAGCGGGGTGAGGAAGATTCGTTCGTTGAGGAGAGCAGATCACGGAGTTTGGACTGGGGACAAGCGCTTGATGAGAGTGCGGAGTGGGCACGGGCGAGTGATGAGCAGAGTACGGAGCAGGATAATCAGAGTGAGGAGTACGACGAAGACGAGCAAGAAGAGGGCGAAGAGCTGGATTATGACCAATGAATGGAAATGTTGACCAGAGCATGTCATACAGTCCTGCACGTGCCATGTGAACTCCACTGTCAATTAGCTCGTTCGTTGCTCAAGTTTGCGGTCGTAAATATGCCCATTCGCAGGCTGTTGTTTTACGCTGTGGTGGCTTTGTGCCTTTTAAGATGAGGCCGAGGCTGGGGCCAGGTTTGGAGATACTTCTCCGGCCACATATCGTTCGCAGCTCATGTCCTCCCTTACCCCTCTGCAATCTCCTCAAACACGTAGCCTGCCGGACAGATCCGCACCACAGTCGAGGAAAGCAGCACAAACTTACCAGGGCTACCATCCCTATGACTTTCTACCCCTCCGCTTTCAAGTATGTGCCGCTCCTCAGCTAGTATTGCCATTGAACGATACCCACCCTCTCACACTCGCGCAAACTCTGCATATCTGGGCAACGCGGCCATCTTCTCCTCGGGACTGACAATCTCATCGAAGAACACCAGTCTGATGTTCTTGTCCTTCTTGCTCTTCTTCTCCGCCGAGGCTTCTGCCGTCGGAGGCTTCTGCGCATCCGCGATAAGATCGTCAAGCGAGGCAGTAAAGTCGGTGCCGGGCGGTGCGCCATTCGGAGGGAATGCACCTGGCGGTGGTGCACCAAAGGGCGGTCGCTGTGGGAGTCCGCCGGCGCCGGGGATACTGCCTGGTCGCACGGGGGCAACGGCGCCGGGTGGGAATTGGCCGGGGGCGTATCCTGCAGCGCCGGGCGGGGGAGCGAAGGGTTGAGCGGCAGGCGGAGTCTTTCGAGAGCGTTAGCAATATGTTCGACGAGCGCAGTGCAGCAGGACTTACCGGCTCGAGCTGGACGTCTGCAACAGGCAGCGGGAGCACGCCGTTCGCCCTATCAACCCTGTACTTCTCCGCGCGCTCCTGGATCTCCTCGAGCGTCTCATTCTTCTTCGCGCGCTTGGTTGCCCCGTTCAAGCCCGAGCCTCGCGTCGGGTTGCCCGTAGCCAGCTGCCGCGCTGCCTCGTCCGCAAAATGCGCCGCGGTAACCTGCTGGTTGTGCTGGTCGATGATCTCCGGGGGCACGCCTTCCATGCCGAAGATCTCGATATCAAGGCCGCCGCGGCCGGCAATCGCATTCTCGACCTGGTTCAGCTGCTCCTTGTGGACCTGTGTCATGTGCACGTTGAGACCTGGGGTGTGCGTGTCAGCCGATGGAGCAGAGGGACGGCAGTGTGCAATGCCAACCTCCGGCCGTGTTCAGACGGCGACCGCATTTCTCGCACTTGAAGTGCTTCGCCTTCTGGTGCGATATGAGAATCTTCAGATCGTCGAAGTCGCGCTCGCAGTAGAAGCACCATGGTCGCTCGAGCTTCTGATTAAGGTCGGGATATCTCTTCCTCTTCTTCGTCATCGTGGCTAGCTCGCGCTCGTGGAAACGGGCAATTGGATCTGTGATCGGATTATCTGCGCGCGCGTGAGGTTGACGGCGGCTTCGAGCTCGTCAACGCACGTTTGGAGTGGAGGGAGCTCGGACCCAGCGTCTTGGCGCGCTTGCCGCACGTCGTGAACTTTTCTCCGCAGATGCAGCGTCTGCCACCTTCACCCATCGTCCTTCCATCCATGCCTTCTTTCTAAGAGCATGCCCACGGCCACAACTAAGCACTGGCGACAAGACTATTTCTGCGCGTTTACCATTCTCACTCGCGCCCACCATCAGTATTTGCTTGATCCCGCAGTAATTCTTCAAGATGTCCTCATGCCACGGTCATTGTCGTAAGCATTGTACCAAAGCGCGATAAATACGCTTCAGCTTTATCAGGCCAATTCCAGTACACGCAACAAGCACAGCAGCCACTTGGTCTCACGACACCACCCACAAGTCCTTTCGGGGAGCATCCTGCATCGGCGCGTCTTGCGTTTGATGTAGGTTTGCGGCTGCAGAAGCTTCGTGCCCTTTGATTCTTCAGAGGCTGTTGCAAGAACAACCCTACCAGAGGTCCTTCATAGTTCACACTTCCTCGCTCTTCATGAGACTCCCTACGAAGAGTGTGACTCCTTGCGCACCTACATTCAATGATAGTCACCAACGCCATCGGTGAAAATACAAAAGTTATGAGCGGGTTTGGTCTGCATTCCAATTCGTCTTGGTGATACCATGTACCCAAACACCTAGGGTACTGTGTTGTAAGCTTCACAGGGATGCCTTTTGCGTTCGTACACATCTCTGATTTCCCCTGAAACCAACACGGTTAGGCGAGATGCCCGTCCCGTCACAAACATGCCCGTAGAGCCATACGACTGTTCGTTTCAGTTCCTGGGATAGTGTCCGTGGCATTGTCCACCGAGAATCCAATTACTACAGCCTGAGATGACGTAGGAAGCTTGTGTTGCACTGTACAGTCGTCCCATTCATTTATTGCTGCTGTAGGTCTTAGGGCTGTGGTACTTGCTTCTGCTTCCGCTCTTTGGATCTCTGCCCGGATATGAGCCCAAGCATGGTGATGGGCTTTTTACCAGTCGTTGCCTCAATCACACGATTGACGTGATCCAGGCACCTGTCAGAGAGGACATTCTCGGTCGACGGACCCAAGTTGCCAGGACGATTTCGCTTGGCATCCAGGTGATATAGATTGCCGTCGAAGGACTTTACCATGCAGATATAACGTATTGCTGGTTCTTCGGAGGCGAAGACTGAATCACCCTGTATAGCAATATCCGTGTACGCCTCCTCAAGAGGCTTGTTGAGCTCCAAAGCGAGGGCGTAGTTGTCAGGAGCGAGCGACATTTCGTTTGATATTACGAGTACATCGGTGAGGAAGCTGTTCGATCCTGGAACTCCATGTTAACATTTGAACCTGGTTGTTAGTGAAGCATTACTGCCTCCCACCACTACAGACCAAGCATCGAGGCTGGGGGTCCGTGGGATAGTGCATGCAAGATCGGATAGAAGCCGCATGCTCCATTTATCGTTTGCTCCAAGAATGGAACAGGGTGTCTGTAGCACAATACAGTGTCAGTCACTGTTCATGGGCAAGATTCTAGTCTAATGGATCGCGACGGTGGAGCGGTGGTTAAAGTGTGTGCGGATATCACTTGCCTCGTACCCGACGCTTTACCGCGCTGATGCTTCCCACTCATTGGTATCGCAACGATGAGAGTATGTTCTTATATTTTCGTCGGAGCTCCTGGCGATCCTGGATACTGTCGATCTCCTCGAACCGAAGGCCTTCCTTTCTGGCTCCCGCGGGCACTCCAAGCTTTCGAATGAGCCAATTCGAATGTATAGCGGTCGCATCGAGCGGAATCTATAACGTCGGGGCCTCTAGCCAGAGCAATTGTCGCGGTGCAGATTCCTATATGGCGAGTATAGAGTCAGTATGTATACATGTAATCAGTGTCGTGCAGTGTCCCAGTCTGCTTTCCCGATCACGTTTCCTGCAACCGGCCGGGTTTGCCAATACTCACATTGTGCGGCTGGCGTAGTATTTCGCAAAACCACAGGTATTCGCTCAAGGTCATATGATCAGATTTAGCGAACGGATCAACGGGAGGCGGGTAGCAGATCGACTCGAGTAGACTAGCCATAGTTCTGGACTTGGTCTTCGGTGTTGTGTATTCGCGATGCACGTGAACGATATTGCGGAAGATCTGCAAGCTGCATACTATGCTCAGTGGATATAGGTTATGCTTGACGGATGATGCAAGGCGAGGGTAGGGAAGAGAATGGTGGATTCTCGAAGCGGCGCGAAGTATGGCGGCTGCGCCATAGGGAAAGCATGCACGATGCGGCCAAAGTTCACAAGAGCGGGTGCCATCCCCAGGACAACAGAATTTGAACCTGTATACTGTATTCCGTAACTTTCGAATATCCTTGAGAAGATTGCTCCTCACTACCCTACTTTATGCCTACGATACCTACGATGCCTTGCCATGGAGTAATGTCTGGACCGGTGGGGACAGAACATCGCAATATGATCAGCTGCTGGAGCGACAAGCTCGCAGAACAGAAAATGCACCATAACTCAGCACTGCGCAAAGCACAATACCCACACGACCAACGCCCCGGTGCTCAAAAGCACCATGACATCCGTCCACACCCCAAGGTGCAGGCGCAAGATTAGTGCGAGTCAAGACAGGGTAGTGTATTTCTCAGGTAAGCAATAATCAAGTCTTCTCTTTTGCAACAGAGACTTCTTTCTCGCTCAGCTGTTCCTGTCTTAAATCCCACTCACTTTATACCCGCCCCTGAGGTACCGACATATTCATGGCATTCTAGTCTCTGTGTGAGGGGACGTCCAAATTTACATGGGCAGAGCTACTTACAGTCTCACCCCTCGGAGATATGACTACTGCACCTGTTCCTCGGGGGACTCTACCGGGGCCTCTAAATCGCGCTCCAAGGCGGGATCAGCACCGCCACCGAAAGCAACAAGCTCTAAGAGCTTTTCAGCCCTGTCGCGGTATGTCAGGCTTGACCAGTCCATCTTCACGGTCAAGGGAATATGTATGTTTGCATCGATCATGACGCGGAGACGCTGGTCATAAATGTTTCGCCAATATTCGCCATTGGCGTTCGATTTTTCTTCCTCAGACTTGAATGGCGTGGGGGCAGGTGTTTGAGGGGCGGGAATGGCAGGAGTGGCAGTCTTGTACTCGTTGTAGACCGGTCCCACCTCTATCGGCTCACCCTGCATAAAGTGGTAGGGGAGCTGAACGGTCGGCTTTGCCGGCTTGGTGTCTTCACGGTGTTAGCGACGCGGAAACAGCAATACCGCAACATAACAGTAGAAGGGCAGAGCCTACCATGCTGTCGCTTCGGGAAGTACAAAGCGTTGACAGAAAGGGCTGTCGCAAAGACAGCGAAGATGTAAGATGGCTTCATCTTTGATGAAGGATGAAATGAGTTTTTGGATTGGAAACTTGATCTGTGTGAGGATTTTGATGCGAATGAGGGTTTGGGAGGGTGGAAATATGCTAGAGGAAAATTCGTCAACTCAACGCTTCCGCTCCATGCCATAGTCAACCCTAGCCGAGACGATGAAGTGTGGTAATAGTTCTCCATGGCCATGAAGCTAGGAGCCACACGTGTAGTATCAATCGGTGAGTTCCTCCGGTCGACGTTATTTTAAGCTACAAGGTCACATGAGTAACTATGCCAAACAGAATACAGTACAGTCGGACTACGCATGGCCTACCCACGGTACCATAACTAGAGTTGGGTTCCGTGCTGCGTTAGCCCCTCAGTCGCCTTGAATTTCGACGAAATGGAGTGCGAGATCACTTGAATTGTATCCAACAGTGGAGCCGCGATACTGATAACGAACGTGGAACGCATCTCGATGATGTACTCGCGTTGCTGCTGGATCCCACAACGTTTCAAGATAGCGTGGAGAAACATATGGCAGTGGCAAGACTATACCGAAAGTAGACGCTTTGAGGAATGTGATGAGAGACGAAGACCCGGCTGTTGGGCATGAGATCCGCGTCGAAGAATGGTAGGATCCGCCAAGATGGTCTTAGCGCTGATAGGCCGGTTGTTTGTCCATCACCAAGCTTCGGATCCGAGGAAGCGGCCCTGCGTCACCGTTGCTCCCGACGAAAACTGGCTGCGGAAACAAGCAGTACAGCCGGAGCAGTGCAGCGCTGACGGCTCGGCAGCAGGCAAACTCTCTGTACTTTGCTATCAGTGTTGCTTGGTGTTGCTTGGCTTTAGATGACGCCGAGCTGGCTGGCTGACGATCACCCCTGCTCCTGCTCCTTCCAGGCTAGACGCCACAGCTTTTGCGTACCTCACCTGCCAGAATCAGCCATCCTTGTCGAAGCTACCCTTGAGCTTGCATCACTCCACCCGTCATGGAGCTGCACTGCTAGTATATATTGTGGCGTGCTCTCTTGTTGCGACACTTTGTGCATTGTGTCTGTCGTTCACAGCAACCATGCGCTATTCTTTGTTGGCAGGTACCCTGTTGGGTCTTGAAGCGGCTGCACTGCAATTGGGACTTCCGACCGCAGGGGAGCTTGCCCAGAAGGTGATGCGAAAATGGCCTCGTATTGTGCCATTGATTGCTGACAGCTTCTAAAGGTTCAGGCAACTAAATCTCGCCACTCGGCGCTGAAGAAACGCGACGATGTGGATCTTTCTGTCCTGTACCCGCCGCACAATCTGAGTGTACCCATTGATTTCTTCCACAACGACACTCGCTACGAGCCGCATACCAATGGTAAGTTGCACAATTTCAGGATTTGTCTTTCAATCTCGGATTGCGGAGTGCTTATTGTAAACATTCGACATCGTTCGATTGTTTGCTAACAAGAACCGTAGACACGTTCAATCTGCGGTATTGGTTCGATGCCAGCTATTACAAACCTGGTGGCCCTGTATTTGTCCTTCTTGGTGGTGAAACCTACGGAGACGACCGGCTGCCCTTCCTCCAAAAGGGTATTGTTCACCAAGTCATTGAAGCAACCAATGGTCTCGGTGTGATTCTGGAGCACCGCTACTACGGAGAAAGCTTCCCGTACCCCAGCGTATCGCTGGAAAACCTTCGTTTCCTGTCCACCGAGCAAGCTCTAGCTGAAGTCGACTATTTTGCCCGCAACGTCAAGTTCCCGGGTATTGACGCGGATCTGACAGCACCAAACACCCCCTGGATTGCCTACGGTGGCTCTTATGCCGGTGCTCAAACGGCGTTCTTGCGAGTGGTGTATCCCGAAACCTTTTGGGGGACAATTGCCTCGTCCGGTGTCACTGAGGCTATCTACGACTACTGGGAGTACTTCGAACCGATCAGGCAATACGGTCCGCCCGACTGTATCTCCGCTACCCAGAGCTTTATCAGCGTGCTGGATGGTATTCTGTTGAAGAACAACACTGCCGCGATCAAGCAGCTCAAAGACGCATTTGGATTTGGAGGTGTTACAAACAATCAAGACTTCGCCAACATCTTTACCGACATCTATGGATGGCAGTCCACCAACTGGGACCCCGAGGTTAACAGCCCGAGCTTTTACAACTATTGTACCAACATTACCGGGTCGCTCAACTTCCCTGATCTCGAGGCTAACAGATCCACCGCCGCGAGCCTTGTCGCTGCTGCTGGGAAAGGAAACGACACTGCGACGGTTGATGCGGTGCTGAATGCCATTGGTTGGTACGGTAGGAAGCTCACCAGCCAGAGGTCGTCTGGTCTGACTCAGGACCAGTACTTCACTGCGCTTAACGACACGCAGTGGGAGGACGATTCTCTCGACGCTGCGAACGCTTACAGGAGCTGGAACTATCAGGTGTGCACCGAATGGGGTTACATCCAAACTGGAAGCGGCGCCCCTGCAGACATCCAGCCGTTGATCTCCCGCACTCTGGACCTCGAATACTTGACGTACTTCTGCCGCGCAAGTTACAACCGCACCGAGCCTCCGGATGTCGAGAAGGTCAACAAGTACGGTGGCTTCAACACCAGTTACCCTCGCTTGGCACACATTGGAGGCAACGCGGACCCGTGGAGGCCTGCTACACCTCTGTGGTACCCGGATGCTAAGAAGGACAGCATCAAGGAGCCGTGGCTCTTGATTTCTCATGGAGTGCATCACTGGGAGGAGAATGGTATCTTCCCCAACGAGACGACGCCGACGCTGCCGCCGTACCCAGTCATCTATGCTCAGCAGTATCTCAAGAACGTAAGTTAAATGATCTTGGTTAGCATGAAACAGTACTGACACACAACAGTTCGTCATCGACTGGCTGAGTGACTGGGAGAAGCCAGGTTACTTTGCCGAACTGTAAAGCACGCGACGCAGTGCTCTTGCATATTACCGTAGTGCAGCACCACCCTTTGGATAAAACATTACATTCATGCAGACTATGTCCAGTCCCTCCCGCGTTCTTCTTCCGCGTCCAATCCCATGCAGTAGAATTCCCTAATCACTTCTAATCAATTCCTCACTCGTCTCGTCCCCAACCAGAATAGTAACATTGAAATTTGTCAAACTCGGACTTCCACTCGCCCCATACAGACTAAACAAACTTCCCGCCAACACAACCTCTTTGCCCTTCCACTCCTCCAGCTCCGCCGGCGCCGTCGCCGCAATGGTAACGTTCTCCAACTGGTTAGACTTGTCGGGCCCGAGGTAGGATGACGAGGTAAAGGAGCCAAGTGTTAAGGGGTACCCGGGGGCGAGGGAGAAGCCCCATGCGATGGAGACGTCGGCGACGGATTGGATGTAGTTTTCGGTGATGAGGGTGAGGTTAAAGGGGGAAGAGGGCGCGAGGGTGGAGGGCGCAGCGAGGCCGGTTAGGCGGGCGGTTGTGAGGGCTGCGCTGAGAGCGGTGGTGAGGAGGGCGGTGGTACGCATATTGACAGATATCAAGGGTCTTGGAAGGGTTCGGGTGGTTTCGACGATTGCGGTTGGTGGTTCGGTCTGGTTTGGGGTGGCGTGTTTGGTTTGGAAGCATATGGTTGCGTGGATGCGACGCTTTATAGCATTTGAGTTGTGCATCAACAGGAGCTGATGAGCAGTGGAGGCTGGTTATATCATCTGGACACAGACCCGCTGTGGCACCGCGCTGCAATATTGGATGCTGATCGGTGCAGGGTTGGTGTGGAGAAGGGCCGTGAGAAATGTTCCGATGCCGCCGCCCGCGTCACCCGGGCTACGTCAGGGGTGGGGAGCGTCAACAGTCGCAACTGAGAATACTGGTGTTAGACGAGAGTCGAGAAGAGATAATCGATCGTTAATGACTCCCTAGTTTGTTGTGCTTTTCGTTGATGCTAGTGGTTCAACGTTTTTGATACTGTTCATACACTTGGACGCCATACAAACTACCTCACAACACGCCACGCGCAGCCCGGAGGCATGGCGGTCGCCTAGCTAGCATGCGCCACGCATGGCTGGACTACGTGTTCGACCACCTGATGTTGCCTCTATCGATAAAGGGAGGCCTATACGACGAAATGGTAGAATAATCGGCAGCAATGGACCGGCGTGGTGCTATTTTTGGCTTAGTGGGAGTACCGTCTGTGTACGACATCGCTGACGAAATAGCGTGAAACTATAAGATCAGCGTTGTACCCTCTCACTTGTCAGAAATGCACGTTATGGTAACATCGTATTGCACGAACTAAACCCGGAACTCGTGGCAGGCACATTGGCGGCAATGCCTCCATCTATCCCAGATGCAACGCGGTTACAATTGTCATCCGTACATTCCATAAAGTCATGTCCGCAAAAATGTATCCTTGAAAAGGGTAGCGTCGTAAGTAGAGGCGCTTAACGTTGCCCTACTGCTTCGTCCCGATATATCCGTACGTGTCATTCTGGCTGACCGCAGGCTTCCACTCGAAGTGGTGCTTCCCCTCCATTGGCTTCTTGACTTCCTTGTCTTGATCACCCTTCTTGTCGAACATGTGCGAGCCGAAGTAGTCCAGCTCCGCTTCATAAAAGGACGTCGGCAGGTCCGTGCCAGTGACGACTTTGAAGTACTCAAGCGTTGCACCGAGCGCCGGAGCGACTTGGTCTGTCTCAACAGCTTTCGCAACAACGCGGCGAAGCGACGGGTAGCAATGCCGCAGCGAGCTTGCAGCTTTGTCATTACTAAGGAGGTTGATAGTCGAGTGATTCGCGTTCGGTGCTCTGAGGACCGGCGCCAGAAGTTCGTCGGATATGTAGTCGGCCTGAATGATGCAGCCTGCGCGCCATATCTGCCATACTTCGGCATAGTTGACGTTCCATCCATGCGCTTTGTCAGCTGCGGCGATGGTGTTGAGACCTTGGATGAAGGATGCTACGCATGCGGCGTATGTTGCTCTCCTGAGGTCTTCTAGGAATGCGGTTCGATCTGGGATCTCGAGCGTCTGAGGAGGGAACCCGCCGGCGAAAGTTGTGTTTGCTTCTTCACGGCTACCACGGTAGGCCGATGCAAGGCGGAAGCCATGAGCTATGTTTAGCGTGAAGGCGGGAATATGTTGTTCGATCGCTTCGGTGTTGGACCAAACGCCTGTGCCTTCCTCGCCAGTAATATCTTGGACGACTTTGTCGAGGACCTCGGAGATGACAAGAGGGTGGTTTCCTGAGGTTCTATCGTCCGTGGGCCCTGATTCGCGCTTGTGTGAGAGATCAGAGCCGATCGAGACAAGGAACGTTCCTCTCTACTAGAACATCAATTGGGTCGCAAGTACAGATATTACCGACTCACCAGTTCGCCTGAACCGTTCCATTTTGCGAAGATGTAGCCAATCTCTTCGTAGCCTAGACTCATCTTCCTCATGATGCCCCATGCTTCGGAGATAGCGCTCATCATTCCATGCTCGATACCGTTGTGAATCATCTTCACATAGTGGCCACATCCTCCGGTACCAACGATGCCCACACATGATTTCCCATTCTTATCTTTCGCAGCGACGCTCTTGAGCAAAGGCAGCACTTCCTCGAGGGCAGATTTGTCACCACCAGGGCACATTGAAGGTCCAGCGCGTGCGGCTTGGTACCCACCGCTGACTCCGCAGCCGATATATCGGATCCCTGGCTCAGTGCATCTCTTCTGTCGACGCTCGGTATTCTCGAAATGTTCGTTGCCACAATCGAGGATGATGTCATTCCGTGAGAGATTAGGCATCAAACCTTCGAGCACCTTGTCACCGACATTTCCATGGGGTAGAGAGGAGAATAGAAGCCGCGGTTGTGAGAGTGAGCTGCAGAGAGATTTGTAGTCTAAAGATGCATCAGTACGGATATTTGACTGACCAGGAAGAGCATGTCTACCTGTGTACTTGGAAAGCTTTCCGTGATATCCTGCTTTCTCGGCCTTGTCGATCAATGAATCCATTGTCGCTTCCGCAGGGTCCGACAACGAAACGTTCACTCCGTTCTCGGCAAACAACATCGCCATTCCGCCCCCCATGCTTCCGCACCCGATCATCGCAATCTGCGCTAAATTAGAACAAACATCTGGAAGTGCATCAGAAAACATACTGAACTAAACTCCGGCATCACTGCGATCTCTGCGAATGCGAATGTCCGACGAGATCAATATGGCACCCAGCAAACAAGCAATATACAGATAGGCAAGGCTGGAGAGTTGCGGCGAATTGGGATCTTGGTAGTGAACAATGCTGTCGAGAAAAGAAAGAACCATGGCGGAAGATTGGACAGAATGCTTAATATATCCTCTGATTAACGATGGTGATGATGACTCCGGAGTGACGAAGGGATGGATCATGGATGTGGTCGCATCCCAACAGGGTGACGTCGGCGGGGCTAAGCGGAGCTAGATAAGCTTTGCGGCACGATGGCGGGAACTGGCAGGGAATACCGGAAGATTGGCAGGAACATGGTGTTCTGAACTTGAATCCTCGAGAAACATGCAGAAATCGATACGGATGCTGTGTATGCAATACACCTTGCGTCATTCTTCGTCCACATACAGTGCCCATGCAGGTGACTGAAATCAAACCACGCGTGCAGGACTGGTCGGCTTTATATTGATTGCGTTCGTCCATTGATAGTCTCCATGTCGAAAAAGCTCTAGATGGCTAGCAGTAAAGGCCCATGCAGAAGACGGTTGGCCAAGGCATAGCGATATCACATTACAGCGAGCGTGCAGGGGTCATGGCTGTCGCGCTAGTCGTTTTCAGAAATAGGCGAGCGCTTCTCCAGAAGGCGCGAACGACCCGCAACGGCAGCTTGACACCACCACGCAGACCACCACCCTCCACAACACACACACCGCAGCCATGGCCGACACCGAGATGGACATCGACCAGCCCGAGCGCACCTCCGCCGACCCCAAGGCCAGTGACGCGCGCACCGCCGCCGGCGCGACTGCCGTCCGCTCCATCGAAGGCTGGATTATCATCGTCACCAACGTGCATGAGGAAGCCACCGAGGAGGACCTTCAGGACATGTTCGGCGAATACGGCACTATCAAGAATCTGCATCTGAACTTGGACCGGCGGACGGGTTATGTCAAGGTGCGGAATGCGCGCCAATGCGGGGAGAATCAATAGTAACGTATATTTAGGGCTATGTCCTCATCGAGTACCCCACCCTCGACGAAGCGAAGGCTGCTGTGAGAGACGGCAACGGTCTAGAGCTCCTCGAACAGAAGGTCGTCGTGGATTACGCTTTCGTCAGGCCTCCTCCTCCAAACAAGGGCCGTGGACGCGATCAGGGTCGCGAAGATAGGCGAGGCAGCGGTCGCGGCAAGGGAAGGAGCAGGAGTCCCGGCAGAGAAGGAGATGACATGGAGGACTGAGCGCGGCCATTGGAATGGTTAGGGAAGGCAATGAGTGGACAAAGCGAGGACCAGCCCCGAGGCATGAACGATTATCACACGGCTTAGGTTTAAAGCGAACGGAATTGGGCGACGGGCTGCATCAATGAATCACGGCATTAATGAGATGAATTGAGCTTACCAGCCTGCCTCCCCAGGCAGGTTGGTCTTCTTGCTCCCCATGGTAATTATTCCTACCCGTCTTCTTTGCACCCACGCTGACCCATGTACAGACTTTGCGCGAACCAAAAAAAGCTACTAATGGGGAAAAGGTGTGAACTTGACTGTAAAGACGAATGAATGCGTAGCGCGATCCGACAATCATTGACGTCGATCTCAAGCGAATCCGATCATTGCAACACAGCCCGTCCGGCTCGAATTTAGAAGTCCAAACAAACCACCGGGTACAAATTGGACGTCTTCCAGGGGAAAAGACTTGACCCTGCTTAGCGGTTCCTGCCTTTAGCTTCTATTGACTCTGTACCTGCATCTTAGGCCTAAACTCTGAACTAAAGTACGAGCAAAAGCGCAAGAGCGCTGAAGAAACTTCCGTTCGCCACTCCATACCCTCGAATATGATAAGTTAATAGGTCCTCATTCACGCACGTGTCGCCGAACACAAATAAAAACTTAATCACAGGAAGCAAGGGTACCTGATCAAGCGCCCATCCGACCTAAATGCTTTCGGTATACCTGTGGATCGCACGTCGGGCGAGGAACATGACTATCGTGAGTATTGCGTTGAACTCCAGGATAGAGACACGCTGCGGACACAACCCGCCTATCCACATCCAGTAGTTCATTTGTTTGGTCAAACCCTCAATCATATCCCCAGCAATTCCCCATAGACCGTAAATGTCAAGTGCATATTGTGTGGAAACGCAGACGTACGTCAGTATCACCGTGAGCGCTAAGGTCATCATGTGGAAGCTGAGCCAAGCAGCATATTCCGCCGCATCCGCTTCTTTGTTTTTGACGAGCTCGTTCATCGCCTGGAAGAACACACTGTGTTGCATCCAGCTCGTGTTATAGGAGAAAGGCGGCCACTGCGATATCTCGTACAGCCTCTTCGTCAAAGTCTTGCCGCGTCGGGGTACATCGTTGAAGCAGGTCTGGCACTACATCTTGAATCCCTTTTGAATCATTCTTTCAACGCAGGCGCTGCCAATAATATACCCGCATGGTGTCTGAAGAGTTTGGCACAGTGCTGCGGAGTCGTCTTCTTCGATGCCGTATTCGCGTCTGCAGGTGGGTCTTTCGGTGTCGAGTGGGAGGGCGCTGGAGAGGGGCTGGTAGGCGTAGCCGGCGAAGAGATTGCTGAGTTTGAAGGCGAACATAACGGCTGTGGCTTGCGGTGTGCCAGTCGGGAAGAGCGGGCTTTTGGTACTGGATTTGGGGATGCACGCCATAAAATAGATGGCTTTGTTTGCGGTGAGATTCAGTTTGGACATGATGCGGTATGAGACATCAAGAATACATAAGAGGAGAAATTAAGTTTTGCTTGTGGATTTCTGCGACTATGTCGCGTGGTAGAGTTTGCTTGAGCACACGAGGCTATCCGGGGTACCAGTGCGCGCTATGCCATAGATGAAGATAGACCATCTCAACCACTTCAGTAATCGCCTACGTCAAATCTTCTTTCCATGACAGAAGTTCAAGGCTCTTTTGAGTACCATAGAAGCCAAGAGCAGTGAACAGATCAAAGCAAGAATGATAGTTGGAAAGCCTGACTGGTCGATGATAAGATTCAGTATTCTCATTGTGAGAATCGTGACTACCGCGTCGAGCAGACCTGAAAGAAAATCTTTGTGCGTGTACTTCCACCATTGACGAGAACTTGTTGTAATGACCAGTACGAGGGATAATGACAAGGCTACAGCGTAGAGCCAATGTCTTGTAGCAATGTCATACCCACATAGATAGCACAACAGCCATACATCCGGGTAGGCACCCGGTGGTACTCCAGTGTTGAAAGCAATGTCAGCGATGCAGGGAGAGATTATGATCCGCATGTCTACAAGACCACCCAATAGCCACGCTAGGTCCGTATGGACACAAAAAAGTCCGTTAATCGTTCCTTCATCGATATTTCCACGACCGAGCTTGTTGCTAAATTCCTTCGTCCATGTTGATTATTGTTGATCCGGATGACCTGCAATCCGATCTGGAGTGCATATGATCAACACTGGCCATGCAATGGTAGAGCATCAGAACCGTTGCGATAGACGAAGCAGTCTCCGCGTCAGTGCAGCATCCTGCGTATAGGGAGCCCAGCATAGACTGCAGCGCATCGGAACACCTATTTGGAGCAATTTCATGTAATACTCGCTCCCAATGAGGTTGCCGCACGTCGATTAGAGAGCGATGCAGGCCGCGCCCTCGTCTTCCTCAGCTACACGGAAATCTGTTTTAAATGGCAATTGCTTGGCAGCCCGTGCGAGTGGATGTGATTGTTGCTACGAGTGGAATATTTTGAAGACAGTATTTAACAGCATGGTCTAAACACTGCTTGATTGCGTTGGACGTGTTTTGGCCTCGCAAGCATGTGCTCAATCGGTCGGCGTGACAGGGTTTCACCTAATTTGCAAAAGTTCAGTTGTTAGAAATGCGTGTATTTAGTCCGAGAGGCAGTTGAAATACAGAAAGTGTTCTGTGCAATCGCAACCCCACTTTAGGCTCACCGTCTGAAGCACAGTGGCAGACACATAATGGAAAAGACTGGCAGGCGCGCACTTTATCCTGTGCTAACTGAGTCTACTATACGCTTGTGGACCTGTTTTATGATAAGTCATCGTGTATGTACACACTTAGGTCTGTCTCAAGGAAGTAATTCCACTTCAGGTTCAATATCATTTGTTCTGAGAGGGCTGAGCCATAGTTTTACGCCGTTCACAATACTTCAAATCAAAATCTACTTCATTCAGCCGCATGGCCACCGGGAAGCTGAGTCAACCCTGTTGTATCATGAGTTCCAAGCTTCGTTTTCTCAATAGGGCACTCACATGTATCCTCGCCGATATCCTCATCCACAGTCTTCTTCAAGCCGGCACACTTGTTCATTTCGGCAATTGATTGCTGCTTCCCTCCGCAGCTCGTGGCATAACAGCTCGTGTCCTGCCAACTAGAATTAGCAAATGAATCGAGGCTGCGTTGCTCTTTGGTTGCTACGCACCAGAATCTTCTGCAGCGAATCATCCTTCCAGCCGAAGACATCTGATGAAAGTTAGCATTTAGACGCGACAGGGTGACAACCCTTACAGTCGGCATGGTTTGCGTAGCCGGTTGGATCCCCAAAACTCCAAACAAATGGCTGTGAGCCATCCTCAGGCCAGTCGGCGGGATCGTTGAACTTGGAAGTATCCCAAATAACCTCGAACCTACCTACATTAGCAGATGATCGAATGAAGGAGATAGAAAGTTAGGACTTCGTACAAGACTTGCGATACTCTGACAGGATGAGTGCTGGGACACGGGCCAGCAGATTCGAACGTGCCGCTCTCCGGATAGCTAATTTAGTTCAGCAACCTGAAACTTCTCCACGATAGTTTCGTCATACCTCATATGGGCCATATGGTCGGGAGAATCCAGGTTGACGCCATCCCAGCAAGTAGGGAAGCGCACCGAGGTCATAATGCCGTAGCTGCAAGGCTTCTGTGGAAAGTGCACGACTTCGTGTTCGCGAGAACCGGCGTTTTCCATGCAAGTGTAAGTGAGTTGGCGGAAGCGAGCAGCTTGTTCCTTGGTCCTGGCGTTGATGTCGCCCACGAACATCCGGAAACCCTATCACGAACGTCAGCGAATTGAACGTCTTGGTTGCCGGCATATATGCCCTGCTTGCAAGCATTTTTCCGGTGGTGAATTGGACTGACTGGTTTGAAGGCTGAGACCTTTGACTTTGGCTGAGAGTCGTACAGAGGGTCCGTCATGTAGTAGACCGTCATTCCACCGCCTGTGGTCCCATCGAAACCCGCATTGCTGCGTTGAGGTACCCTTTTGTAAGTCCCGTTGCGGGCTCGGAAGTATAATATAGCAGTCCAGTAGTTACTGAGTGATGTCAGGACGTGTGATGGTTGTGACTGACTGGATCGTCTCATACCTGAAGTCCTCGGAGAATTGACAAGTTGTACATGTACTTTCTCCAGGCATGTCTTTAGAAGGGGCCATGGTTGCGTTGAATGAGTTCCCTCCAACAATCTGATGAACATGCGGGGAGGGAACTTGTCCCGGTGTGACAAGCGGATCAAGGCGCTCCACGACCAGCTGAGAGCACTGGAAACGAATGAGGGCAGAAATCGGGCTCGCAAACGCCAAAGCGACGAGAGTAGAGGTGGTCCAGTGCATCTTCATAGTCCTGAAAGCTCTCCAGTAGCTACAATCGTGTCTGTGTGGGAGATGTTGCAAAGTAACTAAACAGTGTCAGTTTAGGTACTAATGCTGAACGATGTTCGAGTGCAGGCAGGATGAATAATGGATTTTCGCCAGTATCTTTTGGCCCAGCTAATGTGAGACCTATCCGGTTCCTCATAGGACTTAATGCGCCGACGTTCTCAACGTAGATAACGGGAGAAAGGAACCTGCAGCTCGATATGAAGCATGAATGCCTCCCAACAATCGTGGTACCAAGGTCAAGGGCGGCAATCCTTGTCGATTTCATAGACATCTACAGGGCTAAAGTCGAATCATTGTTATGCATAGTCATTTACCTCCATCTAAAGGTATTGCTCAGCACTGTCGCACGCTGCCTCACGGCTTGGGTCATAGTGAAGTGGTTGCTCCCCACCTTGGCGCTCCACATGGATGTGGCGGCTCAATATAACCCGGCAATGACCTACCCGCCACACGTGGTTGTCGTGCGTTTTAGTACGTCAAGACACGGCTATATTCATATAGAACGCATTCGCGAAAGAGTTGAAGGAAGAAAACCCGGAAAGGTGCATGTTTCATGCCACGCGAGCGGTTGTGAAGAAGGCAAAGACACCCATCCGCAGATTCTGCATTTGGAGAAGACATTCTCAACCTTCATTCCACTTGCCATGTTCCGAGAAAACATCGTCCTCGCGTTATGCGCTGCAATCGCCAGCGCGTACGCCCTTCCTTCCTCTTTTCAAGCCACGAATCCATGCCCCACGGACACCGAGATGGCGTGTTTCGACGTCATCAACTCATCGCTCTGTTTGTCGCAGAATGCATCGCGTAACGGGACGGCGGCGCAAATGGCAGCGTGCGTGGACTATCCAGGAGGCATGAGCGATCTGCCAGGGTCTTCAAAGGTTCGCACAATTCCATCTACGAAACTCTGCGCGTTGGCTCTGACCATTCTGTAGTTGTGCCGTTGTCCGGGTTGCCATTCCAAGTATATCAATGAGGCCATATCAAGGCTATTCCCTCCGCCATGTTCATAGACGGTTTCTTAGAGGCAGGATGACAAGTGGAGAATACAAACACTTGATTCGCGAGAGCCGAGGTTCTTCTTGAGACCGTGCGCACCTCTTGATTGTCACAATAGCCGCTCCCATCTGGCTTTGGATGTACGCACTGATTAAATAATGGCCGGGAAATGCTTCGGATCGACGAGATGTTGATTAGTAGTCTCCACGCTATTCACTGGGCCTTGAGATGGAACCATGGAGCCATTGAATGGAGGGTTGATGACATGAACAATTGTGCTTCGCTACCGTAGCGAGTTTTGGTATTTCCGCACCAGAATTCAACACACAAGACAAAAGCCTCAGTATAGTTTGTCAATAAAGGGTTGGTAATACATGAAACGATTGTACCCAGATTGTATTTAGTACCGTAGCACTAGAGGCTCACGAGCGCCCGGGTGCCAAATTAGGATTTAACAACGAAGCCAAAATCTTACGGGACGTTAGTCATACCGGACACTCATTACTTGCCGGGTCAGGTAAGGATTGGTGCCTCAAGAGCTGTCTCGGAGGTGATATCGTCCTGCGAGTACTTCTAAGTGTGGGCGCACATGCTTGTCTCGAAGGTAACTGCAGCGACCCGGCCTATTCTGGGTCCGTATTCTAGAGAGACATTAGATCATTTTCTCGAATAGACAGTCAAAAAACTTACTCAAGCTACAAAACTGCCTCCAATTGGTTAAGTCAACTCGTGATTAGGAGAATACCATGATAGAGGCAACGCGAAGGTTTAAGTCAAGGTATGTAAACCGATCTATGCTCTAAGCCTTCGGACCGTTACCTTGGTAGACCTTTTGCACTCCTCAACTGCCTGATTAAATATCTCCCTTCTTACCATCCATTGCATCCTCGGCACTTCGTTCAGTACTTCCGTCTGTCCCCACCTCCGAAACAACTCATCCAAGCAAAACTCACCACGAAGAGCCCACAGAGCTTTCTCGGTTTTGTTGCTGTCTCAGAAATTGATACCTACTTATTCAGGGTCGAGCAGGGTGGTTGCGGCGGCAGCGCCAGCGTCGTCTACCAAGGAATTAGCCCGGGTATATGCTACACCGCGCCCTGAGACAACTACTTAACTGTTGGCTACTATGGCATCCCAGACAATTGGACCATAACAACCTACGCATGGTCCGATGGCTCTTTTACCAACATCGCGCAAAGAGAACTGGCCTGTGGCACGACCAACACGTTCTTAGGGGCCACAGGCAGATGGTATACTGTAACTTCTTACTACCTCGGCGATAATGGTAGGAAGGTTGCGAGTGAGGCTCCTCTCACGAACATGTGTGCCGCCGAGGACAAAGACTGTCACGAGTCGCACAAGCCTGATGCATTGATTCTCGCCGATGGGAAGAATTGGAGTCACGTTGATGTGTCGAGCGATGAGCTTATTGAGTTGGTGTATACTGCGTGCTGTTTTTTTTTCGTACTGTCTTTTGGCATGCTAAGGGGCTGACTTAACCTGCAGCTCGAAATTGCCAATGATGCAACCACTGCCGCGGCCTAGCCACAGCACTTTCAACTCACCCAGGTGTAAGAGAGGTTCACTGACTTGTAACAATTGAATGTCTGTGTGTTGGGTATTATTTTGTATAGAGATCCAGAGGCGATATGGAGGGAAAAACATTCGGCAGCGATATAGTATCACCCAGGTCCTGAACAACCACAGTCACTGTCCTCGTAGACACATAGAGGGTAATCATAGCGCCATCTCCACTATATGTTGACTAGCCGTTGAAAACCGATCCGCACTGCAATGTAGCATCTTTTAGTGGTTTTGGAATTGGATGCTGCCTCGAGTTATCGACATTCGATTTCCTTTCCATGAAGTGGGTTCCCCGACTTCGAAATCGCAATCCACATCTGAGTTGATGTACCACATTACTGTCAACAGGTAATGTTTTTCTGACATGCACAATCAAGAAGACCCACCAGCGAAACCTGCACGACGGACATTGTTACTTCACTAGGTAAACAGTGGAGAACTATCTTTCACTCCTGCACACGGATACCTTCATTATGAATAGCAGTGACTATATAATCTGCACAGCGGATAACTATCCCAATATATAGACCACTGAACTCGACATAAGGCAATCCGCCAACTCCACGCAGCTTCAACCATGGATACTGCAAACAACATGACCATCATGCCGTTCAAACTTCAGCGGTGGACCCAGCCCATTCCCGCGGACGATCGCACTTGCTACGTATGTCTACGCGAGTTTGGTGCAGCAGACGAAGCAGACGACCCTGCTTGCGAAGCTCTTCGGCCCAAGTGCGGCCACTACGTCGGGAGTACATGTTTTCTCAAGCTGGTCCAGACCGGCAGTCCTATGGTCTGTTTCTGCCAAACCCCGTATCCGCGCGCCGAACCGACATTCGTGCGGAAGCTCGCTGTCCTATTACTGTGGCGTCTTTTCTTGGTCGAATTGTGGGTGTTCGAGCCTATCAAACGCTACTTTGACGGCCCTTCTCCTGCCCGAGCTGCTCGTATCGAACACTTTAGCAGCCAACTCGCTCGTGGAGAGCAGGTGTTCGATATCGAAATGGCAGGTGAAGTCTTCAGCATTGGTGGCCGCGTTCCTTTGGCTATCGTCCTAATGTTCAACATGCCTTTTTGCTTGTTCTTCCGAATTCTCACCTTCGTCCTAGAGGGACTTCCACTGAGTACCTACGCCAAGGCGTGGATTCCGCGTGGACTGTTCGGCTACCAGGTGGCAAATGCTGCCTGTTTCCGAGATCTGGTATTCTCGCTCTTCATTGCACTGGTGGCTGCCAAGATGTATGAAGACATAGGCATGGCCGAAGATAATCAAGATCTACCCGTAGGGCATGTGCAAGTGATGTTGCATCGGCTGCTGACCTCACTACAAGTCCTAATTTACCCAGTCCACATTGTCTTCTTCTCTAGGACGGTGTATCTCGCTCTCCAAATATCGGATTACAGGCTGATCCTCATGTACTGCGTCAGCTTGCTTCTGGCGTTTCACGTCGGACTGTACAAGGTTCTTTCATCACGCAGCTTCTACAAGCCATCCATGAGTGCTGGAATCTATGTTGTTGTGCAGATCAGAAGGACGAGAAAGGGTATCCGCAACATTGTATTTGCCCGAAAGTTAGGGACGGCAATACCGCGTGACTGGAAAAATCAGCTGGCGTATCCTAATTGCTCATTTTCAACCGTAAAACCCGGATCCTCTGACTTTCTATATTGCTTGTTACCATACTACAATTTACCCTAGAATAGTCAACGGACGTTTCAGAGGATGGCGTTCTTTTATTCAAGACATAAGCAACATTGCAAATCAATGGTTGACATAACCATCTTGTAGATCTGACGAAGGTAAATTCACTCCTGTATATGTTTTGTAGGATGTAGGACGGCAATGACAACGATAGTCCATGGAGGCACAGCATTGCAACGCTACTGCTAAACTAGCAAGTATTTACTTGAAGAGTTTCTTGGGTGCCGCGTAATTGGACGGTCAGGCTTGATAGATGTCATCAGTGTCTTGCCAGGCATAGATTACTTGGCATGATTGAGACATGAATCCTGAAACAAGCTCAACACCAAGTATTGAATGCTCGTAAAGCGAAGCTTCGAAAGCGGGATGGGCAACAAAAAGATGCGACGAGAAATTCTGACCATTAGGAATTCTGCACTAATTAGATTGCATTCAGTTGCGAAGCAACTAGTGAGTAACAGAAAAGAGCAAGGCCAATTGGGTATCGTAAACTAAGTTTGAACATGAAGGCTACAGCTAATCGTCTCCCGTGCACAGAGGCAGGCGAGGACTGCAGTAGGGCTGAGCCACACGCAGCCTCGCGCTATCCACTGTGTGCCTCGATTCCGAACATACAATGCATCGGCGGATCCAGGCCGACACATTGTTGACTTTATCTTTCACCGAGGAAATCTAGAAAGCAAGAAGAACGGGTTGGCGCTTCTCCTTCTTCTCGCCCTCTTTGGCGGTACCATTCTTAGCTTCAGGAGCATTCCTTTGAGCTGGGGCCGTAGCATTCGCAGCGGGGGGAGCAGCAGCCGGAGGAGCGCCCCCAGGGGGACCGCCAGCTCCTGCAGGCGCTGGGACAAAACTGGACAGGCTGTCAGATGACGTGCAAGGCAGGAGAAGCATTTGCTTACGCAGCGTTGGTCAGCTCGATCTGGCTTGTGGTGCCACCGGCTATGGCCGTGCCTTCGACCGATTTATCAGTTCCTTGAGCTGCTTTGACAAAGTCGAGAATCTGTTGCGCGCCGGTTGGGTTGATGATCATGACTTGTCCTTCTTGACAGTGGGGACCTGTAGAACTTCTAATGGTCAGCTTGAAGGTCACGTAATAGTATTGTTGGCGCGGAAGCTACGAACCAGAACATGAAGATAGGATCAGTGCTAGATACGACCATACTGAAAGTCCCAACCGTGGTTTGACCGTCTTTGAAGGGAATATGGCCACTATTGATTCCGCCGTTGAGAGGAGTACAAGGTGCTTCGAGAGAACTCTGCGTGGCGGTGTGATTCCCATTACTGAACCTACTCACGGATACAAAGTCAGCTGAGTTACAAAAGCGAGTGAATGGACAAGTCATCTTGTGTCGAAGACATAGCGACTCTGTATTGGGTAGGATCGTACTGGAACTGGATGATGTCCCCAACAGCAGCAGTCACAGAGTTGGGATTGAATGTGTCTTGCGGTCCTCCAACCACCACCGGGATGACCTTAGCCTGTCGTGCCCTGATATTGGCTGCAGCTGTTAGTCACCAACGAACCCTGCGTGATAAGACTTGACTTACCTCGCAGACCAGAGGTGCCAAGCATAGGCTCCGCAGGCAGAGCGCTTACGGCAACTGCCAGCAAAAGGGAGCTCAAGATTAGCTGCATGTTGTATTATGCTGCAGTTGAAAAAGACCGTGTAAATCGAGAAAAGACTGATAATACCGTTCAACGGCAAAAAGTTAAAGTGTAATTACTGAAAAGGCTGGTCTACAGCTGTGAACTCGAAATGAAGCTAGAAAGGAACGACGTGAGGAGAGCGTGAGTGACGGAAATGCGGAAGGGGACCGTCTGCACCATTGTATATACGACGGAGGGTGGAGCAAGAGAAAGTCTCAGCCTCCGCCGAGCGCAACAGAGAAGGCCATTGATAGCGGACACGACCAACTGAGTGCATGAAACTAGAATTGAGCCCCATCAAGGCTCGGAAGGAGGTGGGGGACGTGGTTGCAAGCTGTAACGCCAAAACGTGGCCCGTTGCACCAAACGCCTAAGGCGAGGAACTGGGCCTTGATGCCTGTCCCGAATCAGGTGGTAAGGCTGGACAATGGCATAGCGTCGTTTGAAGGTAGAAGTTGGGTGGGCCCACAATTGCCGAGTGCGTGATTGCTGTTTGGAAACCTGGCGTCCCCTAAGGAACGCAAGCAAGGAAGGCCTAGTGTTATAAGGGATGCCGACATGCCGCAAAGCAAGCTGACGTCTCCGCGCGGTATGCATAACGAGAATGACGCGCGCTTGAGGTTGGACAGCAACACGCATGTATGACAGAAACTGGCGCGGTACGCGCTCGGGTAATTGCTGAGTCGGGAGAACTCTTTGCAGACCCTCTCAACCTCGAAAAGACTCAGAGACTGCGCAAAAGGTCTTGAACGTGACGATTCTAGAGGTATCACGCGATTTAATGACGATGATGTTGGTGATGTTTCGAGGAGAAACGCTGGCGTGCCTGAGCCGCCAACGCCAGGCAAGCACACGCGGCATGCCAAGATCTCATCTGTCTGGCTCGGGAAGGTTGCCGGGGATAGGCACAGAAACCGATCACAGCATTCAAAATCCGACAATTTCCTTGCGCGTAGCTGTGTACATCCGATTGCAAGTCAGCCTATTGCCGCAGCATAGTAATAGCCGGACGACCTTCGTGTAACCGCGGCGAACGTTCTGTCGCATCGTCGCTCACCTAGATCCCACATTTCCACGGACTATCTAGACGATATGTATGCGCCTTCGTTGTGTAACAAGGGACTTCCGACCTACCTCGTCGTTTGCACAGGAGGCGCAGGGTAGACGGCGATCATATCATCGCAATTCACACCGATGAACAAGAAGTGGCCGCAAGCATGAGCGGAGAAGATGTTCCCAACACGATCGACTGACGAATCGCATTTACACCATGTACCCAAGTGATTGCATGTTAACACCTTACAGAGGGTTCCAAGTAAACTCGAGATCTTCTAGAGCAGACGCTACTTAAAAGCTTCCCGATTTCTACAGCGCTGACCGTGCCTCATGGTCTTCCACTTCTCCATACAGCATGGGACGGCCCGATTCCTTGTCTTGGAGAATTGCCGACCAATCTCCAAGCCAAGCCACGCATTGCCGCCTCGACCTCTACGAACGATGGATGCTGTCAAATCTAGCGCCACCCAGTTTGCCCCTTTACCTACGAGCGCCACTCAACGCCTAGATTGCAGTCTTCCAGCACCGCTCGTGTTGCTCAACTGATGTCGCTTTTAGGAAGGTAATAGCGACACCCGTTAGCTGTCACCCCACTGACTCGTACGGCACGTTCACTTGCATCCGCGATTTACTACCGTAGGCACATGGGGCCAGCGAACGCGTGCGAGCCGTCTATCATTCATCGTTTAGGGACGCCGCACCGTAGCACGACGTCTGTCGCTAGGCATCGACACGCGCGGATACCCGCACTACCGCTGAAAGTTAGACTGTCACTCCGCACCGCCAAGAGATATACCCTGCTGGCGGAGTTCGTAAGAGCGAGTTCCTGATTGAGTTCACGCGCACCGCTGTGGCGTTGGGCGTAGGGCGTTGGGCGAACGGCGACAGTTCGTTTATGCAAACGTCGACTCTGATTGCCTGCCACATTTTCTCGCTTTTTACTAACATTGAATATTACCTGAGGTCCCTTGAGGGCTCGAGCTTCGAGATCATCTGAACGTGTTCTTTAGCGGCAAAACTTAATCCTCGCGATCTATATAATTTGTGTCTGCTGTACGATATCCCTGCCACCCACCTCGCCACTCCTTGACTACAACCGCAGCTGTCAACGCTCGACAACACCCTCGAATCCAGCATATCTTAATATATATTCCTAATCGACACCTTTACTCGAGAAAATGGGTATCCGACAGTTCTTGGGTCGCGTCGTAGCGACAGTTGCGCTCGTCTCTGTTGTGGTCGCGCTGCCAACGGACAGCAAGAGCATCCGCTGCGGTCCAGCAGGTAAGGTCTCGTGCATTTCACCGCCAAAATCACACTGACCCAGTCTTTTAGGCGTCAATCTCCGCGACCCTCCCACATTCGAGGACGCCACCCCAGACCCATCCTGGAAACCCATTCCCACGGGCTGGATCTTCAAGCCCTGGTACCAAGTTCTCACCAGCAACACGCAGGTGGCCCAACTCCGCAACTTCCAATGGGACCCTACTCCAGTGACGTCGTCGGACCCGAATGGACCGATCAACGACCTTTCCTCGTTCCAAATCCCCAACAACGACACCGTTTTCACATCGTACGGTGTCGCGACTCCCAACACCAGCTACGTAAACGTCTACGAGTACCGCGGAACGGGGATCCTGGAGAACGCCACCTCTCAGTACAGCTGGCTGGGTTGGGGCTGCGACGGCTTCGGCAAGTCCTACTACGTCTCATACGCTACTGCAGCCCCGGCGAGCGGCACGCCTGCCGGGATCGACTTTATGAGCACCAGCGAATACGGCCTGGACGAGAACACCAAGAACAAGCTAGTCGAAGTTCTCAAGCAGTCCGGGAGCGAGGAGGTGCGCAAGATTGCGGAGACGTTCGTGCCAAACATACAGGACGGTGGTCGCCGCGGCAAGCCCCGCATCAGGGAGTGCGATGACGAGTGCAAAACCAACAGTGATCTGATTGGTGTCATCGGTTAGGTGGAAACTTGGAGGTCTCTTCGAGGCGAGTGGCTTCATTTTATTTTTTGTACCGGACGTAGACCTACTGGCGAACATCAGCACGTGGTCAAACATTCGAGCGAGATACCCTGTCGGAAAGGCGGCAAAATAATTAGGGGAGTTATACACACCTTTCACTTGCGAACGTGAAGAGAAAGAATCTATCTTTACAAACATGTGCATCGGCCGATGCTAGTAATCGTAATGTTCGCTCATTGTGCTGTCGTGAAGCAGCTGCCATTTGGGTATCATCTAACTTTTCACCACCTCCCCTCCTGATCACGAGAATCGCTTTCCGTACTCTTTCACCACTCCGTCTAGTATCTCCCGCATGCGCTTGCACCCGTCAATTCCTACAGCAAGCATGCCTTCTACGCGCTCCATCCGCACCCTGGTCTCCATAAGGAGTACAGACACTCGGTCGCTCCTGCCCAATGTGCCGACTGTCAAAAATGGCAGCTCTTGCTCTTCCAAGTTGTTCAGATCGAGAAGGGGATCTGAGTTGTCTGACTCGGCGGAAGTTGCTGATGAGGCTGCCGTGCATGCGACGAGGTAGTCTGTCATGGGTACACCGGCATCGATGAGGGCGAGTGTGGCCGCGTTGATGCAAGCCGCGAGAAGTGACCCGTCTTGCGAGAGAATGTGAATGTTGAGGGTTATGGTCGAGTGCGGATAGAGGTGGGTGAGGAGCAGCGATGAGTAGGCAGTTTCGAGTGTGTGCTGCATCTCCGACGTTCGCCTGCGCGTAAAGTCAGCCAACTGGCGGTGGCACCACGGTATATGCCGACTCACTTGTCGTTCTTCCTCTTGCGCCTCTCCAAGCCGCTGAATCCCGCGAAGCCAATCTCCACTTCTACTTTAGCCTCATTGTCTCTTCCTCCTCGCTGTCCTGACTGGCGACCCTCTGCTGGGCCAGTGACTGTGCACAGCACTTTTGTGTTGCCCATCTCCAGGTATGACGATCCATCAGCAGCGGCCTGTGTGCTAATTTGCGCATGTATGTTGCGGAGCTCGTTCCATCGGCGACCGTCTAGTCGGAGGAGCGCGAGCGAGTATGTGGACGTGTCGAGAGGCATGATGAGATCTCGACAAATTCGCTGCTAGAGAAGAACCGTGCAGATAAACCGAGATTATGCGCGACAGTCTCGAAAACCCGCAATGCTTCGTTGATCTACGAAGATGCAGCGTCACTTGATATTTCGATATGGTCAAAGCTCGTCGCGCAGGGATTGTGTCTTGGCACCCCGCGCCACACGTGACAGCGCGATTCCTCAGTCGCGCCATGCCATTGATACGTCAAGGCATCATCACTTGTTGATCACAGAGCAGCCACCCGCGATGCCCACTTGCCGCAGAGTACCACTGCACCGGGCTCTTCTGCCAGGATAGCACAGGCGTACCTCACCTTGCAGAATAACCATTACGCAAAACGCCACCATGTTGCGGTCTAATGGAGGCAAAGGCCACGAAAGGGCACTACGTGCTTTCGCTGAAAGTGAAATGAGCAGCGAAGAAGAGGATGGGCTTGATAGTGTACAATCGGCCCGCAAAGACCTGGATTTGTCACAGTACATCGAGGGTTCGCCATCGCCGGCTCCGCATTTTCGTTGTTGATGCTGACCGCTAGTAGAACTCACACAATCGCAAACTCTGCAAAAACAACCGCAGGATACTGATATGGGAGAACCTCTCGATGAGACCGATGAAGAAGTGCAAGAAGTGGCGAAGCCTCATCCCAAGCAGCGCAACAGCAACTCCAAAGCTGAGAACAAGAAGACGTCTGAAGGCGCACTGGGCGTCTCTTTCTCCTTCGAAGACTGGTCAGATGACAATGGCAAAGCCGACTATGAAGCTTTCAAAAACCGACGAACTGCCAAGAGGAAGCGTGTGGCCGCCGAAACGAATAGACTTCGAGCCCAAAAGAAGACAAAAGCTGCTCAGGCAACGAGCATTGTGGGAAGAAAGCCGTTGCCGAAAAAGGCGGATAGAGACACTATGTTCAGCACGGATACGGCAGGCGAGGATGTGGATCGGCAGGAAACCTTCTTGGACGAGCCCATTCCTGACTATATCGAAGAGCGCAAGGGAAAGCTGAAGAAGCTTCATGGGGCCGGTTTGCGCTACCCTCCGAGCTACGAAGACATCGACTTTCTGGAACCTCAACGTGAGGAGAAACCTGTGATGGACAAGGCTATCAAAACCCAGCGAGCTAAAAAGGACATTGTACTGCGCGCCTCAGGTGCTTTAATACCTGCGCCTATTGCTCAGTGGCTCCGAGAATATCAGGTGGAAGGTGTTCAGTTTCTCCACGAACGATTCGTCAAGCAGACCGGTGCGATCCTCGGCGACGATATGGGTCTCGGCAAGACCATTCAGGTCATCGCATTCTTGACCGCTGCGTTCGGCAAGACCGCGACTAATCATGACGCAAAACGTATGCGCAAAGTTCGCCGATTCGGAGACGATCGATGGTACCCTAGGATCATGATTGTCTGCCCTGGTACCCTGATGCGAAACTGGGAAGATGAACTGGAGAAATGGGGTTGGTGGGAAGTCTATCGGTTCCACGGTAACCCTGCCGACAGGAAAGGTGTGCTCAATGCTGCACGTAAGGGCATGCTCGAAATTATGATCACGACGTACGACACCTACCGTAACAACGAGAGCGACATTAATATCATCGATTGGGATTGTGTTATCGCAGACGAATGCCACCAAATCAAGAACAAAAACGCGGAGATCTCGAAAGCGATGAACAAGGTCAATGCTCTCTGCCGCATTGGGCTTACAGGAACGGCTATCCAGAACAAGTATGAAGAGTTGTGGAACCTTCTAAATTGGGCAAGACCCGCTGCTTATGGCTCGGCACAGGAATGGAAACAGACGGTTAGCTTACCGCTCAAGATGGGACAAGCTCACGATGCGAGCCATGCACAACTTGCCGATGCACGCAGCAAAGCCAAAGAGCTCGTCAACAAGATTCTGCCTAGCGTCTTCCTTCGCCGCATGAAGACCCTTATTGCAGATCAACTGCCTAAGAAGAGCGACCGGGTGGTCTTTTGCCAGCTTACGGAAGTGCAAGCAGACGCCTATCGCACGTTCATCGAGAGCGAGAAGTGCGAGTTTATCCGAATGGCCAAGCAGGAGTGTGACTGTGGTTCAGGTAAATCGCGTGGCTGGTGTTGTTACCAGACTGTACCGAGCGAAGGCGAGAAGTGGTCCAAGTTTATGTTCCCTTGTATGGTGACTTTGCAAAAGCTCGCCAATCATCTCGCACTGCTACTGCCCATTTCCACGGACAATAACGAGAAACAAGCCAAAGATGTCGAGAACCTTCAGCTTGCTTGCCCTGACAATTGGCCTGACCTACTGAGGATCAAAGACAGCATTCTGAAGCAATCGCAGCGCGAGTTCTGTGGGAAATGGAAGGTACTGAAGCGACTTCTGGATTTTTGGCACTCGAATGGAGATAAAGTCCTAGTCTTTTCGCACTCTGTACGCCTGCTGCGGCTGATGAAGACACTCTTCGATCTTGATGGGACCAAATACAACTTCTCCTACCTGGATGGTTCGATGAGTTATGAAGACCGCGCAAAGGCCGTTGCAGATTTCAACTCGGACCCCAATCAGTTTGTGTTCTTGATATCGACGCGAGCCGGCGGAGTAGGTCTCAACATCACCTCCGCCAATAAGGTCGTTGTCGTGGATCCGAATTGGAACCCGGCCTACGACCTCCAAGCGCAAGATCGTGCATATCGTATCGGACAGAACCGCGATGTTGAAGTTTTTCGGCTCGTATCTTCTGGCACAATCGAAGAAATCGTGTACGCTCGACAGATTTACAAACAACAACAAGCCAACATTGGCTACACAGCCTCAGATGAGCGTCGTTATTTCAAAGGAGTCATGGATCAGTCTGAGAAGAAAGGCGAGCTCTTCGGTCTCGAAAACTTGTTCACGTTCCAGGAAAGCAATATTCTGCTCCGTGACATCATGACCAAAACAAACGTGGCTGAGACAAAGGCTGGAGTTGGCGCCATGGCTTTCGATGTCGACAATTCGCAGCTAGATTCGGACGACGACGACGACGACATTCTCAGCAACACATCACTGGGACTCACAGACGACGATATCTCAATCGACTCGCAGATGAAGAAAATTGTGGATTCATTCACGTCCACAACGTCGTCCAGTAGCAGGAAGCAGAAGTTCGGGAAGAAACGCGCCGGACCTGATCCGATCAACGCGATTCTGGCAAAAGCCGGTGTCCAGTACACACACGAGAATAGCGAAGTCATCGGTCGTAGTGAAGTCGAAGCCCGCCTAGGCAAACAGGCGATGGAGCTCCGCAACGACGTCGAGCTAGGACGCAAGCGCGTGTTCGGTGGCTCTCAGTCGCAATCTCAGCACCCTGCGCATGATCCAGACGACGCCATAGATTATAGCGGCGGCGATTCGGATGATCTCAAAGTGCTAGGAGAGGCTAGAGCCGACGGGAAGGAGTTTAAAATAAACTATCGGTATCGACCTAGTGAGACGGTCAGGAGACGGCAATTTTGCGAAATGGCGCGAATGTGGGGGTATGACGATCCCGTGGAGTTCGCATTGCTGATTGAGGGCATGACCCAGGATGAACGGAGGAAGACGCTTGCAAAATTCTATCGGTCACGCAGGCGTGAGTTTGCTGGAATGTAGTGAGATATAGGAGCGCGAGCCGTGATTAGTTCCACTGTTGCGGTCTGCATCCAGGGGCGTTATTGGCGTGCATCCTTCTAAGATACCCAGATTTTCTTCCATGAACGCGAACTTTACTCAGATGGGGTGATGGCTTTATGACTATTTGGTCTTATTACTTCCCAGCGGTTCACAAGCATATAATCTTAAACTATTTAGTTCTGTTAGGATAACATGCCTGCAAAGTACCTATGGTACCCCAAAAGGATCGAGAAGCTTGTGACCTTTCTAAGTCGGGTCTTCATGGCAAACAATAGGCATAATAATTAGGCTAGTTCCCCGATTAGCATTGATTCGCGTTCTGTTCCTTTTCCCAACAAATATCACTCCATCATCCAATGACGATGACAGAACGTCGTCCTGAAGGATGTCTAAGACTGAATTTTGAGCCAATCCGCCATCCATAGTCACAAGGCCAAGAAATGGGAAAAAGCGGGGGTGTTTGTCTGGGGCAAGCTGGGATCACTAGTGCGGAATCCCTCTGGACTACGATTTGCATGGTCCAGTAGGAGAAGCGGCACAGAGGCCGATCATGGAAATACGAATCTGTTACCGTGTTTCTCCACGATAGCCTCTCATATAGTATGTTAACAAACGCATAATAACACAGGTGGAGGTGAGCGCCTACGATCTCATCTTTTACGTCGTCCGCTATGCGGGGTTAGGCTGTCGACGGCGATTCCAATTCCATAATAAGCATTCGCGGCAATGAAACAAGACTTCTGGCGACGCAGCACAGACAATGCTTGTTTCAAGCTGCATGTACAGGGCGTTGTCTTACCGAGAGGATTCCTTCTCCTATGTTGGTGGCCTAATCTGCTCCTGTGCGTCGCAGCCAGCCCGTTACAGACGTCACCGTCTCTAAGCGGTGGCTGATCAGTAGGATGTGACATCTTGTTGAGTCGTGGAGGCGACTACATTTGGCCCCACAGTGTGACAGGCGTATCCGTGGCGTAGTAAGCACGATGCCAGTGACGTAATTCACCCAATACCAATCAATGCTGCGACTGTGAGCTAGACCTTTCCAGTCGACTAGGCTATACATGTCGACCTTTATACCAACGGAATACGTAGGAGTCCCCAATTGACTCGCTAAATGCGAACAGGATTCTCGGACAGTGTAGTTTCCGCACGGACAGTGTAGGATCCAACGGCCTGCTTGATACACTTTGCTAGGCGCCCTGTAGATCTCTTACATGTCCGTGGAATCTACTTTGTGATGCATGATTCAATATCGCCGTAAATGGTCATATTTGCGATGGCCTCGTCGACGATACACATATAAAGTCACCCTACATTTGAGCGATGATTCTCTTTTCCTATCCTCATCTCACTCATCATTTGTCTCAAAAAACACCATCTCAACCATCACTAGCTCTTCTATACTTCCGTGCTCTACGCTTTCATCAACAACAATGCGTTTCGTCATTGTCGCCTTAGCCTCGCTCGTTTCTATGGCACTTGCACAGAAACAGTGCGGCCCACCCGGGTGCCCAGACGGGGCGGGAAACTGCGGTTGCTCCGGAGGCCAAGGAACCACTGTCTGCTTCTGTAGCGATCCTGGCGTGAACCAAGACGTTTCTACTCAATGCCCAAACCTCGGCGACTGTGGCTGTCCAGCCAATCAGAACGGTGCGTCCCCGGTACAAAGTCGCCCTGTCTGAGACATGGACTTGTACACAAACCCACTCTTGTGACCTAGCTGACTCTACATCCGCGAGTATAGGCAGATGCATCAGTGTATGTATAATTTACCTCTACAGAATGATCAAGGCTAATGCATGGACAGCAAGAGCCTATCATCATTCCCCCGCCGAAGGCGTGAGAGGACCACAGACGCTGTGCAGGGATGCGCTTCCGTCCGAGTCAATAGGATTGGTTCACAAAGATATCCGAGAGTGGATAGCCAGAACTATTGGAGGGACGTTTTGTGCGATTTCACGGCAGCTTGGGTCAACATGCGTAGGCTACGCTCCAGCCTTGGATTGTTAGGATATGAGGATACATATGTAGTCATTCGTTATATACATGTTATCGCCATACCCTTGGCGGTCAACGAAACTCTTCTGACGTATCCGCGCACGTGAGGAGGTGATCCGTGCAGACTGTTGAGGGTGAAGTTCGGTACGCTCCCGCGGCAACATGAACTCCAGTGATAGAGCATTATCAAATTAATATATAGACATATAGCAGCTTAGGTTACTCTAGGCTCTACTAATTTCTCTCCTATTACGTATTTGCCTAAGTCTGGTTTTTTTTATCATCATAAGAGGTACGGTATGGGGTCTGGGTTTCCTGGGCGGAGTTCCCGGCAGGGGCGATTCCCGTAGTACTGGTGTTCTTGCTCATTCACAGCGATTTGTGATGGCTTGGGTGCCATGTATCTGCCCTCGTCCTTCTAACGTATGATTCTTGCCTACGACCGAAGCCGAGTTTCGTGAGTCTTTCGCTAACCAAGGCACCTTGTTCACGCAGTGTATTCTTTCATGAACCCTGACTTTGCTCGCGTGGTATCATCGCTTCGTTATCATGAACCATGCGCCTTTACATCTCCAATATGTGTATTTCCCCGTTTCCGCAGGAGGCGTAATGCAGCACTCAAACTTTTTACCCGGCCCTCGCTCTCCAAATCCCGTCCGCCTCAAGCTTTGACCCTCAGTACAACCACCGAATTCACGACGCTATTCCACGGATGCATCTCTGCCAGAATCTCGAACCCCGCATTCTGCAGCTCTCCAGAGAGTTCCAGCACCTACCGCATCATTAGCTATCTTCACGGGCAAACCACAAGCATACTCACCGGATATAACACCCCCCGTATCCCTCTCGCACTTCTACAGACCACCACTGTACCCACTTTCAGCCTTTGCCTCAGCCCCCGTAACACTCCAATCTTCTCACTACTCTGCATTCCCACTAACGCAGCAAGAAACACCACATCGAGCGTCTCCCAGGCTACACACCCGTCAGTCGCATTCGCGGCGTCTTCGCAGGAGAATGTCATCCTCTCTGTGTGTCCCAGTTTGGCTGTGAGCGCGCAAGATACCGCGAGCGCATTGGCGTCGCGGTCGATGTTGTGCACTCTTGCAGTAGGAAAGCGCGTGAGAAGACAGAGGGACGTCAGAGGAAGGGGACCAGAGCCGATGAAAGCAATGTTAGACGGTGGGCGCATGAGGAAGGGGGTGAGAAGGGAGGCCTCGAGGTGCGAGAGGGAGAGGTAGTTTGCGTGGTATGGGAAGGAGGTGAGGAGGGTGCGGGTTTGGATAGGATCTGTAAAAGTGTTAGGACGGGCGAAAGGAATGGTGTATGTGGTTCGGGAACCGTACCTGCGTGTGGACCGGCGTCCTGGAGTATCTTCTGCGCCCAGTGGCGCTCGAGCTCGCCTTCTGCGATGGCACATAGGTTTTGGAGGGCATGGCATAGTGTGGTGGCTGCGTCGATTTGGTAGAAGTCGTCCACGACCTCGAGGCTGTACGATTGGATGCAGAGTGAAACGAGGCGCGTGAGCAGCGCGTTCACAAGATCGCACGGTGCTAGGGTTTTGAGGGGTGTGAGTTGCTGGTAGATGCTTCTTATCTCGCGGTAAAGATCTTGTGCTGCTGCTGTCGCAGGTGTAGGTGTGGGAGGCGGCGTGGAGACGGGTGTATCGACGCGCGTGAGGTAATTTTGCCCATCTCTTGCAACCTGCTGGTCCATTTCCTTCCTTGCAAGATATGAATTGGCCATGATTGAGCTCGATGTTGCAGATGTGATTCCACCAGAAAGAGGGTGCGAGCCAGTGTATGGCGAATGCTTCCCCGATGCTCCTTCTATATACAGTGCAAACCGAGGCTGCAGGGCGGGGCAGGTGAAATCTTTTCTCTCCCCACGTACACTAATATTGATTGATGTTGTGCATGCAGCATGCAAAAAGCAAACGAGATCTACTGAGACAATGCGTTGACGGTGGTTGGCTGCCTTGTTGGCGCTCGGACACAGGAGTACCTTGATGGGCTTCAGGGGCATGTCAGGCTTCCGCAACAGGCGGCGGCTACGCTCGGAGAAGCAAGTGTGTACGACTATAGCATTGTGTGTGGGACGATCGAGCCAGGTCAGTCGCAGGAAGCAGGAGGTGTGGCGGGGCATACGTGGATTTATGTAGGTCACTTGTGGGGATACCGTCTACCAGGGCGCCTCCATTGGGCTTGCTGCTCTATACACCATCTTTCCACCGACCCACGTCTCCTTAACCTTGATGTTGCGAAGTGACTCCGTGTCGAGCGTCTCCAGCGGCTCTTCCAATACGATCCAATCCGCATAGGCACCTGCCTCGATCACACCGGCCTTGCCTTCCAGGAAGGCTGCATAAGCCGGGTTGACAGTGAACCCTTCCAGAGCATCTTCAAGCGTGACAGTCTCGTCATCGTACCATCCTTTCGTTTGGCCATCGGCATCGAGGCCCGTTTTGGGACTTCGTCGTGTGACAGCGGCGTAAATTCCTTGGAATACATCTGCCGGCTCCACAGGGAAATCGCTGCCGAACACTGGCTTCAGGGGGAGTAGCGAGCGCATGCGATAGGCTTCCTCTGACGTGCGACGTTTTCCAAGCTTGGTCTCGGCGTAGTGCATGTCCGAGGTGGCGTGCGTGGGTTGTATGCTGGGGATGATGCCGATCTCGTTCATCCTCTGCTGGTCGTCGGGATGGATGATTTGCGCGTGTTCGATGCGGAACCGGTATTTTGCCTGACATTCGCGAAGAGTGGATCCTGGGCAGAGAGTCTTGAGAGCTTCCTCGAATGCGTTGATGGCGAGCCGCGCGGCTAGGTCACCAATCGCGTGAATATTGACTTGGTATCCTGCATGTGCCCACTCGTGGGTGATTTTGGAGAGCGTGGTGGCGTTGACGAGGAGCGTGCCTGAGGAGCTCTTTTTGTCGCTGTAGGGCTCGAGCATGGCACTACCCCAGCTGCCGAGGGCGCCGTCTGGAATCTGTGAGCAACGGAATACGCCAATACGTAGAGCACTTACCAGCGAACAGCTTTACGCTTTGCATATGGAAGTTTCCATTGGGTGTACTAATCTTGGTAACGTCTTCCGCACAAAATGTGTTTCTTGTCTCGCACTCAGCCATTGCGTAGACGCGAACGGTCCATGCGTCGCTCGTCGAGAGCTCCTCGTAAAGCTTCAGCTCGGAGGGGAAGACACCCGCATCATGCATTCCAACGATTCCAAGTTTGTTCAGCTCAAACATAGCATCTTGGATCCACTGGGTCCTTCGCTCCTTGCTCGGCTTTGGGTAGTACTTCATAACGATGTCCATGGCGTTGTCACAGAAAACTCCTTTCGCAGGCACCTCGCCCCCGGCAATCTCTGGCAAAGGATTTGGTAGGAGTGACAGAACTTTTTCGGAGACCCAGATACAGTGAACATCGACCCGGTCAAGCATCACGTAAAGGTCTTTGAACTGTCCGTCGATATCGAGGTCTTTCTGGCCGGTGTCAGCATCAGCTCGTCGAAAATATGACCCCGAGCATTATAGATTCTTCAAGTTAGAAAATGGACATACTGCTACTGGCCATTTCCCCTTGAAATTGGCTTGATCCCAGCCAACCCCCCTCAGCCATTGCTCGCTCGTTCCCGCGTCTTCATGCCCAGCCTTGTACTTGACAAGCCGCTGCTTCATCTCATCCATCGACTTCGTGCCGAACAAGTCGACAGAGTCCAGAGACTCGCCAAATTGCGACAAGTGGCCGTGTCCGTCCCACAATCCCGGAATCACGTGCCCCTTCCGCCTCTCCTTTACAATATCCATCGACGTCTCATCGAGGAAAACTCGCTTGAACTTCCCATTTGCAACGCTGAAACATTCAGCATGGGGCAAGTCCGCTGAGTTTGTCCGAACGGTGACGTAGCAATGGGTTTCTTCGAAGAGCTGCAGCAAGACCTTGAACGCTAGCGAACTGGTTATCGGCTCCAACAGCTTCTGCTGATTCTGGTATACAACGGAGCCAAGGAGTATGAAGGTCGATAAGGTGATGAGCCACCCGAGAGAAGGCATGATGCCTCTTGTTTGTGATGTGCGACGGGTGCGACTGAGGAGGGGGAGGGAATTTGTTCGACAGTGATAGAAATTAGGCTTATCGATACGAATCGCAACCGCGGTATGTCGCCGAAAGAGGAAGGTAGTTAACGATCGAGGCGCTCTCACGCGCTTCTATTCTACATCGTAACTCGCAATTCTTCGTCCGAAACACTTGATTTAGGGTATATACTGCTATACATCAAGTAGCCATTGAGAAACGCGTCAATATGCGGATGCTGTTGAAGCCAGGTGCAAGCTGCACTAACGCGAAGTCGGCCTTGGGACACTCACAACGGGCGACCGAGATTGCTTGTCCGCTCTATCTGCTTCCGACATCTCTCATAGCGTCGACGTCTTGCACTCTGAAACCGCGTGCCAATCTTCTTTCCCAAAAGGCGGTGTGTTGCCGCGTTCATCACTCGGGCTAGACCGACCCTGCGTCCCCTCGAACCATCAAAAGCCAATGTCGTTCCCATACATTGCCATAGCCTTGCGCACGCTTGCATTCGCCGCGCCTTGGCACCGTCCGGGACTGGCTCAGAATGTGCCCTCGTTCAGCGGGACGCTCGGCGGATGCATTGATGTGGGGGCCGTGTTTTTAAAGATGCGCACAGTCCCGCTTGCAAAAGTTGGTGCGTGATGCTGGGCATGTTTGCGCCGTCTTTCCCATCCACCTAGGCTTCGTTTCTGGCCACAGCTCTAGGTCAGATGGCTACTAATGAGGTGGAGCGGCTTCGGGAACAGCTCGAGTCTCTTCAACGATCACATGATATCCTAGTCAAGAGCTTAGCAATTGTCCCGGGAGGCCCATTCGTCCCGCCAGAGACACCAACTTTCCAGCGACAAGCGACACGTCCCAGCCTCGCGTTTGCCGATGCGTCAACCTTATCCGACACTGATTCCGAGGAGGACGAGTCGTATTTCGTGCAGGAGGAGTTGCCGTCCAAATCTTTCGACCACGAGCACCTGCGGGCACACTTACAGAATCACAATTGGAAAGAGCATGGACGAGAGATATTAGCGCCGCTTATCAAGGACCCGGGGAAGCTTTCGAAGCAGCCTCATCTGTTCCATCTTGGCCCAGGAACCCCAGATGATCGCTCTCACTACTCACATTTCCAGGTCTACGATGTGGGACCTGATGGCGCCACGGAGCTCATTGAGACGAGTGGTAGTCACAGCACGAATACCATGAGTAGAGCTACGGAAATATGGCATTCCATCAGAAATATCGGCAATAGCACGGACAAGCCAACTGTAGGCCGTATCACGATTGCACGGGAACCAGCACCGATTCTCTTTGGCGCACTGCATCTCACGCTTAATGATACGTTTGATATGGACGAACTGTTTAAGCACTTGGTACAAACGGAGGCCTCGTCAGCCCATATGCACCGCGCATTCAAGGAAGATCAAAAGCACCAGAAAACGTTTTTCTTCACTTTTGAGTACTACACGATTCTGGGGGAAGACTGCAAGCCAATGGATTGGTATGTAAACCACTACGAATACGTCTTCGAGACGCACAAGGTATCTACCCGTCTGACTTGACTTACACTGACTCCGCACCCGCACCCAGGCAGCGCGCAGACAAGGCCTATGACCCCAAAGGATCACACCTCCCCCTCTCCCGCTGCGGCGCCGTCGTCGCCCTCGCCCTCTACGACCCCAAACCCCGCCGCATCCGCAACCGCGGCCGGCGCGCAAAAACGCAGTATGGCTGGGTGCAGGACATCTGGTCGCCGTGGCAAGTCCTGCAGCTGGAGTGCTTTCCCGACTGGCGTGCAACGCCCGACACCTTCGAGTCCGGCAACCGCTTCCTCAACGGCCCGGAAGCCTTCCTGCACGCTCTGCTAACCGAGTACCGCGACGCCCGCAAACGCTATGAGGAGATTTACACGCGGATCACCGAGCTGATCACACCGCCGCTGGGGTTTTTGTTCGATGCGGAACTGAGGGATCAGAGGTTATTTGAAGATCGCAAGTTCACGTGGACAAGAAGGTATTTCTACGCGCACCAGACGCTCGGGAATGTGAATGATAGCATCAAGTCCATGATTGATGCTTTTGAGGATACGTTCACGGACGAGGTTTGGGAGGGGAAAAGCAAGACGCTGTGGCCGCTGTACGAGGAGTCGCCGCGCAACGACCACTGGAAACGGCGGCTGCGGACGCTGAGGCTAGCGTTTGAGCGCGAGATGAAGGAACTCCGGACGCTGCAGCGCGAGAACAACGAGCGGCGGCAGGAGGTCAAGAGCTTGCAGGACCACCTCTTCTCCGGCACCAGCATCCAAGAGTCCCGCAAGAGCGTCGAGCTGTCCGACATCACCGTGCAGCAGGGCCGCAACATCAAGCTGCTCACCATCGTAAACTTGTTCTTCATGTGCGCATCACATCCTACGCCCGCCACTACCCATGGGCAACGCTTTGATGGAAGATAGGCTAACGCCCCCAGGCCCCTCACCTTCGTCACCTCCGTCTACGGCATGACCAACATGCCCGGGGACCCCTCGCCGTACTGGCCCTTCGCCATCACCCTCGCCGCCGTGTGCGTCCCGTTCTTCAGCCTCATCGGCTTCCTCTCGACCGACTTCGGGTACCGCATCTGGGTCCGCAAGACCAAATCGCTGTACCGCTGGCTGCGGCCCAAAGCCGCTGGGCCACCCCAAGAAGATGACGAGGCGTTTGAGCCGAGGCCGGTGGACCGAACGTTGAGCACGGAGGAGGGAATGAGGTTGAGGATGGGGGCGGGGCCCGGGGGGAAGGGGAACAGGGAGAGGAGGCCAACGGTAGACAGTGGGAAGGGTAGGGAGAGTCTGAGCCATCCGAATATAAGGCGGATGGTTGAGGCGATGGGGGAGGGGCGGCAGAGTGGGCTGGTGCGGATGGGGAACGTGACGAGGGAGAAGGAGGGGGGCGGGGATGCGGTCGTTGATATGAAGGGTGGTTGACGTACACATCATGGCATTGCGCTTTCGTCCTATCAAGCAAGGAACGGATGAAGGACATCATCTACCTAGTACGCCTTCACACCCGCCAACTTCAGCACCAGCTCCGTCTCCTCTGCCTCCTCGAACGGCGCGTCCCGGGAGTACGTGTCCGGCTTGCCAAGCCGGAGGTGCTTGTCTTCCTGGTGGAAGATGTTGGCGTGCGGCCAGTGCGTGGTGCCTAGCTTGCTGTTGTAGTAGTCTACTTTCTTCCTCCTATCCTCTTCCGAGGCAAACGCCGCAGGGGTATAGCAGATGTACATGACGGCCCGCAAATTCTGAGACTCCGGGAGCTTGTTGTAGTGGATGGTGCGCGAGTCCCAGAGAATCAAGTCTCCCGGGTCTGCGCAGACCTTGACGAGCTCGCAGCCCCGGTCCTCAAACCACGTCACCTCGTCCTTCTCGAAGCCGAACCAGTCAATCGAGCCCCAGGTGCCGCGGCCAACCTTTTCGGGGAACTTCTTGAAGAACTGCTCGTTTAGCGCGTGCGAGCCTTTCATGACGAGCAGGCCGCCGTCGGTGGGGCCGTTGGGGGCGAGGTTCAGGATGCCTTGGATGCATTGCATACCCTTGCGTATCGGGTTCTTTGGGTCGTTAATATACCCCAGATGTCATGGGAATAAGGACTAGGGTGCAGTTTTGAGAGCACTGTGTTACCCCAGGAGGAGCGATGTAGTGCCCCCACTTTTGCCTTCAGAACGGCGGGAGAGGGGGGTTTGGCGTACCTGATCGACGTGAGGCCAGGGTTCGCTAGGCGGGTGCTCTGCAGGTAATGTAAAGTTCATCCCGTCGAAAGAGACGAGGAGATCGGAGGTGCCCCAGAGCTTAGCGAAGGCGTCGATGATGGCGGGTTCGGTGCGGGCATCCCAGAGGACTTTTTCGTGTTGGCAGTGGTAGCCGTAGAACATGCCTCCCCTGCGCTGCGGTCAGTTTTCCTCCAAATTCTGTACACGTAATGCAACATGGGATGATGGAAGTATGAATCCATACTTGATGTGGTCGGGCAGGTGCTTTGGGTTCCACGTTGACTTGTCGTCTTTCTTGAAGCCATACGGAAAACTTTCAAGCCAATTGAACATGCGATCAACGTAGGACTGCGCCTTTTCCGTGGGCAACACGCCCTTGACTACATAGTAGCCATCGCGGTAGAGGTCGTCACGCCAGTCGCCGTGCTTGATGCTTGTATCGATCCGGGGCTCTGTGTCGTACTCTGAGTGAGGCATGTTGAGCGGCAAACCCACGTTTGTAGAGTATTTTGAGTTGGAACAAGACAGCGCAGGTAAGGAGCGTGGTGAGCTTGGGCTTTGAGAGAGTTGCAATCAAGCGTCTCCCAAGGTGCGGAGGCTTCAGGTATACCTATGTAAGAAGGGCCGCAGTTTCGCCGCCTCATGCTCGAAATATGTTGACCATGCGCATGCATACAAGCGACGTCCTGCGTGCGATACCACCATCCGCTGGCTTGGAGCCTGCGGGGAAAGTGTTTCGGGGGAGTTCGGACTCGTCCGAGGTGCTGGGCAGCTGTCGGTACAAAGTATCCGAAACGCTTATCTCCGCACAATTGTCCTTCCGAAGAAAGATGTTCACGATGGCCAGTTGCGCCGAGTATGTCGACCTATCGGAAGGTTTCTCTTTGTCACTAACACCATGGATGGGGTTTGGAACGGTTAGAACGACTGCTCAGGGTAAGCTTTCACCATATACGAACAGCGATCGTCAGCAGGGTTGATGCCAACACATAGGCACGGGCGCCGGGTGCAGCATATATTACCAAAGTGGTAGTGAATCGGCTATTCTGCGCCGATGGTCAATCGTGGATCTTGATAGCCGTATTTGTGCGATAGAACTCATGGAGGAGATTATTGTTTGAGCTGTTCGAGGCGCGGATCTTATATGAGTTGATCCGAGCCGGTGAGATGTGTCTCGACCATTGCGTGTCATTAATGCCATCGCACGTGTTGTAATCGATCATGTTGAGCTATCTCGAAGGACTCACGCCGACGTCCCTGGGCTGCATGGCCTTGGCCTCAGTCGGGGGCTTCCTCTTCGTCGGTCACCCCATCTGATACCCTCACCCAACCCAGTTGACCTAAATCCAGGGTTTTGACAACGGCTGGTGGGGAACCATCCTCGGGTCGCAGAAGTTCTTGCACGACTATGGGTCGTGCGCCATCGTTGAAGGCGTCGAAATATGCAACCTGTCGACGTCTCAGAAGTCCGCTGGGAGTTCAGTGCAATCGGGGGGGATAAGTGAGGCGCCTCAGCCATTCGACAAGAGGGTTCAGCTGACGAGTGCGCCTGCAGTGATTGCCTGTCTCTTCTCAGTCTACCTAAACAACCTCCTCGGCCGCCGTCTGTCTCTAATTATCACCGGCTTTGTTTCGATTGTTGGCGTCCTGATTGAAATTACATCCAGTGCTGGTAATGGCCCTGCGCGCTTCGGCCAGTTCGTAGCTGGAAAGGTCATCGCGTCTATTGCAATGGGGCTGGCTGCGAACATCGTTCCGATCTACCTGTCAGAGACGTCTGCTGGGGAGCGTCGCGGCTTCGCAGTCACGTCGTATCAGAATGTTATGATCCTCGGCGTAAGTAAATCATCCGGGGTAATGTGGATATAGTCGTAAAAAAGTGGCGTCTTCTTGCTGAGCTGAGACACTTGTCACTCTATCGTAACTTACGCTGATTTGTATTTGCACATTAGGTCATCCTGGCGTCCGGCGTGGTATACGCTTCCTCCGCCATGAGCACAAAAGCAGCATACTGGATCCCCATCGGCATGCAACTGATCGCCCCCTCAGTTATGGTCATAGGCTCACCTTTCCTCCCCGAGAGTCCTCGCTGGCTCGTATGGAAAGGCCGAAACGAAGAAGCCAAAGCAGCCGCGCAGAAGCTCTTCTCAACTCCTTTTAACGACTTCGACGCAGCCGACTACGTCAACGCAATCGAGATCGCCATCGACTCTGATCGAGCACACGAAATGGCATCGAGCTGGAGAGACCTCTTCCGCGGGCCAGACCTGCGGCGTCTGCTCATCGCCGTGGGCATCCAGTCGCTTCAACAGGCGCAGGGCTCGTCGTACATGAATAATTACGTGGTGTCTTTTCTCCAGTCCACAGGGGTAACGAATGTCTTCCCCGTCATCATGGGGCTGTACACTTTGTACTACTTCGCCATTCTCACCGGACACTTCCTCCCCGACATGGTAGGCCGTCGGCCAATCCTCATGTCCACGGGCGCCTTCTGCGCAACCTGCCTCATCACCGTTTCCGCATTAGTCGTGGCATACTCGAACCCCCCAGAGGCGGCACAGAAAGCCTCCATCGCATTGATCTTCCTCTGGCAGATCGGCTTCGGCATCCAGTCTCCGCTGATCTGGATCGTGACAGCCGAGTCCGCGCCAACGCGGAACAGAGAGAAAGTCCAGGCCATTGCTGTGTTCTTAGGCTTTGGCGTCTCGCTGCTGATCGCGTCTGTGTCGCCGTACCTCCAGGACGCCGGCTACGGTAATCTGGGCGGGAAGATTGTGAGTCGTCCATTTCCGTTTGGCAGCGAGAGTAGACTTGCTGACGAGTGCTAGGGCTTCATCTGGGGCGCATTTTCCGTGGTGACGGTGGTCTGGGTGTTCTTCATGGTGCCCGAGATGCGGGGCTTCACGATTGAGCAGCTCGACTTCCTCTTCAACACGCGCATCCCGACGCGGAAGTTCGCGGGGTACAGTTTTGCGACGAGTGAAGGGGAGGCGGTCTTTGGCTCGGCAGAGGATGTGCAGGAGGAGTTGGGCGAGGACGACGTTAAGGCTGCCGTTGTGGCGACTCACAAGGCTGTGAAGAGGGCGCTGTAGGGTTGGAGGGTGGCGAGGTACGCATGCATCGGTACAGCGACATTGTATCACAGCGCGAACAATAAAGACATTGTCCTCAGCTTCAGAGGGTATGGATGTTTCAAGGCGCAATACCAAGCATCACCCAAGCACTCGAAGCTTTTCGCCTCCCTCAAATCGCCATCCTCGCAACTCGTGCTGACGGTCAAAAACGTGCCATTGCACGCACTCCCATTGGCCAAGCGGTTGGGGTCCAGCCGTCTTCGGCTAGTCCGTTCCGCGGACCCGGTCCTCATACATAACAGCCTCTCACGCAGCCGCAATTGAAAAGCTACATTCCCACCGCTGTCTTGTCGCTGACGTTTCCTGGCGCTGCGATTGGCTGAGCGGTCTTGCAAACAGGTGCGCCGACGGTGACCGGCCCACGCAAATACGGGCGCATCAAGAATATGAAATGGTCGGGTCCGCTGTGGGTGCGCAGAGCACGCACTTCGGCGAGGAAATCTTTCTGGGACATTATGGCGAATTTACTAGGGACTTCGTACGGCACGCTCAGGAACGAGGTGGGAGCCTATTCAATGTTGCCATCGACGCCGACGGCTGGGGGCGATGAAGAGAGCTTGGGGAAGAGCAACGACGAAACATCAAGCCAGACCACAGTTCAGTCTTCAAGTCGGTCATCACGGATGGACCCGCGGATCATATCAGACGCCATCATCGGTCTATCAGACGGTCTTACCGTTCCCTTTGCCCTCACAGCAGGCCTCTCTGCACTCGGAAACACCCAGGTCGTCATCTACGGCGGCCTCGCGGAACTCATTGCTGGATCAATCTCCATGGGACTCGGCGGCTACCTTGGAGCCAAAAGCGAAGCCGAAAGCTATTCTGCCACCCAAGTCCAGACGCGAAAGAAGATCATGGCCGATCCGACCGGAACCGAAGAGGACGTCAAGAGCATCGTGGAGGACTTTGGACTGCCCGAGGAACTGAGCGAGCTGGTGACGAGGAAGCTGGTGGAAGGGAACGAGGAGCGCCTAGAAAAGTTCCTGATGAAGTTCGAGCACTCGCTGCCGGAGCCGCCGTCGAATCGGGCGCTCGTGTGTGCGTTGACCATCGCGATGGGGTACTTTATCGGCGGCTTCATCCCCCTGCTGCCGTATTTCTTCGTTGGGCCCAACGACGTGCAAAAGGGTCTTGCGCTGTCCGCGTGTGTCATGGTGGTGACGCTGTTTGCATTCGGCTATGTGAAAACTGCGGCGGTGCATGGGTGCAGTGGCATAGGCCCTGTGTGGGATGCTATCAGAGGAGGCGCTGAGATGGTTGTGGTGGGAAGTCTGGCGGCGGGTGCAGCTATGGGGCTCGTAGCCTTATTCAGTCAGGGTAGCGAGCCTGTGTGAACAGCATGTCATCTTCAAAAGGTGCTCGACACCAAAATGTAAGAATATCATGGTATAATGCTGTACAGGTGCACAATGATCCGACCAATGCACGTCTCCTTCTCTACATAACTTACACGTAATCGGTACAGAGAGAGGGCGATTCCTACTCCCACAATCCGGACAGCCTTTCAGACCCTCCGGACATCTGTTTAGGGTCCTCCGTGCTTGTGGTGCTGACGTAAGGCCATTTGCAAATTCAAGTTTCAATCGTTCTGTAGAGCTAATGTCCTCGCGTTGAACTGGAACTCGAGGATACCAGGCATACAGAACGGCAGAGACAGACATTGCAGTGGCGGTGCGTCAGCACCTTTGATGACATGTTTGGCCCTCTTGCAGCTTTTCTTTTGTGCTGTTGGTGCCGTAGTCATATTTGGCATGTCCCCGTTCACTTGTTCTCCTCTGAAGTGGCCTGCTCTTCCGGCTTCGACTCCTGCACGCCCTTGTACGGCCGCCCCGCGTACAGCATGTACCCTTTCTCTTCAATAGTGCCCTGCTTCTCGTCCTTCTCGGCCCTGCCCTCGCCAAACGCGCCCGTTTCCAGCTGTCCCGCAACACTGATGGGTCGGTTTCCGCGGAATCGCTTGCGCATGTCGATCTGGCCCTTTTTGCACTCGGCGTAGCCCTTTTGCAGTTGCTGGCATTGGGTGGGAAGCGTGTATTTGAGCGGAGGCCGGAGGCAGTCGCCGGGCTTGTTCCGCTCGACCATGATGCAGTCCGAGTTTTGGAGGCAGAAGGCGAGCGCCGCGCCTGCACAGGTTAGCTGGTGCGAGCTGCAGGATGGGAAGCGGCGTACGGATGTCCTTGCACGACTGCGGCATCTTGACGAGTCTCAACTGGGGCGAATGGAAAGCTACCGCGTCATTGGAGTTGCAGAGCTCCTGGGCGCATCAGCTCGCACTTTCGAGGTGGTTTTTGCCGAGAATATGCCGACGGCGCGTGGTTGCGCATGGGTCTTCACATGCGAGGGCCCGAAACGTCATCAACCGCCAGCTCACTCCACGATGTGAGTCTGTGCTGTCACATGCACGAGCCTCGCGAGCATGCAAACACACAGCGCCAGACTGCGTGTCCGCACCGTGCCGACCCCTTCTTAAACTCAAGCTGCGCTTGCCATCGCCGCTCAACGCTCGCACCTCGAGTCCACGCGCCGCTTGACGGTCGCCACTGCTGTTCGCCTGGGCGCATCCCGCGCAGGGAGCCTGTAGAATTGCGTATGTGCCCTTTCATCGCGCCCAACATGGCCAGCACCGCATGCTGACCGGCTGACCAGATCGCCATGCCTCTCCGCATCCCCTTCCTCGGGCGTCTGCACGTCCGGGAGTACTTCGTCCTCGCCCTCTCCATCGTGCTCATTGCACTCGAGTCCATCATCGCACTCATCACTGTCGCCATTCCCACGCCCATAATCAACATATTCTACCGCATCACGCGAAGACTGTTCAACCAATTGTCTTCGCCCAAGTCGCGCCGTAGCAGGCAGCAGAAGAAGGGCGTGTGGAGCTCCATCGCCAATGCTCCGGGATTCGGAGAGCTTTGCGAGCTCTATGGGTACTACGCGGAAGAACACGTCGTGCAGACTGGCGACGGATATCTGCTGGGCCTGCATAGATTGGCGCATAGGAGGGGGGAAGAAGACACGAGGGTCAATGCCGGCCCAGGCAAGGGGGGCTTGAAGAAGAAGGTCGTTTACCTGCACCATGGACTCATGATGAACAGCGAGGTCTGGGTCTCTCTGACCGAGCGGGAGCGTTGTCTTCCTTTCGAGCTGGTCGAGAGGGGATACGATGTCTGGCTGGGCAACAACCGCGGGAACAAGTACTCCAAGAAGAGCGTGCACTGCGCGCCAACCGACCAGGCTTTCTGGAACTTCAGCATGGACCAATTTGCCTTCCATGATATCCCAGATTCGATCGGGTACATCCTCAAGACGACTCACCAGCCGTCTCTGTCCTACATTGGCTTTTCGCAAGGCACTGCGCAGGCCTTCGCCACGCTTTCTATTCACCCTGACCTGAATGAAAAGGTCGATGTGTTCATTGCGCTTGCGCCGGCCATGTCTCCACCAGGTCTTACTTCTGGAATCGTCAACTCGTTCGTCAAGACATCGCCCGACATCATCTTTCTAGCTTTCGGGAGGAGGTCCATCCTGCCTTCCACCACTATGTGGCAGTCAATCCTTTACCCACCCATCTTTGTCCGTCTGATCGACGCTTCGTTGCACTTCCTCTTTGGATGGACCGCCAGCAATATTACTGCACACCAGAAGTTGGCCGCATACCCGCATCTTTACTCCTACACTTCGACCAAGAGCGTCGTCCACTGGTTCCAGATCATCCGCAATGGCGTCTTCCAGATGTACGACGACGACGCGCCAAGCCTCATGTCCAATAAATCCAAGTACTACAAAGTTGCCAAGTTCCCAACCCGCAACATTAAGACACCTATCGTACTAGTATACGGTGGCTCAGACAGCCTAGTCGACATCAACGTAATGCTCAAAGAGCTCCCTCGCCATACCATCGCGAAGGAGATCCCACACTACGAACATCTCGACTTCCTCTGGGCCTCCTCTGTAGACCAGCTCGTCTTCCCGCACGTCTTTGAAGCGCTAGAAGACTACGCCGGTCTCGCAGGCGAAGAAGCCCCGTCCCTCGGCCACCGCAAAGAAAAGCGCTTCCGCTCACCAGGCCGCTACAAAGGCCTCCTCCCCGAATCCGGCGCGCTCCCCGGCCCAGAAGGCGACGATGCCGGCGACGAGTCCTCCTCTAGCCCCATCGCCCTCCGTTCGCGGAAACACTCCCAATCGACCCGCAAAATTTCCTTCACCGACCCTCCACCCGCGGACGTCCCGCAGCCGCAGTCGCCCTCGGCGCAGAAATCCAGAATCCCGCATCTCGCATCAAGCTACGCCTCCGCGGTAGAACGCACGCACTCCCCCTCGGACCGCACAACCACCTTTCCCCCGCCCGCAGCCAAAGTTCCCATCCACACACTCGAGTCCGCCTCGCCCGCGCCTTCAGCCTCGCAAGCGACGGCACATAGCTCGACGAGTCGGCCCGAGGGGTGGTGGTCGTCTGACGAGGTGGGTGGGACGGCACAATCAGGCCCGACAACGCCGGAGCGTTCTGCACCTCAGAAGATATCGAAAAAGCAGAGCTTGGATAGTGTGCGGAGTGTGCAAAGTGGCAAGGTTGGGGGTGTCTTTGGGGAGAGGGGGATCACATTGGGGGTGGGGAAGGCGGTGAGTGGGTTGGTCGGGGGGTTGGGGAGGGGCGAGAGTCTGGAGAGTGGAGAGAGTGAGGGGGGAAAGAGGAGTCGGGGGAGGGTGAAGAGGGGTAGTGCGTAGGATGTGAAGTAGACGATACAAACCCCAAGTGTACTCACACCATTGACTTAGTACTGTAGATCAAATGCATACTAAAGGTATGTTACACTGTACCGACATCATCACTCCTTCTTCCGATGAAGTTCCTCACTCGAAAAATCCGCAATCTCTAGATCCAGCGTCGTTTCTGTAACATGTATATCCGAGAAGTCCGCAGGCACCAGAACCGGCTCCCAGTTCCCAAACGCATACAAGCCAAACATGGCACCAGTAAAAGACATCCCGACAGGCGGCGTTATGGCGAGCTCTTTCGATGTGAACGTGGATTTTTGAGCCGGGACGTACTCTTCATCTCCATACTTCGCATACAGCCTATACACCCCGTCATGCGCTTCGACGCCCAGTGGCACGGTGCGATCCATGGGGAAAGGGCCATGTTGGATCACACTGAAACCCCCTGCCTGTCCCTCGGGTCTTCGACACACAATGGTCTTAAGATAGCTGTCGCCGTCCTGAACACAGCCGATGCCGATGGTGGCGTATGAAAAAGGACTCCAGTACACCACAATACCGGCTTCGTAGCCCGGCCTATTGGGTTCAAACTCCAACTTGGCGTGGAAGGACTCGCGGTACTCGGTTTGTTTTCGCAGCAGCATCGCAGGCGCCTCTGGCGAGGAGAGATTGTAGCAATTTCCCCACAGACGAAGCCTTCCCGGACGCTCTCGGAGGAGCTCGTAGCACTTCTTCAGCGGCGTATTTCTCTGGTACCAACCCAGCTCCAGCTCTTCCCCGCTCAAGTCCGCGGTCCACTTGACCGGGGCCTCCCCCGCGCGCTTCTCCTCAATCTCCTGCACCACCGCGTCCCGCCCCTTTGTCACCAGCCTCACGTTTCCCCCCTCGTTGAAAACCGGCCACCCATTGACCCACTCCACCGTCACAAGAAACGTCTCGCGCCCCAGCTGCGGCTCCAGCCACGTCCCCTCCCCATCCTTGAGCGGCCGCACTCCGAGAAAGACAGCCCACCACCGCCCCTCCCCGTCCTCAAACACATCCGCGTGCCCCGTCCGCTGCACCTCCTCGTCGGGCCCGTTGTACCACAGCGGCTTTCCCTGCGACTCCCACGGCCCGTATACACCCTCCGTACTCCGAAATACCCACTCCTGATGCCCGGCCTCGGTCCCGCCCTCCGCGACGAAGAGGTAGTAGTACGGTGCTTTGAACAGGATGTGCGAGCCCTCTGCGACGCCGAACTCGCTTTGTCGAATGACTCTCGGAGCCGTCAGCGTGCGGCCGGTCTGGATGTCGATTTGCGAGATGTGGATGGCAAAGTCCTTGAGTTTGGACGCGGGGTTGCGGTCTGCGACGCGCACGGTCGTGCTGAGGTAGGCCTTGTCGGCGTCGTCGGGGTCCCAGAAGAGGTCCTGGTCGAAGCCCGGGTTGTCGAAGTAAACGGGGTCGCTCCAGGCGCTGTCGTCAAAGATGTTGTCTGTCCAGACGTAGAAGCCCCGCGGGAAGATGCGCTCATCGGTGGCAGGCCTGTATCTATGGAAAACACCGGTGGTCAGATAGAACCGTTTCTCCGATGTTCGGTAGCGTAGCGTGGACGCCCATGATCCGGCGCCAGGCTCGACAGTGCGTAGATTGATTTGTGAAGGGCGGGTGAGTGCGTGGCCGATGAGTTTCCAGTTCAAGAGATCTGTGGAGGTGTAAATTGGGCAAGAAGGCGTGTATTCAAATGTCGAGGTGCTGAGGAAGAAACGGGTTGGTTCTTGAGCGGTACCGGGGACGACGCAGATTGTCGGATCTGGATTGAAGCCGCGGATGATGGGATTGGTGAAAGTTGGCGAGCTGGAAGGCTCTATGTGATGGGTATGCATTCTGGGCTGGTGCGTTTCGTGAGGATTTGCTAGGGACTGTTTTCCCGTATGAGTTATGGAGTCGATGTGTAGTCCTCATACTAAGTACCCTACAGACCTGGTGCCAAGCAAGATCTTCCACCAATGTGAGACTAGCATACTCAAACTTCATGGTCGGATGTAAACCGGGTAATCGGTAGAAGGTGGGAATGTACCAATTACTTGCAGTTTTTCAACAACTTGGATAGGCTTCCTTCGTATCGTTAGACACCACAGTTACGAAGGTGGGCTGGGAATACCGACTAAGCCTCGCATGACAGTCACAGACACAGCCACACCACAACAACTCCTCGCACTTCATCAGTGATACGCATCGGTCAAAAGCAAGTTTGTGACGGCTTGTGTTGCTCTGTAACGAGGTATGTATTCGCTTCTGTGAAATAACTCGTCACGTCGTATGGTATAGTTGAGCCTTGCTCTTGCTGCCTGGCTTTGTATCCCGCCGACTTCTGGTTCGAACTGTTACGACTCGTCTGCGCATCGCAGTCAACGATACACGAGGAATGATAAAGGCAATAAATGAGTCTCAAACGATACGGGGCCAATAACGGTCCATACTTAGGTCTTAGTGTCAGCAAGAGATCCTAATGAAGATGTCACCAATTGATCATTGAGTCGTGAGAGAACAGATTGGTAATTGGAGTGATGAAATGCCGAGGCACCTACATCTGCCTGTGATTGCTATAGCACCTCCCGAGGTCCCAGAGAGCATCGAGCTTACTCTGCCGAGACTTCGTATTTCAATGTACTATCAAGATAATCGAAGAAGCTTCATCCGAAAAGAAGGTGCTTTTTCTCGCACCAGTTCATTACTCAATTCATACCCTTACTACACTTTGGTTTGGACAGCTCAATACACTTTCATTCTAAAATTCCGTACCCAGACCAATGAATGCAGTCACTGGCCACCAAATCCCGCGCCGAGATTCACCCACTTTGGGGGTCCAGCACCTACATTTTCCACTCAGCCCAGAGGCGGTCAGTCGATATATGAGCGAACTTGGAATTACAGCAAACAATGTGTCGTCTCAGCCGATGGTCACTCATAACGCGAAGCTCATGTTGATTGCTGATATGTAGGATGCAAAATTTCGTCAAATGTTGGAACGCATCTGCGCGTAGCCGCAATAGCCTCCTCATTATATGTGATTCATCAAGTTGGTGACAATCAAAATCAAGGACAGAACACAAATTGCCACGAACTTCGCGATACCTTACGTTTACCCATTCTAGCTTAGTCGAGTATCATTGCCTTTTGTGGGATCAGAGAAAATTTCCGACGAGCAATGGCAATTTGCTCATTCTGTTCTTCTTCCATGCTGATACGAGGGGCTTTGAAAGCAATCAGCGAGAAGCTTATAATAACTCAGGGTCTCAGGCTTGCTTGAGTGGACTTGCAGTATGCCCTACAGATTGTCATGGTACGGAGATGAGGTCCAGGAGCCATACAGGAAAATAACTCTTGCATGCCCAACAACTTCGATCAAATGCGAATGACAGAATTAATATCATGTCGGTTTTGAGCATATGCGAGAAACAATGAATGCACAAACGAGAAGCACTCCATTCTTTTCAAGTACAGTGAGCGGTGGGGGAAAACTTCATTGGAGGCAAAAACAAAACCTCCACCAGCATCGTCCAACAGCACAATGTTTCACAAAGTAGCGGTTTGGTTTCAGTCGATATCTTGGCCATCTCCCATGATGACAAAGGAACATGTGATACCTAGGAGACGTTGAGAATGTAGCTGATGAAAGGATGTTCACTTGAGTATAGTAATTTCTCGACATTTAGCTACCGTATAGAAGCATGCAACTGCGATGAATGGAGCAACGAGTATTTGTATGTCTTAGATATGCGCAGTATAGCTCACGCGTGAACGTGAAAGAAGGTGACACCAGACTCGCGTAGACCACACTGATACTCCGTAGAAGTAGGGAATATGTTTGGACGCTGGGTAGAGCTCGTTGAGTCGATCCACGACTATACTGCGAAGTATTAGCAGCCCATGAGAACCAGCATATGATAGCGATCGTTGTGCTGACTTAGTTGAAACTGGGCTGACCCCTTTCCGTGTATGTCTAAGCACGATCTTGCATTGTCGATAATACGTGAGAATGTCAGTATAACCAATGTAGGTAAAACGAGACTTTACAGCATAGGAACCGTTCATGAGTGTTGCAGATGACGTTCGTGGGGCGAAGCAAGTGAGCAACACGCTCGCCGCATCCGCGCACCAGGCGGCTGGAAGCCTGAGGCACCCTCAAACACAAAATCACATGTCCAGCACTGCTCTTCCCTGTCCCCATCGGCGACCGAGAAAAGAGGCTCTATACGCCGCCCTACAGGGCTGTCAACGCCCTGCATGCGGCGACACCGAGGCCTTGAGCCTAACTCAACATCCCATGTTCCTTTCCCCACTCCACCATAATCTCTTACACACATGCGCTCGTCGGGCAACGCATATTCACGTTGGGTAGCAAGGCATAAAGCTTAGCAGCTGTTGGAGTCAGGGTGGGTATAGAGTTTCGACGTCGTAGGCAGCACTGTGTCCTGCCACCGGTGCGCGCGGCGATTGGACGCGCACACAGCTGAGAGTGACGCGGAGCGAGGTCCTTCGTCGCGCCACGGCGCACTCCGACGCTCCCCCGTCCTGCTGCCATTCCTGACTGACACGGAGTAGTTTTATTGAGGATATTGCAGGATTCGAACGTGTGCGCGCAAGTGCGCGCACCGTTGCGACTGGCCGGCGACACGGTCGAAGCGGCATCAGCAGAGGGCGGCTGCCCTGGCCGCCAACACAGAGGCGCAAGCCAACCAGAATTCCCATTTCTCCAGATGCGACGCCCGGAGCTGCTTCGGGAAGGTGTTTCCACATCGATGATGATGAAACGGTACTGTCGGTTGCCTCTTTCGCCTCGTGGAGGTATGGATGTGCCCCGGCAGGCGAGCGGGGGGTTGAGGCCTCGCCGGACGGCGGCTCCGGAGCTGATTAGGTTGACTCAAGCGTGTTATACCGCATGAGGTTTTGGTCGCGTGATTGTGTGGAACCGGCGGACGCTCCTCGCACGGCGGGCGTTGAGGTGGTGAGCACAGGGTGAGGCGTCGCTTGCGCGGTCTGCGTCAGGCCCGGACGTAAGAGCAAGCCAACGTAGAATTCTGTGAAGGATTTCACGGGGCAAAGATCGCGCTGAGATCAGCAGCGATTTGAGTTTTGGTGTGTGAACTCAATTTCAAGTGCATTGAACGAACATGTTACGAGATGGTGTGGGGTTGTGTAATAGAACAACAGGTCATGATCATTGGAAAAGCTATGGTGAGCGCGAGCTCCTGCAGGCCGCAAAGTCCGGCGTACTTGTGAACAAATCTCAAACCATGCAATGCCGCTTTCGAACGCTCGAATCGACCAGAATGCGACGAGATGCCTTGCTTGACAGACATTCCTCCCGAAAAATTGTAGGGAAAGTAGTACCGTGTCAGTTGGCATGCAGAAACAAAGGGTATCATAACAAATATTCGCAGTCCAAAAGTAAGAGAAGCTGACATCAAGCCGGTTGATGCCAGATGGATAATGAGGACAGTCTTTCCGATCATACGGGTGCACACTTCGAGATATTAGCTTGGAACCACATGAAGGTCAGAAGTGTGCCTACTGGAATACCCGAACCTCAAACCTGAAAAACCGTTGCGCTCCATCTAATGATATCTTACCTGTGATTCCACCTTACAGTATCCACATTTAGCGTGGTTATTGCAGCCGGTGCAGCTGAGATATCTTGAAGTGTCGAACGGCCCGTATCCGCAAGAGCAACAGTACCAAACGTACTCCACCACTTTACGGCCTGGTTTGGCAGGGCGCATATATTGTCCATCGCGGGAAGAGGGAGGCATTGAATCGGCACAGGCGAGGTTGTCGGCTTGATGGTCTGAACGTGTGATCTGGGGAACTCGTGGGAAGCCGCGTTGAACGAGTAGATTTCCTCGGCGGTCTTGATAAAGACTGGGTTTGTTTCACAGTACAAGGCCTCGAAAAGGGTTGAGAGGGAGCTGGGATCTGCTGAGGATGTAAGAGACGTTTTAAGATACACCTTCGTGATTGAACTCACTTCCCCAACGACAGTATGAACAGCGTTGGTAGTCGAAGATGCTGAAAGATTTCCTTAAGTCTTTGACTTTTAGTATTACCAAAGATACGGTAATGTGAAATTGTGACTGTAGGTACAGATTGTATGAGAAGATGGCGTGCTGCTGTCTCGAGAGAGAAACTGGTTCTTGACCCGTGAAGATGAAGCGTGAATGGAAAGAATGAGCGTGTCAGATGGCGCATTCATATACGTTAAGCAAACCTGAAGGATGAGGGAAAAAAATCCAGGACTTCCGAAGCGTGAGGCGTCATGGAGTCCCTCGCGCCAGGCCTGTCGCCCCGTGGTCCTCCGAACGAGGCCGTCTCGAAGGGCACGAGCGGGCGGGGCAACAGCGAACGCATGACCTCAACGTGCGGGTTACACAGGTAATTGAGGCGGAATCAGTACGCAATTGAGTCTTTTACAAGTATAGCGGTGAGAGCAAGCGCTCATTGGTCTTAGTTGGTAGCCAGTGTCGGTGAGTGGTGCATGAAGGACTCGTAGAGTCGGCACCGGGGCTTCTTTTGACGTAAACGGGCCTCGGAAGGGAGAAGAAGGCACTGCTTTTCTTAGCGTAAGTGAATGGCTGCAAATTGTGGAAGTTTGCCTGCAAACCTGGGCTAGTTTGGGGTTACTGAGGCATACCTAGCCAAGGCTAGCCTGAGGCATTCTGGCCTCAGGCGCGAAGGTAGTTTGGCCACACGTTGCTGCAGAAGCCCCGCTCACAAGAAACGCCTGCCCAGGTGCTGAGTTGCGGAGGACTTCGCGCCTTTGGTGAGCGTTCCAATTGCTGCGGAATCTGTTCGGAGTCCAGCCGAGCTTGACCATCAACAGCAAAGACTTCCCAGGACACATTTATTTCGTGCGAAATTACACCCACACGGCTGCGGCAGGCTGCATCGTACCTGCGTTCTGCAAGATCATCGAATCTCGGTAACCAGGTTGATGCGTGTTCAGAGACACCAGCCCGGCACAGGCCCCCACGCGTGGCCTATCGCACGCTCTCGCGTTGTGCAACCATCCTTGACGCCTCCCGGCACAATGGAGAGAGATGTATAACAGCATTTGATAAGACCAATAAAATAAATGAATGAATTTCATGTGCATGTTGCCGTTACCTCAATGAAGAGGCGTTCGCAGACGGACTTTGGAGAAATCTATGACAGAACTGAGAAATGAAACATTCCGACAAGCCCAGCAAACCACCTCTTAGAAATTCCCAAAGCAATTCAACCAAAAAAAAACTCTGGAACTATCGTATCGTACAGGTAAACAGAAAAAGAAGGGAAGTGGATGCGGAACGCAGACGGTGATAGCAAACATCAACCTCGAAACATCTACTTGCAGTAGGAAATGTGTTCCAATATAAGCGAAAGATGTCAACGTATATTGTGCGACTCGTGAACGTGTTCGCCTCGAGGAGGCCTGGGTGACTCGAGCGAGGGGAGCCATACGGTACATAGCATTGGAACCAGGATTGAGCCTAGTAACTTCAGCAACCTTAGAAGATGTACTCAACAGGATTTCTAACATACTTCTATTTAGCGGAGCCGGTAGTGCAGGATCCGCACCTAGTTTGTCCGCAAGAGGAACAACCTGTGTCAAGTTTGATATTGTGTGGGCCATCGCCGCAGTTACAACAGTACCACACAGTCCTAGGTGGTGGGCCACACTGTCGTATATCTCCATTGGCATGTTCATGAAGCCCAATGGGAGATGTCATAAAACGCTCCAGAGAGGCGGTCGAAGTGTTAAATTGTTCATGTTCCAGAGCTGTAGAGTTGATGGCACCGAGAGAATCGATCGACAGTGTGGTGACACTTGGAGAGGCCTCGAACGGGATCATGAACCGCCTGAATGCCCCAGGGAGCACGCCGGATAGGCGCAAGGTAGAGAGGGTGTGCATATCCACAAGGAAGACTAGGTGGGAAGTAGAAAGGTTCCAATAGCTAGCGATGAGGTGGAGCTTGAATGATGTGCTGAATGCTTGAAGGGCGCTGGTGAATGATGAGCTCTCCTCAAGGGGTAGCTTTATATCTCTTCCGCGGAGAGCATCCCTTGTGAACAGACCAGCGTCCTTCATGTTGCTGAGGCAGGCAACGAGGGTAAGAGCAAGAGCCACCCACCGACACAGCCGAGGGCCGTTCCACTTAGGGAGCACGAAGAGGCATTCAGGCCGTGGCAGGTGAGCATGGCGTAGCTAGGATACGAATGGGTAGTGATGGTCAGTGTGTACCCTACACAAAGCGTCGGCAACATCCGATTGTGAGTCGACATCCCGGCGTCATGGGGGAGACTGTAGTTGGCCTCGACGGCAAAGGTGCAGACACCCGATAGCGTTGTCCGTTGACAGTGTCGGGTTGCAACAGGGAGCCTTGGTGAAAACAAGCAACGACCCACGCGCGGCTCTTGCGTGTGACTAAGTGAAGGCGGCAGGGATGTCTGTATGGATGCTCCTCTCGCCAGGATGAGAGGCGAGATGGGAACAACCTCATCACGACAACGGTAGAACGTGGGGCAGCAAGGCGACGGTGACACAAAGCATGCAGTAGGGCTGCTGGTTGGAGAAGCTGGCAGGTGGGCCGTTTCGCTCAGCGACTAGGCGTTGCCTAGTTTTGCCTCGCCCTACCGAGATGAAGTGGAATGCCACGCCGAGGACGACAACGAGATGGTCTTCCAGTGCAATGCGGTTGGACCCTGTGGTCATTACGTGAGACAATGAACATCGAAAAACGTGATAGAGGTCGGCACGGAGGATTGGAATGTTTCGCGGTACGTACGAAGTGACAAGCTACTATCTGGACCGATGGCGCATTGGCAGCATGGTGCGCGGAAAGCATCCTTGAAACGGTTGCAGTGCATCTGACGCGCATGGGTATGACTTGAGCGTATCCCGAAATGCCTGGAGGTCGTGCAGAGAGACCCCAACCGCGGCAGAGCGAAAGTCTGAGCAGCAATCATTGGCGTTGAAGCAGATGGACGGGGGCCAGCAACGATGGTGAACATGAATCGGATGCAAGGCAACATTAGGCTAAGCGAGTATGGAAGAAAAAGCTGTTCTGGAAGAGCGATAACGACAGTGGTTGCAATGAAATCCCGGACGCCTTGAGTAGTGTTTGTGGTAAAGGTCGCCAAGTTTCCCCTGCACCCATTGTGAACAGTCTTACACACTGAAACGTGACCAGCCGGATGGAAGATAATACGCGGACGTGGGTCCTTTTCGCAAATCCTCTCTGACTTCGTCCGCACATATTGCTCCTAGCCGAGGGGGTCGATTCGGAGGTCTGAGATGACAAAGAGCGGTGACATACACAGTGATGACGAGGCGATAGTATCGCAGTAGCCCAGTAATCATCTTTTGAGTGTGTAATTCTCCTAGTGCCGCCTCGGCCACTGCCACCCCGCCCTTTGCGCCCAACCGCGGTGCCAGACAATTCACGTTCGTGCGGGGCCAAGCAGTGGCCTTGGCTCGAGTGTCGAACGCGCTGGACGAGATGGTTGGTTGGGGAAATGGACCGCGACCCGTTCACTGCGTGACAAGATCAGTTGAGGGCTAAGTGTGTGAGGCAGGCGCGTAGTAGCTTACGAAGAGATGACTGGCCACTTTGACGGGGGACGAGGGGGATCCCTAGGCAGACGCACATTCTAAAGGCCGGTAGAGGTCGTGGAGCCTAGGCAGCCTGGCAGAATACCGGTGTTTCTGGTGGTGAGGTGGCCATCTCCTCTCACTGCTCCACCAGGCGCGCAGCGGCTTAAGACTCGTCCTGCCAACAGGCAATTGATACTGCCTTGGGCACAGAAATCTTCCTTCCCAGGGTTGGAATGCCCCGCGGGGAAGGACAGAGGTACACACGCACGCGGAGCGTGACCCAAGGAGCGTCGTCGGCTTCAGCTGCTGCTCCATGTGGCCAGGATCGGGGAGTACAGTAGGCCGGGTCTCAGGCCAAGGCTAAAAACAGTGATGGGTATGCAAGGCTGAACAAAATCCGGTGAAGGATGCTTGCCAGTCTGGGGCGGCCATATGGCCTGTCGAATTCGTACCGAGAACGCTCCGGATATGGGACAAGAGGGGACAAGTAGGGGACAAGTCTGTACGGTAAACCGGGCGAGAGAAGATTCGTCCCGCAGCAGAAGCTGAGAAGCTGAAGACTCAAGAAGGCTGAGCGCGGACGTTGCGTTGCTTTTTTGGTAAGATGAGATGGCTGCATGTCATGACTCGGCAGCTTCCCGTGCGGCACGGTTCATTGATCCAACGACTGTGTGTCAAAGGCTCGGGTATGATCACTGAGTTCCCAAAGACGCGGGCAATGAAGCGTTCGTAGGTTACGGCACGGTTGATGCGCGGGCAAGAACGTGGATGCGAAGATGATTGTAGCGGTGAGTGGGGCGGCAACGTGTAAGAATTAGAGCATCTGACGGCTTGCCATATGCATGTACCCCGCACGCACTTGCTAGCCTCCTGCTCATGTCGAGCCGCGCGATAATGAAGCAGCCTCTACAATTGCATCTTCACGAGACATGGTGATAGAATCGTGGTGTTGAGATCGAAACAGATGTCGATTGGCCAATGCGATCACGCTTGTGCTGTGCTGCGATCTGACACGAGCCTGGGCCGCCAGGGTGGCGCAGGCCGCCAGGCGAACAGCGACTGGAAACAGGTTACGACCTCCCCCGATCGCTCCAACAACACAACAGCGAACAACTACAGCACACGTCCTCGTGCTGTCCTTGGGAGCGCGTGCTGTCTGGATCATTCGGAAGCCTTTCCTACGATGTTGAACAATTCTGAATAGCCCGCTAAAGCCCTCGACACGCGGTCATCCGCAGCCCCTTGCGATACTCCGTCATCACGCGGTGCACAGCATCCATCACGGGCGCGGTATCTATCGCCACGGCATCACCGACAGTTTCTAATTACGCGCAACCGTATCGCGTGCTTTCGCGCGCCATATTGCCTGGCATGTCCGTCTCAGAGAAGAGCAGCCCCCAGCGGCGCACCTTGGATCAAAAGATGGGCCAACTATCGTCCGTCGTGATGCCCCTCATCGAAATTGGAGCATTGGGATTCGCAACCTATGTCTTCGTCTACTCTTTGTGCATTCAGTACCTTCTGGCGCCATCATCCGAATTGCGATCACGTGGGATTCAACCAAGAAAAGGCGCTGCCATCGCCCTCATCACCATCTATGTTCTTCTCGTTTTGATCATACTCCTCACGTGGCTTCGCATGCTGCAAGTGATTTGGACGAATCCGGGCATTGTACCCTTGGGGCATCCAGACTCAGAAAAGCAGGACGTGGGCTGGATGGGAATTGAAAAGTACGACGCATTCATCTCCGATTACGAAGGGAATCCACAGTGGTGTGACAAGTGCCACAACTGGAAGCCCGACCGCGCTCATCATTGCCGCGAGTTGAACCGCTGCGTGCGCCGTATGGATCATTACTGCCCTTGGGCGGGAGGAATCATCTGTGAAGGAACCCACAAATTCTTCATCCAATTCGTATTTTACGGTGCGCTGTATACGACATTCTCTTGGATACCTGTCGCCATATTTTTAGCTGAACGGATTCGAGTGTTGGGTAGCAAGCCCGGAATATGGATCGCCATGTTACCTCTTTGCGGAATCTTTATGATCTTCACCGTCACAATGTTCTTCATGACGTTTTGGAACCAGTCAATCAACTATACGACAATAGAAACTCTGCAGCGAGGTGGAGTACATAACATTTCCATGTTGGTGACCCGAAGAGATCCTAGTACGCAGACTTCGCGCAGGAATTCGTCGAGCCATAACGCCAGAGAGAAGCCAAACGTTTTGAGGGAGGTTACACGCAGCGACGGACGCGAATATGTCGTGTTCCAGACGCAGCCCTATGTCAACCCATGGGACATCGGCAGCATGGAGAATCTGCGCACCATCATGGGGAATAGCATCGTACAATGGATCCTTCCGTTCCAGACAAGCCCATGCATCAAGCGAGACGATGTCAGAGGTCAATATGGTTGGAGCAGAGAAGTGATAGACATGGCGAGTGATTGGGAACGGGACCATCCGGATCGACGTGTTGTCCTTTTGAGTCATACGAGAAGGAGCAGGAGAAGGAGCTCATGAGGTTCTATGGAAGAGTTGGATTTTGGTGAAGTTGGAGATGCAGCACCATATCAAAAGTCTGGAATACAGCGTGCTACCACGGTAGGCAAAGCAGACGCCGAAGGTACTCAGACTTTTGTTCTGGTGCTACACACGCCGGTACTGATTTTTAGCATTACTACGATACCCCCACCGACCTGCATAGCGCTCCGTACATATCTCATATCGTCGATGTCTATTACCTCAAGCACTGCACAATGACTGAGCTCGGCGGCGATCAGTTCGCGTCAATCGTTACACAATGAATACGAGACCTGTCCGTCACAGCTTGACCCAAACCTGTTCCGCACGAGTCTCGCCACTGTCAACTATCTGTCACTTCTGTCCACCAGTATTCATCTTTTCGTGCCGGCAACTCCCGCTTAATACAAGTCTGCGCAAATCGGAAGATGACGCTTCTTGAGATGAAAGGGCGCATCCAACTTTCCACGGTTCGCTCACCCCTTCGTCGACGGGTGGTCGGCCCCATCGCAACCGCTCCCGAACCTTTATCAGACACGTGGAGTGTACCGGTGGGGATAGTCTCACTCTCGCATGACCTGCCCACTCCCATCAACCTTCACCCCTTTCGCAAAGGGCGGGCACAAGTGCAACAGGACCTCCCTCAACAACGCCACACCCACCACCACCGCAAAGTGCACTCGCCGCACATCCTGCTTCACGAAGTCACTGAATCACTCCATCAAACGACCCCCCGCCTCGCAACAAGCGCATTAGAAATTCCCTAACCTCCAGGCGTAGGCGCGGAACAATGACACCCGACAACCGACGCATGACACGCCGTCAGACATGCGGCGCCCGAACGTGCATGCAGGTGTTTGACGCTCCGGGAAACTGTTGAGCCACGGCTCCCATGCGCTGTCTCGTTCCACACCACCACACTTCTCGGCCAGGGAATCCTCCCCCGAAGTCTGGCACCGACCCTGCTCTGCCAACGCTGATCCTCACAAGGTTCTCCAAGCCTCCGCAACTCTCCGAGCCAGACACCCAGGCGTGACAGCCCCACCCGTGTGGTTTTGGGGTCTGGAATGTCGAAACAGGCAGCTGAAGGCACGACGTGGATGGGTGATGCATGTTCGCGCGGCCCGATGGGGTGGGCGTGTGTTTCGCGTTAGCTGGACGGTGGCGTGCGCCAATGGTGTGGCGTGCGTTTCCAAACAGAGAGTACTGATACGAAGGGTCTGATGTCAAGGGTGTGCCTGATTTGGCTTCGTCATGTTCGAGACCTGAGAGTACATGCTGAGCTTGGTACTTCGTGCAGCTTTGCATTTTTGGAAAGTTTGGGTAGTCGTTTGGATAACATATCGACTTGTTGATTCCTGGCTTTTGTATCACTGGTGATTACACTGACCATTGCTGCTCTTCGAGACTGAAGCTGTAACGCTAAGCAGTGACACAAACGATTCCTCATTGACAATATAATACAATAAATCTGCCAACTCACCAAGCGTATGGCTTGCAAACTGCGTCTTTCGGCTACTCCTCGCGACACCTTCCCAAACCTCCACACTCACCCACCTCAACCAGTTCAAAACCTGCGCCCCATGGCCTATGAATCCTCCTATTTCAACCCATCGTGACCCCACTGAAAGTTCTTTCCTCTATAACATGACTAAGTTGGGATGCACTGCCCATCAAATCTCAAATCTCACACCACAAAAGTATTGATCTTTCAAACATTCCCATTGCGGCAAACGCAGATCCAAAACGATAACGCCAAATCCACAACGTCAAAGCCCTGTCCGGCCCCCCTACCCCTACCAGCCCATCGCATGTCACCCCAGACCACCAACCCCTACAAACTCACCTCATCGCACCTGCCACCTCGTCGACGCCACCCTCCCGTCAGTTTCACCCTCCCGCCGCCCCATTCCACCAAAGACACACAACCCTCGTATAGTTCTAAGCACCCATCCCAGCCATATACTTCCAAAGATAGCACTCATAGTTCCGTTTCGGTGCCGCACAGCCCACCCATGTTTCGAACTCTGGGTTCGCGGGTGGGTCTGCTCTACACTCCACCGTTTCAGCAGGCGAAACGCTACGGGGGCGTCACCACGTCAACGTCAGAGTGCGAGACGTCGATGACGGACGGTGGCCGGCATTGAGAATGATGGCGTGCGATCCGGGTGAGGCAGCTCCGGCGGTGACCTGAGTGAAGGTTGTGGTCTGATTGAACGCCGTGGTCCAGTGACTCGATGCCGTTCATCACTACATTTTGTTGAGTTTCCTCACCTCTCCAATGCGTAGGCGACCCTCACTTGCGGAACGTCGTGATGTGTGCCATAGCGCAGCTTGCCAATTAGCCTTGTTGCAATATCATTATACATTGATAATTCCTAGTGCCTCTAATCAAGTACCGCGAAAACGCAACAACTGTGCGGTAGAGCTGTCTAGCCCGCTTGGCCTGTCCACTGGGTATGTCGTCCTGCTACACACTAACTCACAAATCCATCCGAAGATGAGAGACTCGATAATGCCCTTAAACCCATATATGCATCCCAGATGACCTAGTTCCTCCCACATTTTGAAAACAATGAAAATACGCCAACCCATGCAGTGCAGACTGTACCAGAGCTTGCCCGAGCAGAGGAAAAGAAAGTCGGCTTTTGGCGGACTAGAGTGTATCCGCATCGTGAAAGCAAAATAAGAATAGTTAAACAATGGTGAGTAGAAGGTACATATCACCGGCCTGCAATGAGGTACAACGAGTTTGGAGCTGTGCCGCCTAGCTATAGAACGCTCGAAGTGCCGAAAGGTACCGGGTATCAGTAAACATGAAATGACAACCAGGCCAGGGTATGGAGGGCTCGTTGTATGGTAGACGAGATCTGGATCTGGTCGTTCAATGTCCGCGCGTCTTTCAACCAAAATTTTCCGTGTGTTCGCGGACGTCACGCTGTTCTCTTCCAGGCGCGCGTCGTCGAGCGTTGATGAACCAGTTGGATACCTGGGGAATATCAGCTATGCGACTCTTATCGTAGAACCAGGGTCGACAGCCCCTCGGATCAATTAGAGGTAGAATGCGGGGTAGAGGACGAGTTGAGCGGGACTGATGAGCCGGCGACAGCCTGATAGACACCGTCACCCGGATAGAAAGCTGGTTGACAGTGAATTGGTTCTGACGTACCTGATTCAGCGTGAGTTGGCACTTTTGGCATAGCGCCAGTTTCTCCTCCTCGGTAGGGTAAGGAGAGTCACGGTGATCTGCAAACCACTTTTTTAGGATTGCCGTTGCCTCCTTGGGAAGATTGCCGCGCCGTTTCCTGTTGAACGAGTTTTGATCTACTCCAAGTGATGACTGGAAGGTATAACTGTTGTACGGCTGAGGTGGTGCGTGGGAATTATAGGCCACATTCGTCATGTATGCTGGCGGTGGGACAAAGTACGAGTTTGATTGAGCTCTGTCATAGGCGTGGGCATGGGCACTTGGATGCGGCTCGGGGTAGTAGCTGGGTCGTCGATCAAACTGGCCTGCATGTACGGGGTATCCTGACGGCCCTGACACGCTGTGATGAGCTGGCACTGCGTGGTTTGGATACTGTGGGTTCCCCTGAGGGATCGGACTGGACTGGTGACGCACGTGGGCAGCCATCGGGCCAGATTGAGGTACGAACGGTAGACTGGGTCTGTGGTAAGTCTGACCGTAGGGTTCACCGAGCGCTGGGTCGATCGTGCTTGGCCGTCGGGGCTCATAATCGAGGGACTCGGCCGGATAGGCTGAGCGGTATTGGCCTTCAGAGGAGTCAAGGCGCCTGCGCTTGCTGTCTCCTCCCCATGCTACATCCTCCCACTGGGTGCTGTGTCCGATAGGCGAGCTGTCGTTCGAGCCGTTGCTGCGGTTGGGCGTTCGTGGCGGTGAGGGCTCACTGTGAACATTCTTAAGGAGCTTGTAGATGGTCAGTTCCGTCCAAAGTCGCTGCGCGGGTGCTTTACCTGTGAGAAGGACGGGAGCCCAACGTTACTTGGCTGCCGCTCGTTGGGCTGAACTGGAGGAGAGTTACGAGTGAGGTGGTTCTGCGGCAAGTCGTCGTTAGAATGGTTTACTTGAGCCATGTTCGTGGCGAGAGATTGAGTGTACACAGGCGCGAGGCTGTCCAAACGTTGGCACCGGCGGTCTCCAGTGATCGGTGGAAACTTGATAGATTTCGTGGAGCGTTCGAACACGCTTCCAGGGCTACCTTCCGCGGCAGTGTCTACAGTTGGGGTTGATTTGCTTGGAAACAAGGACTGAAGCACGAGCTCAGAAGAGAAGACGGGAGGAGGTTCGAAGAATTGTGCTGGGGCCTCGCCAGTCTCGGGTTCATGGTAGCGTGGAAAGCAGGGTGCTTCTCTGGTGGTGGTGCTGTCCTCTGCGAGGGAAGGTGCACTGGGCGAGGGTGAACCAGGCAAGGCAGGTGCAGTCGAGGAAGGTGCGATCGCGGAATTGGCCATGGCGGGAGGCTTATTGGAATCGAGGAGAACAGGAGGCGGTGGAGCAGGGTAGAAAGAAGAGTGAGAAGAGTGACATACCACTGGCAATGCAGGCAGGGTCCTCTCAGAGCTCCGAATCTCGTCTGGGGTAGCCATTCTGCGGGCGCTGTACATGTGCCTCTGCGGCATGTCGTGCAGAGTTAGATACTCCATCGAGACAGCTGTGGGCTGGATAACGCAGGGTCAGTATGGTTCAACAGACAGTATCCATGGTTGGATGGGTCGGGCAGTTCGTGTTCGACCCACCGTGGGTGTGGACGTCACCGAGCACCGCAACCATGGGCGAGATGCTCAGCAAGTTGGACGGCTCACCTATGTGGTTACGGTACAGCAAAGGGGAGCCAGAAGACGCAGTGCAGAGGAAGAAGGCGGCGGCGAAAGGAAAGTAATATTCAGATACAAGTAGACTGGCGGCAGGGCGTCGAGGCCGAATGAGGCAATTAGTGAGGTTGTGTTAAGGTCGTTCTCGTCGGCGTACAGCTGTGTGTCGCGCGGGAGGAGGTCAAGGGAAGTGCCGGCGCAAGCACGCAGCAGTTCGCGGATGGATAGAGCTGGCAGAGCAGGATGAGCGGCAGATCTTAAGAGAGGCCTGCACCATGCACGGGTGGAGGCGTTACGATGGCGGATCAGAACTGCAACGGGCCGTACGTCTAGCATGCAGAGTGGCCGTCACGATCTGGGACCAGGAGGCAGGCCCTAATGCCAGGACCAGGAGCAGCAGCCTGCAGGAGACGCTGGCATTTGGCTTTTGACAGGTGCGTTAAGGTTGGGACCTTGCCTGTTGCTGGGTATTCTCCGACTGCGCACAAGCAGCCGCGTCGTATGGCGAATGCCTGCAGAAGAAACAAAGGGCCCCTTCACTACGCCGCAGGACTCGAGGCACGAGCAGTACCCGGCTTAGCCCCTTGCTAGAGCCGCCGTCGCGCTGGATAGCCGGGCGACGGCGGTGGAGCTGCGCGATGCAAGACGCCTCTGCTGCAGCCGCTAGGCCTCATGGCGCTGCCATCAGACCCGTCCGCCCCGTCCCCACCGCTCGCCTCAGGGCCAGCACCGCCCACGCAGATCGTCGTAGACTGCAGCTGACTCGATGCAGAACAGAAGCAGGGTACGCCTGCCCGTCGCTTGTTTCGTCGCGGCCTGTTCACTCGCCACGGAGCCAATTACCTCACCAGCGCCGCCCAGACCATCGCCGCAGAGTTGCTGCAACGCCCGCACCCCCATCGCCATGTCAACGTCCCATCACGTCGCTAGTCGAGAGGGCGGCGGGCGATTGACGTGCAGGAAATGAGATGCCTACGCCACCGCGACTGTCGAGCGCCCCAAGAGGAAGTCCCTCGTTCGGAACCACGCCGGCGGCAGCCTATACCTGCCGCCGACTGCTGTCCAGGGCATCCCAGAGCCCTCGACTGGCGGTGCCAGACGTGAGACAGGCGGCCATTGCATCTGCCACACCCGGAGGCGTCAGGGCAGGCTACACGGGGCCCTCGCCAGCCACGACGTCTACCGGGGACCCGTCGAACGGAACCGTGGTATTTGCTTTTGGCACAGAGCGCGGGGTCGTTGGACGAGCATGCCCTGCCGTCGCTGTATGCTATCTCGGAGGCGTGCATGGCGACAAAGGCAGGCCACCGCTCCTGGTCACGAGCTGGGACGAAACCGACCACGGTGAGCTGCTGTGTGATCTAGGACCACGGCCACGGGCTGCCCCTGGGTTGCGAGCAAGTACCAGGACCGGGGAGACAGCTGCCGCACGCCACACCAGGGTGGCTGGGCAGGGAATTGATTGCTGGTGCTGCAGAGCATCCAAAGCAATTCAAGACTGACCGTGTTCTCAGGCACGCTGCGAGTCGTTGGCTAGTGCGGCCGCAGAAATTATTGAGAAGCCAAAGAGGCGTTCAGTAGTCGAGGCGACCAAAATAGAAGGATAAGCCGGGCGATGGCCGCCCGCTACTGTCGATTCATATTGCATTTGACGCGGGTGATCGACAGCGATGCCAGGCGCCCCCGAAACAGCACGGCAAGGCAGCGGATCCCAGACAAATCGACTCGTGCAAAGGCTCTCTCAAACGGCGGGCGCCCGCAAGACGCTCAGCACCACGCCGTAGGCCAGTGGTTACGCTACGGCCTGTTTGATCAAGGTCGGGCGGTTGGGGCAGACAGAGGGCAGAGGGCAGAGGCAGAGAGACCGACACGTGCCGGTGTAGCGACGGCACGGCCCATGCCCGGCAGACGGAGCAGCAGCAATGGCAGAGGGCTGGACGCTGGCCCGAGATGTGTCTTGACAGCGGACTGACACGGGGCGTGTGGTGGGCAGAGGCAGGCGTTGGGACGCGAGGTTCAAGGGGGGCGTGATGGGCGCAGGGATGGGTGCGTGCAGGCCAATCACGCCGTGGTTCTCGAATCCCGCGCTGCCGGCCGATCCTTCGCATCGTTGTTCGCTGCAAGATCCAAAACGCCCCATCGCCCTCGTGCCGCGGCGGTCCTTTGTTTTGGCGGCGATCTCCCCCCGCCAAAGAACGCGAACGCGACGGCGACGGGCCTGACGCTGCCGTGTGGGGGACGTCTGGGACCGCCATCGGGTCCTCGCGACGGCCGACAGCGACAGACGCCGAAACCACCTCACTGCATCCCGACGACCAGAGCAGCCTTGACCGCCCAAGCTGTGCGCCTGCGCCTGCACTGCACCAGCATGCGCGTCGCAGCGGGCATGCACGCTGGCCACCGCGGCCGAGCATCTTCGGTGCCGCCTTGGAAAAGCAGACTGACGCTCCCGACGACCCTCGCAACCGGGTCCCGCTGTTCCAAGGCCGCTCGCCCGCGCGGCCAGGCTGTGCGCTGCAATGCGACTGCTGCGGGAGCACCAGTGCGACGCTCGCCGGCGTTGCACAACAGCAGTCGAACCGCCTGACAGTCCGTCATGTCCTCGAGCAGTTCGCCGTGCGGGCAGCCAAGGCCCGGCGCTTGCGCCATCCATCGCGCAGGGGCTGTCAAGCCTGTAGCGTCGACCCTTCCGCCGCCGCAATTGCCATCGGGCAGATCCCAGATCCAGCCTGCATGCTTCTGTGCGAATCTCCCTTTACACACCAGAGCATTATATCCGGCTAGCGGTGCATGCCTCCATATTCCACGTACAATAACGACTGCTCGCCCACGGCTCCTGGACAGCATGCCAAACCGCCCACACGCTACCACATGGCGACGAAAAGGCGGTGGGCAAGCGCGGGGTGTTTCCTTGCCTCGCCAGCTGCTTTGGATCGCGACTTGTACCAGCCTCGGCTGACGGCGCTGTGACTGGCGCTGTAATACAAGATGGAGGCAACGGACGCCATCTGGTGTCTTCGCACCCCTCCAACTTGGTTTCAAACCCCATCGCTGTGTCTCCTCGTTGCACTGTGGCCACGCCTCTCCTCGTGCCCACCCCTCAGACCCGGGGAAACCCTGCCGCACGCTGTTTCACTCGACGCTTTCAGCAGCGCTGGCGTTCTGCCCTCCACCTGACCGTTGTCGCGATGTCCACGTCGTGCTGGGTTACGGGAGACGCCCGGGTGCTCCTGCCTGCCGTTGTTTGGTTGTTCCAGAGAAGTGAGGAGCGTTGCCGTTGCGCCTGCCCGCCAAAACATACACGGCAGGCCTTCCGATGGGCCCGCCGCCGCCTCAACTAAGGCTCCGTCCCTCCCAAGACCTGAGCTCGCAGTTCCACCGCAGCCGGAATCTCCAGTTTGCGTCGCCCTGCAACCCTCGTTTGTCACCGCCTCGACCTGGCTCTCGCCATCTCCAGAGCGCTGGATCGGGCCGGCATACGAAAATAAGGGAGGGACGCGGTGACATTTGCGATGCGGGCCGGTGATCTGAGTGGTTCCAGTAGCGTGGACTTGTGCGAGGCGCTGTCCAAGTGCGAGCGTTCATCTGGAGTTCGACGTACATTTCACGGCGCAGCACATATCACAAAATCGCCATTCGAGTCGGTGAGGACCCTTGCCAGCTGCTGTACCTCACGGCACCCTGCAAGACTCCAGCTCACCCTATCCGGCATCTGGCTTTGTTCTATCCGCATATCATTCCTCCGCTACGAGAACAAGAAGACGCCTCCCGCACTGTGCGACAGTACGGGACCTGGTGTTTGGAACCGTGTCCCGCGTCCAAGGTTGGACACCTCTGAATCTAGTCATCAATGAGCGCGCCCTGGCCAAGCAGCCCCTCCGCTTTTTCCGCCACCACGAACACCTTCGCCTATGCAGTTGCTCGACATGTTACCCAGAGCACCCTAGATCTCCACACTGTACTCCAAGCCGACCGCTCTTTCACCGGCAGCGAATATACGGCAACTGATCATGATGGCTCATCTACAATCATGGAATCGACTCACTGCATTTGCACCCTGGTTGAAGTCACCTCGGTACCAATCTATTTGCACCTACTTCATTCAGTTTGAAGCACAGTGTGTTCGCTCTCAACTTCGTGTACAGCTACGAGCAAGCGCCAACGGACTAAGTGAGGGCTGAAGATGCCCCAAAGAGCTGACTCTAGACACCCCGTAGATACCAAGGTGGTATTGGGTCTAATACATTCTCCCAAGTGCCAGATATACACATCTACAGTCTCACCATGTTTCCGTCCTCTGGTCCAGATGAACTACTTATCTGAGCCTGTCAAGAATCCGACGTCAGAGCTTAGACCTGAGGCCAAAGGATGAACAGCGAGACCTTGCATTCGCTTAGGCGTCAAATTGTCGTCTATGATGCAGTGCAGATGCGACACAGCGACCGGCTTTTGCCGTCGACGAGGAGCTCAGGAGGCTCAGACTACCCCTGGCGGCTAAGGTTTGTCCAGCATCTTTTTATGTTTGAGCTGTCTCTTGAGGTACCTTCTCAGTAGTGACCATAACCCGATTGCTATGTCGAGCGGCGTTTCATAGAACGACCGCATTCTCGTATCGGCCGATAAACTCGCGCTCGTGATGCATTCATACGACTGGACAACAGCTTTCAAACCGTCGAACACTATTGGATTGTTACACACCATCCCTAATCGACACGAGTATATAGTATTACGCTTCGGTTGCCGTTACCAAAATCAAGCGCGATGAGCACTGTCACACAACAACAAGCCATGACTCGGCCTTGCTTGCTGTAATTGATAGCGCTTCTCTTGCATGACTGGTCGAAACCACATTAAGTTTTGCTTCGGCCTTGTGAAGTTTTTGAGTTACCTGGAACACTATGTGCCTACGAGGCATCTTTGCCGACAATCACGATGGGAATGTTATCGCGAAAGTGCGATTTCGTATGATACGCTGGTGATCAGCAGATTTGGGACACAGTGATTTGGGACATGCTGGCCACTTCTCAAGGAGTTCCCTGCTCTGTCATGCTCCGGCGCACCCTCCAAGATCTCCATGGGACTAAGCTGCTAATCCTACAATTAAGAGCGCAGCCAGCATGTCCCGCAGGACTTCTCAGGAAAACACACCGTATGGGTCAACACCGCAGTCGTTATCGTTGTGTGACCGTATACGGACTCGATTGCCGATTGTCGCCATTATACAACGGCCTCGGTATAGGATGATCTACCCCGTCGATTCCTGTCCGCGGAGGCCTCGGCACATCGCTTCGAGGGATTTTCGAGGTGAAAAACATGGACACCCTTGACATATCATTCGGCCTATTATCGGAAGCCATGCCATATTCCCCATCATGTGCCAGCAGTGTAGCACTTCTGGTCAAGTCGAGAGTGTCAATCTCTGTGTTCTTAGGACATATGATCGACAGCTAACAGCACGTCCTATTTCCAGATGTGAAACAATACTCCTTGCACACTTCGATACATAGACTACACGAAACAACACCAGATTACCGAGGCTGAACCCACCCTCACGAAGGCCAATCTACCATAATTGAAGATTCTTAAGTCAACCTCAAGCGCCTTCCTTCCGAAGATCTTCGGAAGCTTCCTAATACGCTCGCGACAGCGCGCCTTTAGTGCATTTTTGACGTCATGTGATGTACCGCTGGATTTAGGTTTGACACCTGCCATCGATCTAATTATCCCTGCATGAGTCATCCCATGGTATCGACGCCAAGAACTCTCTTGCCGTTGGATCCGGGGCTGCGAGAGGCTTGGATCTTCGAGACTCAGCTGAACGCCTGGGTCGGCCCGTAAAGCAAACGCGCTCGACTGGTGAATCCCTGCGGACGCCGTCACTAAATGTGATGAATTCCTTCTTACACACATGTAACCCTGGCTAATGACCATCGCTCCCTGAAAACGATCATTATTCAAGTGGCGATATGGACTTGAGGAATATGGATTCGTCTACTTCTCCGGGGTATCAGGTCTTTGTGGACTGACTTCGTTCTACTGGCACTCTCTTTATTCGATCACTGTGCTGCTTTCAACGAACTCGTATTCTCGAATATTAACACCGCGCCAATATGCCTGCAAGTACATGAAAAAGTCTGCTCTCCCCAAACAGCATACAACAGTGCTGTCTCAGCTCCACCCTGCATGATTAGTCGATCGGAAGGAACACGACTTCGTGGCGCGCCATGCGCCTTTCACGGGCTCGATCCAATGTGCGTACCCTGACTGACGCAACGAGCTTTGACGGCAGTGACACTGTCATGCTGTTCTGTCAGCTTTCTTACCTAGGTTGAAGCTTCCTTATTGAGACTGGGGCATAATCATGGCCGCGATCAAGCCACGAGGGATGCGGAGCTTTAGCTTGGGAACCATACTGTCGGGACCTAGCGCTGTCTCCTACATAAACCGTCGCTATGTTAACCCAAGACCAGCATCACCGGACATTAGTGCACAGCGCTACAGGCCGCCATCTCAAAGTCCACAAATCGGACATAGCTACGCGCTGATCCCAACATTCGCAGTATGGCGAAGTACTCTTGGCTTATGTCAACCATGCAGTAGTCCATTGAGCCAAACTTTCGCGTCTCCGGGCAACGCGTTCCTGGATTAACGTGGTGGCTAGCGAAGTCACTCGAGTCTACCGTATCGATGTGGCTGCAACGCACTAGACACGCTTGCTCTGATCTAGCGGTAACTTTCTGCATAAGTGTATTGTTCAGCGCACACAGAAATCGGCGAACATGGTTCTGCCTGCTGCTCGAGGCTAGACCTTGTCTCAAGTATTTGACTTTTGATCTGCTGGCTTTGCATCTTCACAATTCGGCTAAAATTGCGCTCATATCAGGGATGTCGCCGTTCCCTAAATGGACCAGCTCTTTGAGATCATCTCCCAGCGTTACGAATGGCAGACGTGATCTGTCCCACGTTTGGCGTTTTGACAAAGAAACCACGCCACAAACTTTGACCTGTGCGAAACAGTTCCAAAACATCATTTGGAATTGACTGCATGACTCGCTTGCAAATATCGATCTTCTAGACGTCGATGTTTGTCAGATTTCCGGTCTATGGCGCGGAGGTTTCCGCTGAGCTCTAAACATGAAAACTGACTTTGCGTTCAATAGAGCATAGAGGCTGGCTGCAGTGGGTGGGCTTTGAGCACGGATTTCTCCACCGCACTTTGTGCCAGCAGCTTCCAGCCTTTCAACACGAAAGCTTCTACTTGATTTCGAACGCTCCGCGACAATAACTTTCAGCAGGGAACGGCCCGCAAAAGCAGCTCGCAGTACCGTCGGAAAATTACACCGGCCAGCGCACAGCACGCAAGTCCACAGCTAAGCTCTCCCAACAGGCGACCGACTGCCGTAGGTACATCTTCCATGCAGCTCCGTCAGAGTCACTTGGGGAGACCTCCCATTTAGCTGCATGTGAACTTATACGGGAGTATCGTCCCATATTCGAGGCTCCACCTGGCTCATCACTCGCTTTTGAACTCGCAATTTCCCACTGCAAATGGAAACCCGCCTTTGTGTACTTCATCTGTGAGATCGCGCTACTGCCATCGAGCGGTGCGGCAAGCTTCGCGTAGAGCACCGTCATTATCGAGCATGCCTTAATCAAGTCGTGCAGCTCTTAGCGCGTTCCTGCGCGCTCCCGTGTTGTCGGTGAAGCTGTTGAGTTTATTGCTACGAGGGACGCGACCCCAGCGTTGGTTGTTAGTTGGTATCTGAGAGTTGCTCGATGTGATGTTACCTCCTGTGTCTAACACATCGCCGCTTGTCGGCCTCAAAAGACCAGAGAAGTGTGCATCAGCTTGTTCCCTCTATTTGAACTTGTCTGCACGAAGTATAAATCGTAGAACTGCTGTGCCATATCGCAAGGTTCTTGTTGGGTGGTGGCCTCCGCGCTGAGATGTTGGGGTGTACATGCCCTTCGACCCCACATGTATAAAGTGAATCAATTTCCCTCGAGTCAGATGTGACTTTGTCATTTATGTGTGTCCCTGGGGGTACATGTACTCATATTGACCTCGGGGTACTTCTCAAGTGTGTGGTTCGACGCGCATAAGGCAAGTACAGCAAAAGATCTCGTTACGGATGCTTCCTACGACGAGTCTGCGTCTTGAACGTGAGTCTGTCTCTTACACAGCATAGTGGGAAGGCGCTGGTAGTGTAGGTGCAACACTACCTCCGATCTTGGGCGTTTCTTCTTCTTCTCGCCCATGATCATGGCACGTTTGCACAAGCGTTGTACCAGGCCAAGACCGCTCTACAATCCTCAACAAAAAGAGGAGTATATACAGCATGAGTAATGAGTGACCCACCTTCCTTATCTTCTATAGCACTGCGTGAAGATATTTTGAACTGCAAAGCTCCTCCCTGTGTAGCAAAACCTTCCTGAATATCTTTAGGCGTGGTAGGAGTCCTCATCGTTTACCAAACTCTCGGCCAACCCCTACTCATTTCTCTTTTCAATTTCTTTCCACAAACCGAGATGGTTCCATGTTACTGCAAGTCCTCCCAGGAATCAATGAGATTATCTTGATAGTCACATGCGAGGCAGATATGCTCTCCTATTACCTGGTAAATGCGGCATTCGGGGAACAGTCTAGCAGCATAATTGGCGGAACTGAATAATCATCCTCAAATCTCATGGCGGCTGCACACCAGATGTCAGCGGAGCGACAGTGTTCGGCGGCCTGTTGTGTGACTGCTACGGGTGAATAATTCAGCCTGACTCAAGACGAACAGCAAGAGGTATGAAGAAATCCAGTCCTGTGACTATGTTGGATTTCATCCTCGAACATTCCACTGGCACATAATCTTGAATTAGTGGGTACCCGAGCGTGCGAAAACGAAGCCCGTAGTTACTGCCAGCTCGAGATCGCCCGATCTTTTGGCGAGCTGCCAAATGCGTCGGAATCTGATTCTCGGAAGCAACCGATGAAGCCTACCATGGGTAAGAAAAAGTTACCCCGCTGGCTGCTACAAATATCACGCGTCTCTCTTCAGCGCTTTCGCCCACCGATCTCCCTCATCGTCTCATGCAGCTCTGCACTGGGTCGCCACCGCCCAACTCTCCACAACTGTCTCACGAATTCGTCCTTCGCCTGCTTGTCAAACGCCCCCATGCAAGTGCAGCATCGGGATAGCGCGCGATAGATTCCAGCGCGTAGCTGCTACGTCTTCTCGGGCGGTAGTGCAGCCCCTGCTCACCGAGCTCCTCATACTCATCGTCGCTGTTCGTCGCTTCATCCGGGATGAAAGACAGAGGCGCCCAGAGCAACGCCTCTATGAGCCGCGGCATATGCGCTGCTGCTTTCGCGAACGCTGATAGGAAAGGCGTGAGGATGGCGTTATTGGGGTCGGTGCGGAATGATATTGCGCTGGTGTCTTCCCGTTGCTCGTCGATGCTGTAGCCGCAGGGGAGGTGGCTGCGCTCGGGAAACGTGTTGTCACATATACACATACAGCGTCAAAAGGAACATGTGAGTGCTATGTATTACCACAAAGCGCACGATATGTAGCCCGATTGTAGGCAGACTTTTGTTCAGAACTTTCGCTGGTCTTTGATTAGGCCCTACATGGTTATCAAGCAACGTATTCGAATACTCGTAATGTCATCTTATCATGGAACTATGCTCTTCACACACACCTAATACCATTGATCGCCTATGCAAATTCGAGATCGCTATGTACTGAGCCAGAAACATCGTTGACAACTCCAAAAGAATCCTGCTTACCACGGCTCCCAGGAAGGAACAACATCATTATAGTCATCTGCATACGCCAACCCCTTCGTAAGATACGGGTCCGCCGCCGCAGCAGCAGCAGCAGCCCTCCTCTCAATGTCCACCTCCGGCGTCACCCACGGCAGGCCTAGATACCCACCCTGCCTCACGCCCAACCCCAGACCCAACTGCGCCCCCAACCCCCTCGGTAGCATACCCAACTGCGCCCAAAATAGTGCTCCCACCCCCGGCACAGGAGCATACATCCCGCTTGCCAGCAACTCCCTCCTCACCCTCCCCACCTCGTACTTCAGCGCACTACTGCCCTCCAGCAAGTCGTAGAACCTAGCCTTCCACCCCAGCATCTCGCACTCGAGTTTCGCAAGATTACTCGGCTCTCCAGCGACCGAGCCAGAACCCCACTCGCCCTGCGGCGCTCTGCCGAGGAACTTGCGCGTCCAGGTCTTCAAGTCGGCGTCGGGTTCTCCGCAGCCATACAATTCTGCGAGGAGGGAAACGGGGTCCTCGTATGTGACGGCGTGCTTGTACATGCGGTCGAGCGTCACGCCCTTCAGCTCGTCGAAGCCCGTGACGAGACCCATCTTGTGCATGCGTATGTCTGCAAGGAGGAGCGGGTCGCCCGCGCTGGGGCTCTTGATTACGGGTGGACCCTTCCCGCCCAGCGAGAGCACGCCCTTCGCATCCGGGCTGTACGACCCCGTGTACAGCAGCTCGAAGAAACGCAGGACGGTGTCGGCATCCAGGAGTTCGTTGAGCTCGAGATACCGGCAGCCACCTTTCTCGAAGGCGCGGTGGATGCTGCAATAGTTCTCGAGCAGAGCCGCGGGCACAAGGACGGACTTGCCTTTGTAGATGAATTCGTTGGATTCGGTGGACGGTGTCGCTTCGGCGCGCGGCACATCTTCGAGAATGTGCTGGCGGGGATTGTAGATCTGGACGGACGAGCTGCGGAGCGTCTCGGGGAGGGCGAGGAGCGGCTTGCAGACCGTGTCGTACCATGCGTCGATTTCCGCGCCGGAGAGGGCCGCCACGTCCGAGTAGCAGTGGCTGCAGTACCACTTTTCCGTGCCGCGACGGCGGTGGTATGGCTTGCGCTGCTGGTAGTAGTATTCCTCGTAGAAGGGGCGGTTTGTTTTGGATAGGGTGTGGCCGAACTCGAGAGAGGTGAGGGGACGGCCGTTGCCGCCTGAGAGCTTCTTGATGGTAGCCATGATCTTTCCGAAATGGAGGCCGTGAGCCAGGCGACCGTATGCGGTCTCTTTCTCGGCTTGCGGGCCGCAGGCGATGAGGAAGTAGGCGTGGATCATGTGGTGGATCAGGGTGCCGATGATGGCTCCAGATCGGGCTTGCTGAAGGGCATCCTTGTTGAGGTAGATGGAGACTCTTTTTACCTTGAGGTCGAGACCCCAGCCGTGGGTATGTGTGGCTCCTGACAGGTCGGGATGCAGCTTCCTGAGTTCGAGATATACCGCGTTCTTTAGGTGGCCTGCGAACAACATCTCGTCCAACTTGTTGAAGATGCGGAATGGGATCTCCAGCGCATGGCCCTCCTTCTCGAGCGTCGATGCTCGAATTCGGATGTTTTCCAGTACATTCGCCGCATTGGGGCTGTTCTGTGGGTCCAAATGATTGACAAGGAACGCAACAGCCCAGTCAATGTTCCATCCTAGATTTCGGCCACACTTGATACGAGGATCTTGTAACCGCAGAGCAAAAGCAGGCAACGAGCGCGAGGCATGTAATGATGGTTGCTGGTTGTAGGACTCAGGATCAGAGTCATGTTGATGATGATAGTAAGGCGAATACCTCGACACGACCAGAGACCGATCGACGTATGGATTGAGACTTGGAGGACAAAATGGCATCAGGACGTATCAAGGTGGAAGAGAGTGGGGTGCAGCTGAGCCATGCAGTGCAGCCATACACGTGAAGATCGCATGCAGATATGGACGGATGTCGAGGTCTGCAGGGTGGCAGTTTATATAGCCTGAAATCCGATTTCGACGTTTTCTGAGTGCAAACGGTGCTTCGTGTGAAAGAGCCAAGAAGTGGTCTTGTGGTTCGCTGTGTCACATCACAGCAGATAGTTGGCGTTGTCCAAGCGCACGCATCCACGTACTTGTTTGCCTCTAGCGTTTGGCTAAGGGTCAAATGGAAGTGCATAACTTTGTACTCGTCAGGCATTGGCAGGAAGAAAGCCCAGCGAAACCAGTCGTGACGTGTGATTCGTCGATTGCAGATAAATGGGCATCTATTCGGGGCCCGTCGTGTTCGGGAAGCGTTGCCGACCTAAGAAGTAGAAGCTACGATGGTTACCTAAAATTAAGAATGAGTTATTTCTCCCGCTGGCCCTTCATCAGTCTCCCGCATCACGGTTGCGTGTGTCCCGGCGAAGGGCATCGACATGATTGCGAACGGCAGCGAGCCGTCCTGCGAGGGCCTAGAAGGCAGCAGTACAAGGTGAAGGCAGTTATGTGGATACTGATATCTACGCAGATGAAACAAGACACAGGGGGTAACATGGAAAATACCAAACATGAAATATACAAAACATGGCGTAGCTGTAGGGGCACTTCCTTGGTGGCGATGCACACACGCTTATAATGAGATGTACGCTGGATCAGGGCCAACTCGCTTCCGCCTCTTACGTTTGTCGTCCCGCGCATACAGTACGTGGGCATCGTCAGTGGGATGAGTCAAGCAAGCGTGCCAGTGCTCACACGCACGTGGGGGTTCATGCAGGCGAGCGGGCTCACAAGGCTATTATTGCTGGCACCAGCAGGATTCTAGTAGTCGCGTCGGGGTCCAGGAGGGCCGGGAGGATATTCGCCAGGCCTGTCGCCAGCCACGCTCCTGCCGCTCACGTCCCTACCGTAATCCCTGCCACCGAGATCCCTTCCGCTGCCGTCGCCGTAGTGCTTTCGCCTCAAGGCTGCAAGCCTCTTCTTCTTAGTATGTGCGTTCACGTATGTACCGATTATGAAGCCGATAATGTTGAAGAAGGGCACCCAGGTGTGCTCGGGCAGGAATTGCTGGGCGAAGGCCAAGGAAATTGGCGATACGATCCAGCTCACCTTCATGACTGGCATGAAGCCAGCCTTGACGGTAGCCTTGACCTGATGGAAGGTGCGTGCGCCAGCAATCACGGCCATGGACACGAGGTATATCGAGTTTTGGATGGGGGAGATCTAGACGTGTGAGCGAGCTAGCAACGTCATGGTGAGCCACCGGCTTACAATGAGATTGCTGATGAGAATCTGCATGATCTTGGCCTTGAGGCTCTTGCGCCCGCGGAAGATCTTCTGCAGAATGCTGATCAGGACGTGGCCAAGCGGGGCACTAATGAAAGCGCCGTAGAGGGCCATCTTGGGAACGCGCGAGGTGAAGTAGTGGCCGTGCTTGCTCCTGTCGTGGGCGATCCACGAGGCAAGGAACTCCTGCAGACCCGAAAGGGTGCCCGAGGTGAGCATCTTGGTGCGCAGAGGGTTCTCCTGCAGGTGCTTCAGGTACGCCTGCGGCCGGCCGTCAGTACAATCGCACGCAGCGCGGCCAATTGCTCGCACGCGCCACTCACCGCGAGGTATCCGTTCATGCCGCCCTTGGTGACAGCCTCGCCAACATTCTTCAGCAGGTCGTCCTTCCCCTTGCCTGCGGCGTCGGCGGCAGCGCCCGCAAGGCCCTCGACCGACTTGGTGACCGTCTCCTTCTCGAACTTGACTGACGACATGGCGGCGCGCGCTCAGTGGTGCTGGACGGGCGCAGGCGGGTGGGCGCGTGAGAGGGGGTGCAGATAGCCGCGGTGCTGGGGCAGAGATGGGGTGGAGCTGGCGATGGGGATGGCTGGGCGGCGTGTTTGTTGTCAGGGCGCCGACACCCTCGGGCTGTCGTCCCAAGCGGCTAGCGCCGTTCCATTCGGCAATTGTAGATGGCTGATGCGGTGGACGCGCAGCTCAACACCACGGATGCCGTGTCCGCTGTGCGGCTTCATGCCCGTCCGTCCGCAGCTTGGGTCGGCAGAGCTTCCAGCAGCATCTGCGCACTCGTCTGCGTGCTCGGGCTGCCGCAGGATCGATGAGGCGGCTGCCGACCTGTGCGAGGACACCTGGGCATGATGCAGGCAGCCTGGCCTCATCTGAGTACCATCACTTCGACATGAATCGTCGTGCGCAACACATACATGGCGTGGCCGGGTGCTGGGATTCGTGCGTGGAATGTGCAGGTGATATGGAGGCGTCTCCTCGACTCACCCAAGTGCGCCTTCTACGTGGGGCAGCAGCGCGTCTGCAGCACGCTGTCTTGTGCGTGACGGAAACGGCAAGTCGCACTGTGGAAAGAGATAGCACGGGTCCTACCAGATGGCGCATGGATGAAGCGGTGTGCGACTCCAAGGTCTCGTCGAACGCTGTCAGGCTTCAGGCCTGCTGCCCGTCGCCATATGACACCCGACTTCAGTGCCCTGAACGATCGCTCAGGTGGGACGCCTGCGACCGAGAATCGACTTCTGGCTGTACGTTGACATTCGCATGCCTTCCAGAAGCCTCACCTCTCCCGTTCAGCGCGAGCATGGGCGCGGGTCGCCGTTTGCCTTCGCTCTTGCCAAGAACCTTCACCCGTTGCCAAAACAGCCTATCTTGCCTCTGCCATCGTAGCCCGTCTCCTAGAATACTGCCCATCATTACTTCACCGAACCAATACACAGGGCTGCGGGCTGGTCCTTTGCCCACCCACCTCAGCTCCGCGTCACTCACTTCCCGCTCTTTCGCAGTGCGCCCACCACTTCACGACGTTTGTGCAACATCAACTCGAAAATCGGGTACTGCGTCTAACGTAACAAAAAGCTTCGCCGATATCTACACAATTGCACGGCAGTTCCTATCACCCTGCAGCTTCAATGATGCGCGTAGGTACATCCAATGCAAGCTCTCATGCGCCTGCTGACAACAAACGCAGACGCACAGCGTTCCGAAGCGCAGAGCGCCCGCGTGTACGCACGTCAGCATGGAGCGCATCCCGTTGAACGTGTCTGATGGCTTTGCGTGCCCAGGTTGTGGCAACTACCGAGCGCTGGGGTTTCTCTACGTCTGCCGACAGGAGCGCGACGTAGCCTACTCCGAGACTCATACGGCCAATTCGCCGCACGGGACCCGCTCAACCAAGTCGGATCTGCGCCGGGAGATGGAGGATGTTGGCCTGAGTGAGAGCATCATTGCGACCGCGGAGAAAGGCCTGTACACAGACCAGCAATTGGAGAAGTTAAAGGCGAAAAAGACGGAACTCAACGGAGTCGTTGCCAGATCTCTTCGGGCTGAGCAGATGAGGGACACAATAGTCCACGTGCCCTTCAACGACACTTTTGAGGCACTCGAGGTACGTTGGCTGAGGAGCATCAAAACCAGGCAACTACAGCCCTATGTCAAAGAATTGAGTAGTGCATCACCCTTCTTGAGATGGCATAGTGTACTCAGACATCTTTCCAGGCATCACGGGCCACCGGACAAAACGCGCGCGATTCCAGGCATCATTTGCTTTAGAGGCATGTGCAGGACTACACTAACACGTTTCTCCAGACAGTCCCGAGCTGCCAGGTAGTTGCCTGTCACGCCTGCCGGCCGTACTTTAGAGATCGCATATCCATGTCCTTCGATGCGGTCTTTAGAGATGAAGTCCTACCTCTCCAACCTACCGAAGCAGACTCTCTGCCCGTCAAGTCAGCGCAGATCATTCGGAACATCTCTTGTCGTCCAACCCCGGCTCCACTACGCAAGACGATTGAAGAGAATACGCCAACCACACTTCTGGTGTCCTCCTGTAGCCCGGATGAGTCGCCCTCTACGCCCTCGCAATCCAGCATGTATACCTACAAGACCACGCAGTCCGAGATCGACACCCTGAACACCACCCGCCATCACCGCCGTCGCTTCTACAAAATGGGACATCGTTCCTCGGGCGAGCTCGGTCGGGATCTTTCGCGTCAAATGCCGCTATTCTTTCGCCAGGGACTCAAAGAGGCATTCAAAGGCATTTTCCGTGCCACGGCGCGAGACTCCAGCTCGTCAGGCTCCAACATTACGCTTCCTATGCCTCACACGGCCGCTGCTAGAGACACCGCGGACGTGACTGCGATGGGCGAGTTCGACATGGGTGCGCTACGCCGCGTGAAGCGCCAGAAAGACCGCTTTGATCTGAGGCAGGGCCACGGGAATGGCGTTGGTGCATCGGAACAAGACGCCCAGAATTGTGTACTGAGGCGGGATATGTCGAGCAGGAGTGACGGCGAGTCGGACAGTTCTGGATCGATGGCCTCGGTCTACTCCTGTGTATCGGAGGGAAGCGAAGTGGAAGTGGATGGCGGAGTGGCACTGACTGAGGAAGCGGTCGAGACGCATACTCCAGATATTATCAGCAATCCGGAGAGCATCATGACGCAGGTTTAGATGCAGTCAGCGTGGACGTCGTACAGGCGGGCTCGGCTCCTCAGTTGATGAGCGGTCTGCGTTGCCAGTCATGACAAGAGGCATCACCCAGTGCTCCAAGGCACGAAACTGTGCTGAACGCTCCAGCTTCCGGATCGTGGAGGCAAGAAAACACTGCTTTGCTCTTTTAAGAAGATGTAGGCGTTGAGGGCGTTCTAAACTGCTTTGTTACAATACCCCTGGGCTAGTGCTTGGATTAGTTTGGCAAAATATCCTCAAATCGGTTGCGTCAGTTTTTGTTCTGCTCACTTGCACGAGTGATTTGTATCTTTGTGGTCAAGATTCAGGCTTTGGTCTATCCGCGAGGCCATGTGCTCTCCCCACAATCCCTTCTTCGAGACTTCGCAGAAGCGCAGGGTACAGATGCTGACTAAAGAGGAAGGACGAGCGCATCAATCAAGTGTAAACTTGTATACAAGCGGTTAGCCCCACCCGAAGGAGGAGCTTGGCGTGTGATTATCCGCAACCCTATCTCACCATCAGACTGTAAACCTTCCTAGCTCGGTGTTGCCTTCAACAATGATAGGCAAAATAAGGAAGGTTGTTTCCTCTCCGGCCGACTAATCCAAAAAGATGCCACCACTTATTGCCGGAATGGGTCCGCTGTCTGCGCCACTCACTGGTGCCGAGAGCACGAATGGCTCGGGGATGATGGGTGGGGGAGGTGGAGGGGAGGGAGTGAGGCGCGGAGAGGGGATGGGTGGCGGGCAGGACAGGGGAGAGACGCGAAAAATGCTACACAGAGAGAAACTACGCACTAAAACGGGATGTTTAACTTGTAAGTGCGCGAAATTTGTGTCGAAAGCTTGCTCTGATAACATGCGTCGGCAAGGCAGGAATCGCAGGAAAAAATGCGATGAGAAGACTCCTGCATGCAAGCGATGCTTACAGTCAAACCGAAATTGTCTCTGGCCCACTTCGGAAGAACTCTTGGATCGCCGCTTTGCAAGTCACCAGAGATCTCGGTATGCTCTAGGCATGGCATCGGAGGATCAAGACATCCTAGCAAAGGCCTTCGTGGGATCATCCCTAGTCTGCCGGCTTTCTCGACCTGTTGTGCTTGGAGCAATATCAGAGAGTTTGGAAGGGTTCCTGGTACGACATTTCGTCCAGAAGTACTATCGCTCGCTGGTTCTACCGAACTGCCATCCAAGTGAGGAAACGTTCTATCATCGAGACCTAGTTATTGATCGCAAGCAGGATTTGCCAATGACTGGATCTCAGAGATGCAGCGACTCATGCGAGATTGGAAAAGTGTCCGGTACTCAGTGCTTTGCAATGCTGCTTCGAATGTCCACTTGATCGAGTCGAATGGTCAGATGCAGGAACTTGCGTTGACCTACTACTCACAAGCGTTAAGAGGACTGTCAGACTACCTCAGCCGCGCGGAGCTGTTGGCCAATTGTAACAGCATCTTGATATCGATGATGCTGTTGTGCCTCCACGGGGTGAGTCGATAGAGATTTTAGACGGTAACACAACCACGGTCTGCTAATGGCAACACCAGTGCATAAGACGAGGAACATACTTTGACATTCCCCGACACCTAACCGCGGCAACACGCGTACTCTCTGTACGACTCTCCAAGCAACATCGTGTCATTACAAACCCATTCGACAGATTTTCCCTCGAATGCGTGCTCTACCAGATCTTCCTCACTTCTACAGGCTTGTGGTCGGACGACGAGGTGAACCACCGCCTGGACTTTCATCCCGATCTAGACTTCTGGCTTCGAGCGGAGCGCCTGCTTCACCAATCGAATGTCTTCCCGGATCAGAGCACCAGCACGAACAGTCCTGCACTCGGCCTACCAGTCCGCCTGCTCAGGCTGGCTCTCACGGTAAAACAGATGTATCAGCGCGCTGTGTCGTACGACGCGGCCACACTCAATGACATACGCAGTGAGATGATACTCTGGGAAGATTTGGTGCTCCGTGACCAAGCTCCATTTCCGCTGTCCGCCACCTCGCCACAGAACTCCCCGTACTCGAACGCAAGCCACCTGTACATTCTCGTCATGTCGCTGCTGTCAAACCAACTTTCACTCGGCAGCACAGCCGATCCGCCGACCGTACCGCTCCCCGCCGACCCAGAAAGCTGGCAAATCCAAGAGGCGACGCGGATCCTCCGCGTCCACGCCAATGACCCTGCATGGGCGTCCAGCTTCATTGGCACCTGGCCTGTGTACACGCTTGGCTTCTTCCTTGTGCGGGTTGAGCATGTGCAGCTTGTACGCAGGGATCTGAGGCGCAGATGGGAAGTGACGGGGTTCAACCAGGTCGCGAGGTTCTGCAACGATGTGGAGAGGACGTGGGGTGAGAGAGGGATGCTGGGTAAAGACGGGCTGGGGAGGGTGGGAATGTGTTGGAGGGGGACGTATCATAAGGCTGGGGGAAAGGGGAGGGGTGAGGGCGCTGGCCCGCGGTAGGAATGGGCGGCAGGGCTGTTTGGGCGTAACGGTACAAGGGCCAGCACAGTACTGCAGCTTATACACAACCTCAACCATGTCTACTCCCAACCTGGAAACCGCAGCTTCTTCCTCAAGTACAGTTGCACCTGCGCATCGACGTCAGATCCGCGGGGAGACTACAATTCCAAGCGTTGCAATCGTCGCATGACGCCCGAGTCCGACATCCTGTGCAGCTAGATCAACCCCAACGTCAGCATTGCAGAAGAACACATGCACCGCAGCTCATCTGGTAGGCGACCCAATATTCTTGTATTGCTGCGACTAAAGCCTGAGCTAGAGTACCCGTATCTGCCTCGTAGATGTGCCATCTAGTCATTGGAAGAAGACCACTTGTCCGTAACAACGCCGTACTCCGTCCCAATGCGGCCACTCATCGCCCTGACGTTCCGTCTCCCCGTCATTGTTGATCGTGGTATCTTAGCGTTCGACATGTCGTTCGATGTTACTCGTTACGAAGGTGACGTAGGGTCGGTCGTCTAAGATCCGGGGTTGGGGTTCATCTGCGCGCGTTAGCATCCGCGTCTGCGTCGCTGCTGCCGGTATGCCTACCTTGCGCTTGCCGCCGGTCAGGGTGACGTTTACGAAGCGGCGGGTGTATGTGAGCCTCTTCTTGGCGCGGCCCTTGGGCGTCTTCTTCTTCTCCTGGGGTTCGACCTTTGCGGGCGTTAGCGCTGGGCAGCGGCGGCGGGTGCGACCGAGGGCATACCTTGGGAGTCTGCGACTTGACCTTTCCGGCACGAGCGAGGGATCCGTGAACTTTACCCATGATTGCGGTGTTGGAGATTTGCTGTCCTGCTGGGGTTCGGCGGCGATGGGGTGGATTCGACGCTCTGTGGCTGCTTCGCTTGTCGGGGAAAGTTTTCGCCGGCCGCGCTTGCCCCTCAGTCACTGAACGGAAGGTGGCGGTCGATGCTCAATGACGAGCCGGCTCGAGGAGAGCCACCTCTCTTCGTCTGCACATAGTATTCAGCGTTCATCGCGCTTGGATCTGCTGCAACCCACTTTGAGTCATTTTCGCAGTCGCTGTTTGGTCGCGCTTCGTGGCTGCATTGACTCATCCGCTTGATCCTCCACTCACTGTCCATGACCCGGAATGACCATCTGGATTGCTTACCATTAGATGCCGGTTCGCTCGTTTTGACTCGAATTCGGACACTCTCCCCCAAGATCCGCCGTTGCTTCTAGGCCATGCCCAAGAAGCACCAGCCCACCTATGCATCGACCAAACCAACATACGTCCACCCGTCCCTGCAAAGCTCGCGCAACGCAGCTTCGTCTTCCACTCCGTCCCCACAGACCGTGAACGAACGCATACAGCAACTGCGCCGCGAGCAGGCCCCGCGCGCAACCGCACAACGTAGAGATGAGGTCAGTGAAGTTGTCAGTGGTCAACGCACCGTGCCGCCCGAGCTGAGGCGGATTCTGCATATGGCAGAGGTTGACGCGCCGAAACCGAAGCCAGGTAGACGGAGAATGCATGGCGAAAGACCGCCGCCGGGGCCCGCCGCCCCCACCAGCTGGCTGAGCAAAAGCAGATGGGCGCCAGACTATGCGCGGAAGCCCAAGACATTCGACGGGCATGACAATGGCGTCGGTCGATTTTGCAAGCTGGCGAGTGTTCACAATGAAGAATTCAAGGTATGTGGCCACAACCTCCTGGGAAAAGGCATGGACTTGCACGGTGGGTGACGGAGACCGGCAGGCTAGGTGCAAGATGGTCATGAGATCTCGGGCCAAGACGCTGCTGAAGAGTGGAGCTTCGGCCTCACAGTTGTTAATCTCTCGTCACCCACTACGAGCCCAGTGTGCACGTTTCAAGGTACAGCGGTAACTTGAACAGCGTCTACCGCCGGCACGAAGCCTCATTCACCACTGTCTGCGAGCGTTCGCATTGCATTGGGAGGAAGTTGCAATATACGAGCAACATTACCTTCCCGCGCTGCCGTTCGCGCTCAAAGAGGCGATGCTCAGTTACCTCTCCCTATACGGGGAGCGATCATGTCTAGACTTCAAAACGTTCAAGATCCTGTTCCAGAGCGACAGCGAGGTGGAAGGCGCTTCAGGATCTGAGGACATACAGTTCCTCGATCTGACAGGCTTGCTGAACGAAGGATATACGTTGAAGGACCTGGAAAAGTCGCTCCAGCGGTCAGGTCTCGGCGCTGCTGTGACGAGCAGCATGGCTGGCCTCTCCCTATCCCCTTCGAATCGACAGGACAAAGCGCCCATCGAGATCGTCGACTCCTGGGAAGATGAAGCAGAAGACGGCGCACTCTCCGTCCTTCCCCCGACGCTCACCGTCCCCATCTTCCCCAACCTCACCCGTCTCTCTCTCGGGCACCCCGGAACCGCTGCCTCCTGGACCGACCTCCTCTCTCTCTCATCCCACCTCAAGACCCTCACCCATCTCTCGCTCGCATATTGGCCGCGGCCCAGCACAACCCCCAACGCAGCAACCACCTCCATGGTCGCGCGCCACGCGACCGTCTCCCTCGGCGGCTCGCACTTCTACAGTGACCTCGACGACGACTGGCACGAGGCCGCCAATATCCTGCGCCGCCTCTCCCTCAACACCTACTGTCTCAAGTGGCTCGACCTCGAGGGCTGCACCTGGCTCAAGGCGCTGACATGGGACCTGCCCTCCAACGCCGCACCGTACAGATCGGCCGCCGTCATGTCAGGCGCCGACGAGTGGGTGCGGCCCTCGTCGTCGCCAGGCCCCGACTGGAACGGCGCGTGGCGGCAGATTGAGTACATCAACTTGTTCCAGGGCTGGATACCCAGCGATACGAAGAGCCTACAGAATATGCCCGCCGGGGTTGTTCCCGTGCAGCTGATGCGGTGGCTGAGAGAGAACGGGAGGAGGTCGGGTGTGAAGCAGGTGCTGGGGGACGAGGGGGCGTACGGGGCTGTCGAGTGGGTTGAGAAGGAGAAAGTCGCGCGCAGCGTCGGGTTTGCGGTGCAGAGTCTCAGGAAGGTGGGTGGGGGAAAGTATTGTCGGGTGGACTATGGCTGGGGTGGAGAACCGTAGTGGGGAGGCTGGCAGGCGCAGAATGCCACCGCGAAGTGCATGCAGTACCTTTGAAGACAATGGCAGAGCTGTATGCTGTTGTGTCTGTTTTAGCCCCTTGCGGAGATGCGTTGCTCTCCCGAGACTGTCACTGCAGGATGCACGGTGCGATACTTCCCACATGGCATGAGAAACTCCGTCAGCAGCACTGGCCGTCTCGTCCGTGCCGCTGGGTAAAATGGCTCGGCGGACCCGAGTCGCAAAAGCTTGAATTTCCCAACGTCTAGATCCTGATGCACGGTCCAGCATCGTCCTAGCGTCCCTGCGCGATATCTTCCTTTCATCTTGCACTATGATGTCCCAACGGACAAGGCGGGCTCGTGCGGATATTGTCAATAGTTGGAGTTGTGGAGCAGACAGCGAGCGGCGTGGTTTCACTGGAAAGGGTGGCGGGTGAATTGTGAGTAAGCATGCCTAACGTGTATCGCGTGCTGTGTGGTGTTGATGTTGAGTGCATGGAGGCGCTTACTTGCTATCAAGCGCGCAATGGAGCTTGCATCGGCCGTCACGAGAAGGGTCTTGGCAAACAGCGTTCTTGATGCACGCATAGACTGATAACAATCGATGAGGCATCGGTACAATCTTGCCTTATCTACACCGCGTGATAAAACGCCACCGCAAGGTGTACTTTGGACGCCGAGTACATACGGTACGGTGGTCTGAGCAGCGCGTACTGTGCCCCAACCTGCCAGAATCAAGTCGTATGCCAGGGTATTGAGTCAGTCTCTGGGCCATTGTCCTGCTTTGGTCGTTGAGATCATACATACAGTGCGTACGTGCTCTGAGGTGGTCTGGCTCAAAGTGAGACATTGATCTGAGAAGAAACAGAGCATGATCATGGGAATTGCGTAGTACGGAGAGCACTCGAATGAGCGACCATGTTCCCCAGGCCCTCAACGCAGCGAATGAGGCTGTCTGAGACCATCACATTTAGTGCATGCCATTGTGACTCTGTGGTGGTGTCAGCGAAGGTGTCTGAGGACGCCACCGCAATGATGGCCAGAGTCACGGCAGGGTAAGCCCGTCGCTGTGACACCCGGTTATGTTTCGCAAGGGCTCGGTCCGCCTGTCAGGCCAGTACCCGCTACACCCTCCTTGGCATATACACCCGTTGCTGTGTAACTCGGCTCCCTTTCTTCGTGAAAATCGGGCACGAGGGATTGTAGGCATATGCATGGTCTGCTCGATGGGGCAACCAACTCACCGCATCGTACAGAGAGACCGGGGGATTTGGCCGAGACGGTTTGCTGGACAAAGTGAAGTCATTGAGGTGCCGAGTCCTGAAACGCTTTGCACTTCATTGAAGATTGGCAAAGAAGAACACGCGTCTCTAATTCTTGGTTTCTTGGGAAGTCTGGAGTGTTTCTTGAGTGGGTCTCGGAACGAACGTTCGTCTGGGTTTCTGAGACAACCAACATGGGCAGCTGGTTTCCCTGCCACCCTCAAGTGCTATCTCTGCAACGAAGCCAAGAGAGCTTGACCCCACGCGTAGAGAAGGCAGAAGCGACGCAGCTTGGTAAAGCCGGACACGGAAGCATCAACGCGTGGTGCATGCACAAACAACGGTAGGGCGATTACCGGCCCCGCATGAATTCCGACCCGCAGCGTTTCGAGTGACGTTGGTGGGAACGTATCAGATAAATAAAGACGACGGCTTCATGCATCTTGATATAGCGTGGGATGTGTGCATTTCCCCTCATTGCCCAATATCGATTTTGTACGATGGGGCGGACCAGGTGTTGGATACCGATAATCAATATGCAGGTTAAGGTAGTGTACGATAGATCGTAGATAGTAGTGCATATCCCGAGATCGACGGCCCGTAGTCTGGGAGAATGCAAACATAGAGTGTGCAATGCCGAATCGATGAGACATGCCAGTGTCAACAGAGCAAAGACGTAGCGATTAGGGCAGGGCTCAGTCTCGCTCATCGCGATTGACGAAAATAGAGCACCGGGTTGCTCGCGGGAGGAGTGCAGTCAGCAAAGCTTGGTACCGCCACAACGCATGCATCATGCTTTGGAGTACTCGTCAACCCGGGCGCGCTGACTGAGGCTCATCGGGACACATTATCGCGGGGCGGAGCCTGTGCACACAGTAGTGCTCGGGCATGACGACGACAACGACTGGAGAGACAGTCCACCAGTCACGGCAGCACAGCAGCGAACGTGTGTGTAGAGACTAGAGAAGCAGTCGATCACTAACTGAATAGCGTCGAAGCGGCGGGACGTTTATTGTCATCTACATTGGCAGGCCGTGGCAGACGGCCAAAGGTGTCAGTCGCTGAGATTGCGCAATTGATACGGAGTGCTGGGGTGCCCGAGCCGGAAGCGGAAGATGGGTCGAGGCTGCGTCTTGTTTCCGTCTGCCGCGCAAATGACAGCACTGAGCACGCAAGCGTGCAGAGGCGCGCCAGGGAGGCTCACGAGTGACATAAGACGGTGATTCGGATTCTCGCGGGTCCCGTGGCGTAGCAGCGTCGCCAGAAGAAAGGGGCAGTGAGCAAAATAGGCACGATGAGAACGAGGTTGCGTCGTCGAATCAGGGCGTTGCCCGGGGCAGTGGAGCGCAGTGGTGGCGCGCAGGCTTCGCTTTGCAGGTCGCTGAGAACGCGTGGCTCTCAGCTCCGCTCCGAAACGATGATGGAATGTGGACCGCAGCGCAGCGCTGCGGGCGAGTCGTTTGCAGAGTGACAGCGACGGTGGGCGGGCGGTCCACAAAAGCCGTCGCAGAAAGACAGCGATCTTCGCAAGCGCATCTTGAAATCGCAGGTGTGGTGGAGCGCCGGACAATCTTGGGCGAGGGCGGCGTCATTGCATGGGCAACGACCCGGCAGCGCCCTGAGGCTTGCCAGTAGCGCCTTCCTGAAACTCGCCTCCAGGCTCCATGGGGGTGCCACCCACGAGGCTGGAGGCTGCCAGCGGTCGCGGCCTCCGCCCAACAAAAGCCGCAGTCGCACGCTCAACCGCCCGCCCGCTGTTTCTTCCATCGCTGTCTCTCAGTGCCCTGCTCATTGTGTTCTTGTGCCCTTGCTGCCGTCCCCAAGCGCCGCTCTCCTCTCGCCTGCATCGGGCCTGGCTCTGTCAGTGTAACGGTCGCGGCTGCCGGTGCTGATAAGACATTTGGCCCAGGAAGGGACTGGTCTCCCGCAGCGCACCTACCGCGCGAATCACACAGGGGAGCAGGGGTCTGTGCTTGTGCCTGCACCAACAATCTGCGCGCTGCAATCTGAAAACAGCGCCGCATAATAATCTTATATCTCCCGCGCTGCCCCCGTCCAGCTATTCTTTCGCATCCGCCTCCACGCCTCCACGCCCCGGTCAGGTACCGCTCTTCCTGCTCTCCCTACCTCCCAGGCTCTGGCCACCCGCGGCCACGATGCTCTCCTTCAAGAAGGCCCTCGTGCTTTCCCTCGCCGTCCTGACCCTGTTCTTTCTCTTCAAGAGCACCCACTCGTCCCACTCACCCGCCCCGTACCGCAATGCCAACGACATGCCCAAACCCACGTCCATGCAGCCGAAGCCCAAGCCCAAGCCAGAGACCAAGGCGGACGTCGCCAAGGCAGACAAGGCCTTCGACACGCCCGACACCCCCAAGAAGGTCAGGGAGCAGATTCCGTTGGACGAGCTGCACAAGAGGCCGCTGCGCAAGCAGCTTGAGTACCAGTTTCCCTACGATGTCGACTCCAAGTTCCCAGCCTACATCTGGCAGACGTGGAAGTCGACGCCGGCCCAAGGCAACTTCCCTGAGGAATTCCGCGAGGCCGAAGCCAGCTGGACCATCAATCACCCAACCTTTGTACACGAGGTCATCACCGACGATGTGGCTGTGCACCTGATCCGACACCTCTATGCCTCTGTTCCCCAGGTCCTCGAGGCCTACAATGCGCTGCCTGTTCCCGTCCTAAAGGCCGACTTCTTCCGCTACCTCATTCTCCTTGCCAGAGGCGGCATCTACTCCGACATTGACACTCACGCGTTGAAAAGCGCCGCCGATTGGATCCCCTCGGATGTTCCTAGCGATTCGTACGGCATGGTCATTGGTATCGAGGCTGATCCGGAACGCCCGGATTGGGCGGACTGGTACGCGCGCCGCATCCAGTTCTGCCAATGGACTATTCAATCCAAGCCTGGCCATCCCATTCTGGTGGATGTGGTTGCAAACATCACGCAAGAAACGCTACAACGCAAGGCCGACGGCAAGCTCACCAAGGACACCAAGGGCATAATCGAGTTCACCGGCCCAGGTCTGTGGACCGATAGCGTCTTCTCCTTCTTCAACGACCCTGCATACTTCGACATGAGTACCAGCAAGGGCAACATCACCTACACCCACTTCACCGGCATGAAGCAGCCTAAGAAGGTTGGCGACGTAATCATCCTCCCGATCACGAGCTTTAGCCCCGGCATCAAGACGATGAACGCTGGCGAAGAGGACGACCCGATGGCTTTTGTGAAGCATCAGTTTGAAGGTACGTGACATTTCGCTCGAGTACTGGTGCTACTACTGTTCGCCCTTCAGTACCACACTGATGGGTGTCACTGCTGCCAATATCCGACGCGACGGAACCGACGTGGTCTAGAGCGCGTTTGGGTTGCCATGATGCAAATATGCTGACTCATGTATAGGCTCGTGGAAGCCCGAAAGCGAGCGCCACATTGGCAAGATCTTTAATTGATCAAATCCTTCGTTGCTTCGAACGGACGTCGCTTCGATAAAACCAGTCGATGGCGAGTTTCCTGTACATGATTTTAGACGTCAAATTCCTATTGTCGGACGGCGTGTTTGACGGACACAAACAATTTCACTAGGGCGAGGACACGGTGACCATTCCCAACGGAGGCATTCGAGATAAGTCTCTGTGGGCTCTGTGTGGCGATGCACAAGCACAGGCGTGGCGCTTTTTGCAGGACTCATTGGTTCAGCTGTGCCGCAGTTAGGCAATGGCCGTGGGTCCGAAGCAGGGCGTGAGTGCACACCAAAAAGCAGGATTGGGATCTGGGGTAGCGGCGTTTTCTTTTCACCACCTTTTCTATCATGTTCCCATATACCTGTTCTTCTTCCGGCAACAACACTTCAAGCGCTGAAGCAGTTGTTTCGAGGCCGCCGAGCCGCATTCCTTTAGGCGTTGGATCAGTAGTTCGATCTCACCGGAAGTTCATAGACGGAAAGGGTCGCTCGGTGGGATTCAGCATACGCGTGGTACTGAGCATTTTGTACAGACTTTGACTTGTCATAGCATGGTGTTGGTGGCTACCGGATTTGGCAGCCTGAGAGGTCGATATGGTTGCAGCAATTCAATCTTCACATAGAAAAACGCGCCTGGTTACGTGCACTGCAGGATTGAATTGGTACTGGCGTGGTAAGAATCCATAGTGACATTCTTGGAGTGGGTAATAGGAACCGCGACAGCCAAGATCATTCTACACATCGCATAGCATTATAGCACTCCACTCAAAAACATTCTTTATTGGTACCACCAATACCACAGAATCAAAGCGATGGAAGAAAAAAACGCCACTACGAAACTCGGGTATCTATCCTATCCAAGCCCCCCTCCCACCATGTTGGAAAATCCATTGTCTCTCCCACGCCATCACCTCCGCTGCAACCCACACCCTCCCTAAACTCCTCTTCCCTCACGCCTTCCTCCGCGAAAAAGCCCCCATCAGACTCTCCCAGATCAGTACCACCGTGTCCCCCAAGCTCGGCCGCTTCTCTATCTCGCGCTCCTCGCGCTCGGAACGGTGGCTGTGGTGCGAGCGATGACTTCGCGTTGAGTGGTGGCTGTGATGGCTCTGGCTTGACGGGCGGCGTGCGGGCGAAGGGGCCGCGTAAGGGTCGTACGGTGCTTGGTTTGCGTAGGGGTCGTAGGGCGTGAGATGTTGCGGAGTCGTGGCGTTGTAGGAGGAGGAGGAGGAGGAGGAGGGGTGGTGCTGGTGTTGCGGGCGTGGCAGCGGGGTTAGGGCGTTGGAGGTGGAGGCGTGGGGTTGATGGTGGGGTTGGGGTTGCGACTGAGACTGGGATGGGTGGTAAGGTTGCGATTGGGATTCGTAGTGGGGTTGCGGATCGTAAGCGTGTGGTTGGGAGGTGTACGAGGACATCTTGGGTGTTGGAATCGCGGTCGACGTTGTTGAAATCAGCGTGTGGTGTAGAGGTGTAGCACGGTATGGTACGTGTCCAGCAGGCCAAGGCAGGCCAGGCCGCAGTGATATATGAGGTGATGTTTTACTCGCCTGTCTGCGCTGATCACTCAGCCATTCTGATCGTCTCGCGTGTGCTGCGCAGCAGCGCGAACTCAACCTTGCCGATCCTATCGGATCTAATCCTGGTTGCAGACTGCCTCAGTGCACGCTGCACTACATTGTCTATGTAGGCTCTGCAAGTCACATCCAACGAAGATTCTTCTTCGATGACACATCAAGCATGAGGGAATTCATCTCATCGGATGCCTGCCCACTTCGCCGCTCGCGTGTCACATGAGCGTGCTCAGCCCTGCGTCGGGTGAGTCGGCTAGGCTACCCAAAACGCGCCGAAGACCACCTAGCTGCAACGGCGACAGAGGGCGCCGAGCGGCGTTCCGGTGCTGAGTCGCATAGGTCCAAAGTTCGCAGTCGGTGAACGCTGACGGGAGGGGCAAACTGCAGTATGACGTCGACGACTTGGCAGGTATGCTTGCCTTCACGGCATCGAGGCTGTTTGCAGAGAGAAGATTACAGGGTGCCTTGCGTTGATGTAGGGGGTGGGGAAGTGTGTGATTGTACGCATTGGGCAGCACTTGGTCGTTGATGGTTGGTCCTGTGTAAAGTTGGAGGTTGGCGAGGCTGAGTGGGACTGTCCGATCTGCGTAACGATGCGCATAGAGAATGGCCACCATTATTACTACAGAGCACAGCTAATCTGTTCAACAATCTGTGTCGCATACCATTTAGAGTTCGAATTACTGATAATGTTTTCGAGAAGGTAGTGGAAAAGACACGTACGTGCGAGGTATTTGGCCCTATTGATGGCAAGGCGAACCCCGGCTGATGATTTGTGATAGAATCACGGTACTTCCAGGATACTTCAACATGTGCTTATCCAGTGATTCCAGCGTTGATCGAAGAGAGAGCTTCCACCGGTCGCCTGTATGTTTTCTAGAGGTCGAGCAAGTATTTGGCACAACGATGGCTATCATCGACGGTTTCTTGAGGGTTTCGACCATTTACTGGCTATCATCTCATGACCTGCGCAGCGAGGCGTGGCTCACGACCATCTCTGGAGCTCAAGTGGACAGGTGAACTGACGTTTCGCATCTTGTGAATGCTACCAATTTTCCAGAAAAGAGGAATACTTTACGGTACGCCGAGGAAATGTGCGTTTCTATGTAGAAAGAAAGACTTCTCGATTAGTTGACCTGAACTCGCACTGACTTCTTACTCACGTTAGGACAGGAAGCTCACGCAGTTGGTGTTCTACCTCTTCATCTGTCATGGAACTCTCCAGAGAAGCAGTCCCTACAAGCAATCGCCAAATTTCGAATCATGCTTTTCATGTCACAGGCGTGACGAATTACCAACTCGAATAGGCCGAGCTTCCAATCCAAAGAAGAACTCCGACACACATATACCCAGATATGTCCAAGAATTCATGTAAGGTCATACATAAGGACTCGACTGTAGGCGAAGGTGCAAAGCCGCACCTCGCCGTTCATTCAGCTAAATTTCCAAGGCTTAGTATTACGGTAAGACGGCGAAACGATAGCCCTGCGAAACAGCCTAGCTGCACGACATGCCGTACGACAGGATTTTCAACGAATTGAGATCATTTAGTGGCTCCCTCTACATGCAATCACACGTTGAGTTTTTGACCCAATTTTTAGCAGAAAAGAAGCACGAAGTCAACTCCAACGAAGAACCGCATATCAGGATGTCTTGCAATCATGGTTTGTCCAGGAACTAGAAACCATCCGACTGACTCGCGACATTTTACAGACAATGAGGGGCCTCGTCGCCGAGAAATTGCATGGCGCGTGGGTGCCGAATGCTGGCTCAAGCGTGGGGGCTGGTTCTCTATTTCACCTCCTAACCGTCTCCAAGAATTCGCCAGATCAGGCAAGGTCGCATCGTCGAAAAACCCCAGAGCTATTTACATTCACCCCAATCTCTCCTCGAATGACAAGCCTTCGCTCAGAGGGTCCACTAACCTCATTCAGATGAATTCTGGAATTTTGACTGGTCGCATCGTGGCTGAAGGTCTTGTCGAGGGAATGCGGCTGAGCTTGGCGCTCCTTTGGCCTACCGCGCCACGAGCTAGTATCGTACGGGAGCTTCGCTGAGTTTCTCGCCCGTGTAGGCTTCACGTTGCTTGCCAATGATGGTAGTATAAGAGTCGCTGGCGATTCCTTCCCTTTTTCTGTGCTCATCCAGTTGTGGCTAAACAGTTCACTTTCGTTTGATCGTTGCTCGCGAAATCGACTGTCGCTTTCGGAAGCCCAATTCTCGTCATTTGCATCCCGGCTTAATAGTATTTATCTGCATAATATTCACGCTCACCAAAATGCGCTCGTCTACCACGTTTCTCGCCGCAGCCGCAGCTCTCTTGACCTTTGCAGCAGCTACACCTCTGGAGCGACGATACAATGAATGCCGAGCACCTCAACAATGGCACGTCTGCGGAGACGGATGGGCAGGCTGCTGCTCCGTGAGCCCTTGCAAGGGCCCAGCAATCGCCAGTGGCTGCCCGGACGAAGGAGGCTCGAATCCCCCCACGTCCACGGTTGAATCGACTGAACCGTCTTCTGCGGCGTGCTCCAGTGCTGGACCCACCCCTGGAAACAATGACGTTGACAATAGGTGGTTTGACGGACCTAGCAAGGTCTGTAAGGAGGACGACTCAGATTGCAACTGGAAGCCTATGTTCCACACGATCAAGAACTACGATGAAGAGTTCGCCAAGAACTCCTCAAGTCAGTTCTATGCCTGGCAAGACGGAGCAATCGACAACAGCGTAAAGAGACGCGATGTCATTGCGGTCTACAAAGACATTCCCGACAGCGTAAAGAACTGCAGCATTCACTGGTATAAGCCCATGACTGGTATCTTCTACGGCACGTACGGCGACGGATCCTTCAATATCAGCTTGATCGATACCGGAGACAAGGGTCTCGAGGAAGCAGTCGGCGGAAAGATCAACTGGAAGAACACGGAGAAGTTCTTCGAGAAGCAGACGCGCACGGGAGCGCTCGACTTGGGCAACTGGGGCTGGAGCATTGGCGACACCTCGCTCAGCAACAGCGCGAAGCTTGATTGCTCGGGCAAGAAGGAGCTTGTTGTGCACTTTGCGCTGAGTGCTGGGGCCGAGGGCGCGGTGATTGTTGATCAGATCTCTGAGAAGGGCAAGGTGAATGGGTTTGTACAGAGAGCTGGCTGGGTGCTCAAGTACGAGTAGAGTTTTCATGTATGGAAGGACACATAATTTTCTGCCTCTTTTGTAGCCCGAGGGGGATTAACAGTGGCTCCTCCTCTTCGCTCGAGTGAGGGTAAATTTGTGCATCACATCAGCCGTGCAATCCAGGTAGTAGAAACGTTTAAACACATTGGCTGGTAAGGGAATTCTTTCCATCGGATAGCCCATGGATTACTCAAATCCACAAGACACAAAGGTCACCAGCCCTAGATTCCAGGAAGAGTCATTGAAATCTGAGAAATCACAAATGTTCGAGCATATATGAAAATCTCGGTTGAGTGTTGAGGAGGTGCATGAATTGGTTTCTCCGAGCGCATAGGTACATAAACTCATGATTCGACATTCCACCTCCTCGCCGAAGACCGGTCGTAGCACTTGACAGCGTGCCAGCTCCAAATACCTTGAACGCCTAGCAGACACGGCAACCCGTGCAAGTGCAAGTGCCACCGCCCGGGCTGCTACAACCACAAGCACTGCAGCAAAGTGAGCCGCCAGACTGACGAGCTTGAAGGGGTCGGGTGACCCGGAGTGCGACGTTCTCCAGCTTCGTGGTCGGAGCGTCGGCCTCGGGGGCAGGGTGGGCCATGGCGTTGGCGGCGAAAGCCAGAAAGATTGCGGCGTAGATATTTTTGCAGAGCATTTTGAGTGTTGAGTGGTCCCGTGAAGCGGTGGGGAGCTTGGCTTGAGGAGTGGCGAAACCAAGAAGAAAGTCTTTGAAGAGAGTTGTGAAGACCAGACTGGAGTGTTCAAAGGTTGTTGCGATGATGTTATTGTAAGAGGAGAATTCGTCCTCCTTTTTATACCCAAATCTACCCTCTACCCATTTATTAGTGAAGTCAGTCGTATATTCACGCTGCTTTTTATTGCCCCGGACATTCCCATATCTCCGTCCCGAGCTGCAACTTCTCGCTTCATTTTCCACGAGCTGCTTCTTGAGGTCTAGCAGGTTCCGTCCCGGGCGTGTGGTGATATTATCTCCCTCACATGTGCGAGGTGCTAACACGAGATGTAGTAGAAGATACCCCTCTTACTTCTACGTCTGTAAGACTGATTGTATTGCATACGAAACCGAGAGACAATACAACATCGTGTTCTTGCATACATTTGAGTTACCGGAACGTATACGAGGAGTGGCGCGCTACCTGAGGAACTTTTGTAGGTATGTCTAGCGAGGACGCTCCTTATGGCTTAGCGAAAGTGCACTTCTACACATTTTTTGGCAAGTGCAGTCGTACAAGCCAACAGTAGGTCCTTCTTCCACCATTCAACTCGCCTTGTTGGTTATATGGATATGTACGACCAACTACCATGTTACATTACCATGCGCCGCCTAGGGATGCGCCAGTACTATGCGAGCAGTGTCTGGTCTATGGTTATATACTCGCAGCTCGGTCGCCAACGCCATGTGTTTCGCACAACGTCAACAAGATGCCGGAGCTTGATGTACGACTCGACTCTTGGCTGCTTTTACTCGTCAGGGCCGAAGCAGTCGACTCCATCGTTTGATGAAAGGGTCAGCAATGCAAGAATTCTGGGGACCGGATGAAAGAGTGTCCCATTATGCACCGTCCGTGGGATTATGCGATCGGTAATTTATGGATAAGAGCGTGTCAGCACCTGCAGTGCTAGGCCAAAAGTTATGGTACTGCATTGCTCCTCGTAGCATGGCACAGTGTACTCGTACTTTCAACAGAGTATTGCAAGTACGGAAATCCAACGTGTGTCGGTGCAACATCCATCTGTTCGGCCGAACAAGAATTGTCATATGAACGGACTCACGGGTGGGGAATTGTCTGGGACTCACGTGCAATAGGCAGAAAGACCTCTGGAACAATGGCTGGATCAGAACAAAGGTACAACGCGACAAGAAATCCGCTATTGAACACCTGAAAGAACCGAACAATGGATAAGGCAGTGCATATGGCGGCGTCGACCGTACAGCAGTGACCGAAATCGGTTTCCGGTTCCTGCACTCAGGTTATTCTAAGCGCACGGCCGTTTGGAAAAGCGCTTACAAGATAGATCTTAGCGTTTGCAGGGGCAGTACGTACCTGTGGCTTAGAATATGGCGATATCGCGAGCTGTGCCACTTATTTACGCATTGCAAAACATCTACAAGGTACTGGCGGGAGCGGGTCGGCCACCTCCCTGCATGTGGTGGCAATGGTAAATGAGACTGCCTCTCAATGTGACTGTTTTACGGAAAAGTACCGCTTACATAATCTGCCACCGGTAGGCTGCCTCGCTGGGTGGCTGATGGCTGCGGGGCTGTACCACTTTCTCAGCCGCTCAGCCTCATAGCTATCCTGCACAGTCCCAGTCGAGCTCTCCGTTATTCCGCTCTTCGTACGCCAGGTCACCTATCTCTGGCCTTTCAGATCGTCTCTAACGGCTGTACCTCAACTATTTCCATGGTGATTGCTATCCACGAATCTTCCCCAGACTTCGCACGCCAGGAAACGCCCCTCTGTTCTGTTAGCCCTGTTCATTGTTCCGCTTTACATACATGTAGAAAACAAACCCTTCAGATCTTTGCGCTTTACCGTCCATGCTGGCTGCTCGAACAATGGCTCAGCCTACCATGCCACGAACGTAAGGCTGTCGGTTCGACGCGCCCTAGAGTGACTGCTAACCCTTGCTGCTCTAGCAACGATCTTTGGGCCCACGCAGCAACAGAGCTACCCGACAACGTCAAACGAAACATAAACTTCAACCGCCCCGACAAGCTCAACATCCTCACCGAGCTGCACGCAACTGCCGAGAAATCGAGGCAAAAGGCTATAGAGTCTCGATGGAAATACACTCGCAAGAACGGAGAGGTGGTCATAGTCAGGGACGTGCTCGGAAAGATCGTTCGGTGGGTTGATACGTTCAAGCAAGTCGGCGATGCTGCTGTTCAGTATGACCCAGGATATGCTTCGCTTCCTTGGGCAGGGATCCGTTTTCTCTTGCAAGTCAGTCAAACCGTAGAACTCAGGAAAGAGACTGCTAACATATCTGCAGGTTGCAGTCAACGACATCGTCAAATATGGGTCGGTAGTGGAAGACATTGCTCGGGTAGCCGAGCTGATTTGTCGCTTCGCTCTTACTGAAGAACTATATCTTCAGGGCACATCAAAAGAAGCTAAAGCACTGGAATTGGCTGTGGTGAAGCTATACGCACGCACTTTAGTCTTTCTGTCCACGGCAAAGCAATATCTCGAACAGGGGACCGCAAGTACGTATATAGTTTCTGTGAGGGGAATAGTAGTTGACATTCCGCCAGAGCGTGTAGCGAAGAGCGCATTCCTCTCAGAGATGAACCTTAGCTCGGGCCTGAACGATATCCAAACCGCAGAGAAGGACGTGGATCGATGCATAACTTTGGTCGATAGGATAGGTCCGTATCAGTATTTGTTTATCCTCCAACAACACTAACTTCTCTTGCAGACAACACTAAGAACAATGCGAAGTTGATAGACATTCTAGCACGTATTGACACGCCCTTGCGCAGAATGGATGACGGTCTGAACAATATCCATGATGATCTTCAAGGTAAAGAGACCTACGAACTGACTAGACTATAAATAACTGTCTGAAGTGTCTAAGCGAACGAAGATCATTCAGTGGCTCTCACCTGAGCCGTACATACAACACCACAAGCAGACCATGCAGGGTGTTCTGGCAGGAACTGGGCAGTGGCTTCTGTCTGATCCTATCTTCAAGAGATGGAAAGACGACAGCGTATCTTCAATCCTCTGGCTCCATGGTATTCCTGGATCTGGCAAGAGCAAACTCGTGTAAGTGTGTTACATGCCTGGTTCTAATCTGATAGTCACTGAGATGCTCAGCTCGGTAGTGATAGAGGATGCTGTAGCGCGTTACAAAGCTGGCAACAGCCCACAGCCGGTCTTCTTCTACTGCTCCCGGAACCCAGCAGAGCCTACGCGTTCTCAACCACAAGCAATACTTGCTAGTCTTGCTCGGCAGCTATCGTGCCTTGAGCCCGGAAAGCCACTGCTTGCACCAAGTGTCAACCTCTACAGAGAAAAGGAAGCGGAAGGGTTTGCGTCTGGGTCGCTCCAGATGGACGAAAGCCTTAACCTTGTTCTACAGCTCATCGCACATTATCCATTGACGACCATCGTGATCGATGCCATGGATGAATGCGACCCCCGGAAGCGACACGAGTTGCTCAAAGCTCTGGAGAAGATCCTCCAAAAGTCGTCCAGCCTCGTCAAGATATTCGTGTCGAGTCGAAAAGACCAAGATATTGTCTTGCGTTTGCGAAACTATCCAAACCTCGAGATTGACTCCCGGAGAAACGGTGATGATATCGCGCGGTTCGTGAACGACAAAGTAGAGGAACTTGTTGAAGACGGAAGGCTGTTACCGTATAGCGACTCTGAGACAGAGATGAAGAAGCTCATCGTAGACAAGGTAATTGAGGGTGCTACTGGAATGTACGTTGAGGACCACTGCCATTGTGACCGTGTTGACCCTGATATGTAGGTTTCGTTGGGCAAGCATGCAGCTACAATACCTCTGCTCGTTTGAGCTGGATGATGACATCAAGAGCAGCCTCGGTAGACTTCCGCCTGACTTGAATGCTCTCTATGACGAACTTTACGGGCTGCTTTCTGCGAAGCCAGGTCGAGTTCAGGCAGCAATATTCAAGAATGCCCTCTCCTGGCTTTTGTGCGCTCGGAGAACGTTGAAGACTAAAGAATTCCTATGCATAGTTTCAGCAGATCCCGCGTCGGGAAGTAGCGCGAAGGTGACTTCAAAGGACCTTGTGCTAAAGATTTGCAACAATTTCATCGTCTTCGACCCAGAGCTAGATACATTTCGCTTTGCGCATCTTTCTGTTCGAGAATACTTGGAACAGAGGCTTGAATACAGTAGTATAATAACAAACGCTCTAGCAGCAGAGATCTCTCTCTGGGCTATATTGTCTGCAAGCTCTAACCTTACCACTGGGAAGTTGCTGCTTAAACTGGGCTGGCGTGCGGATGCTCCGCCGGCCACGATCGAACAACTCTGCATATATGCAGATATCTATTGGCCTGAGCATTGCAAGTTAGCAGAAGAGCGAAGACGGTTCGGGAAACTGGAGACGATATTACGATATCTATTGTTAGGTTTTGGTGGCTCAGACTCTACTTTAATGCTCTGGAATAACCGACTACAGAAGCATTTGGAAGACTATATACACTGGGATGTGAGGATGCGACTAAAGGACACGTTGCCAAATCCCGGCTTAGAAGCGTATATTGGGTTATTCGTTTCCTGCGCTTTCGATTTTGAGGAATTAGTAGGGGTAGAAGTCCAAGGTTTGGCGGCAGCAATGGTTTCTGTTAACCAGCACTACCATAGCGCTCTACACGTTGCAATAAGAAACGGAAGTCGTGCAAGTCTAGCAAGACT